AAGTTATAACGCTCGCTCCTCATGACATGTCCCAGAGTATGCAGTTTTCTGACTTTTAATTGTATTTAAAACCTCTTTATCTTTTCCATTCTTCTCAAACACCTCGACATTCATGACTCTATCCACCCAGCTTATTCTTAATATCCTTCTGTAGGCCCATAACACAAAAGCTTCTAATCTGTCCGAAACATCTTTCTTTAAATGTCCAAGCCTCCAACCCATAAAATAATACGAGAACACGTAGCATCTCAGAAGTCTTATCTTTAAAGAAATCGAGTCATAAACAGTAAAATCCTTAATAGAAAAATCGATACAGTATAACAGACCACTGGTACTTATCTTCGTAAACTTTCTTCGAAGCTTTCGATACCGTGGAATTAGACAGCATTATAACTGTTCTAAACAATAGTAGAATAGACTACGGACTTACCAAGTTAGTACAAACATTGTACCAAAATGCCACAATGCATGTAAAACTACATGATACCACCAAGAAATTCATATAAAGCGAGGTGTGAGACAGGGCGACTACCTACCTCTCTCACCTAAATATTTATAACTGTCCTCGAATACTGCCTTTAAAAGTCTAAAGTGGGAAAATAGATGAATAAAAATAGACGGAAAATGCTCAATCATCTGCATTTTGCCGACGATATAGTACTTATTACTGAAGATCTGCGTGAAGCACAACAAATGCTACAAGAATTAGAAAACGTATCTTCAACATTAGGTCTAAAATGAACATCATAAGACCAATTTATGACAAATTTGGTTCCAGCAACACCTAACCATCCAAAATCAAGTGTTAGAATTGACAGAAAAGTACATATATGTTGGTCATGAAATCAGAATAAGCAAGGATAATCAGACCTAGCTCGAAATTAGCGCACTTTAATAACTCATGTATTAAAAAAACAAAGTTAATAATATTCGTCATCATAGCTACCCCTCTTATATCTTTTAAAACTTTCAAGTGGCTGTATAATATTTTTACGTGAAATCAATGATTTTTTCGCAGATAGACTGATCTATATAGAAAAATATAGAAGAAGAGGAGATATGTAACTGACAATTCAAAAATTAAAATGCAAGTGTCAATCACATGTAACTTTTTTATGTTTACCTACGTCTTTTTTTATATTTATGTTAAGTATCCAAATTTTTATTATATTGATAATCAGATAATAAGGTAAGATAAAAAATTGTACTTCCTTCATAATATTCATATAATTATATATACAACATATTCAGATTTGATTGCTTTCCATAGAACGTCTAATATTAGGTATTAGAGGTAATGGATTTGGGAACAGCTATGACTTTGAACATTTCACATAAACTTGTGTACTAAATAGGCATAATGCATAGCTCTTGTCAAAATCCAATACATTAATAATATAATTACATATCTTCGATTCTAAAATATTGTAAAAGACTTTAAAGAGTCTGAGTAAAAAAAGAGATATTTAGTTATATTCTTTGTGCATTTTCAAGGTCATAGCTGTTTCCAAAATCCATTACCTATAAGTACATTATAGAACCGAACCTTCTATTACTTACCGATAGGAGTAGCCACCAATCTTGGCAATCATTACAAAGATTGTAGTCTTGGTGCCTGCTGCCACATTAAACTGAGTTGTATCTAAATGGTTTTCAAAATTTTTTTATCCGTGATTGTCTTTTGAGTTATTCTATGCTATTAAATAGTGTAATGTTTGTTTATTTTATTTAAAGTCTTCTAACATTACAACACAATTAATTTATTATATTTATTTGTGTAACCGTACAAATCAACCCTACTTAACCGTAGAGCTTTGTCGATGCCATTAGAACCTGTAGCGCGAATCGTCGATACCGCGAAGGTTCAATCAGGGGCGTAGCAAGGCTGGCGTAACATTGCATCCTCATTAAGAGATGGTTCCTCTGGAACCTTATCAGGACTGGAGCTGGATCCTCCGGCAACTTTCTTCCTATTATGTATATTAATGTAAATTAATTAAAAAATAGCCTTCACTGTTCTTCTTGACTTCCTCTTGTTTTTTATCTAAATGTTGTTTTATTCTTAACGTTTAATGTAATATAATAAGAGTGTATTAATATTTAAAATTTTTATGTTCTTAAAATTACGGTTCCAATATTTGCAAATTTTAAAATATCACAACATCAATACAATAAACACAAATATTGCAGATCAACAATGTGCAAAATACAAATTGCCATGATGGTAGCCAACATTCGAAACGGATATAACGTCAATACAAGAAGAAGAAAATGAGTCTACTGTATCTACATGCTATACAAAAAGCCCTTCTCACGCGATATAGTTCGGCCTGATCAAATTACGACTTTTTTAGGATTCCACACAGCAACCGTTTATTACTTTTACATGAAAAAAAATGCTTGTTTTAATAAAACATTATTTAAATAATACAATAGCATAAAACCAAATGACAATTCATTAAATACGTTGAATATAAATGAAAAGTCATGCCATCAACCAGTTATTATTAATTGGTAGAATATTTTAATTGAAATTGATGGAAATACAACTACGTGAAGGTGAAGGTTTATCTCTATTACACACTCAGCTGTGGGAGATACTATGGTTCAGTGGTATAAAGTCAAACAAGTATGTATCTTGTTAGTGGTTGTCTTAATTATTCTGTAAAATTGTTGAAAATGTAGCCAATTATATTTATAATCAAAGACATTTAGATATATATGAGTAATTTTGAAAAAACACATTTAACTTGACATTTAGAAAAACTTGCCGTCATCTCGGTTCAATAATCGATTATATTGTAACAAAACAAAAAACCCGACTGAGAGTACAAGATGTAAGAGTTCAGAGAAGCGCTACATGCGGTAGCGATCACTATTTATTACGTTTAAAAATACACTTCCCAATCCGAAGACAACATAGAGAAACACATATAGACATAAACAAGACAGAAAAGATACAGGAACGAAGATACAACATCATAAGCCTAGATGAAGAAAGTAGCCAAGACTTATTCAATAATAGAGTGGATAAGAAGCTACAAATTCCCGCCTCTAAGAATATCGACCAGTTATATGAACATATAGAAAACTGTTTACACGAAGTAGCATTTGAAGCAATGGGATACTAGATAACACCCAAGGTAAACAAACCATACTGGTGTGATAATGACAAGAGGAAAAAATACAATGTAAAAGACAAATATACCAACAATATTATAAGCTGCAAATCATTAGAAGACAAAATAAATATAAAAGAAAAACAAGCAGAAGTACGAAGGAAAATCTATAAAAGAAGAACGAGTCTTGGGAAAGAAACTGCCAACGAATAAATACTTATCTAGGAGAAACCAGCAGAGAAACCAACAGAGAAAGCAGGATTTCGTACGGGTCGATCCGCTATTGACCATATTTTCTTCTTAACCCAGATTAATAGAAAAAAAGATGGCACGGGAATCAAGAGATTCATATGTTATTCGTTAACCTACGGAAAGCCTACGACAGCGTTACACTGAAGAAACTGTGGCAATCAATGGAAAGCACGAATATCAATATAAGAATTAATAAAAGCCGTCAAAGTACTATACAACAACCAATACAAAAATAAATGCAGGGACACAAATAACAACAGGCTTTATAAAATCAAAAGAATTGAAGCAAGGATGTTGTCTGTCCCCCACTTTATTTAAAATAGACCTCGAAAGTGCTTTAAAAGATAGAAACAAAAATGCAGGACAATGGGGATACTGCTCACCAACACTATGGTATATATGCTCAACTTTGCAGACGATCAAGTAATAATGACTTAAAATTGTGCGATTTAAAAGTTAACGATATGGCACGAAATTAATTGAGGAGTATGATATATGGGGTCTAGAAGTAAATAAAAGAAAACCGAATACCTGTGGCATTGGAGTAGAACAAAAAGATCTCATTTCGACGATAACACACGATAAAGCACTGCTGTGACTACAAATATCTAGGTATCACTATTTCACAAAATGGAACATTAGACAAAGCCATAAGAGAAAGAAATACGTCAGGGAGAAAAGCCATCACAATGTTAAAGAGCAATTCCAATACGAAAAAGAGGATATATGAGACTATAGTAAAAAGTATCACTTTAAATCAAACCTTAAATCTATTTTATTTTTATTTTACATTTTACTCTAGTATGGAGTATTACGAAACCTTTCATGAAGGGATTTCTGTCTAGACGAGTTGGTATGACGTGGATACAAATTTATTTAATTATTATTTTTTGTGTGTTTTTGGCTTGGACAATTGTCATTCAGCCAGTCTTAATAAAGATAAGTTTTATTAATGTAGTGTGTGTGGTGTGTCTGTGTTTGTGTGTGTAGAGTAATTGTCTTTGATACTTAGCAAAGTCGTACGTCATTGTCTTTGCTAAGAGACGCTAATTGTATCCGAACGTCTGCGGTCCTTCCGGTGTGTTCGATCACACAAGGATGAAATATTATTTTCATTTATTAATTTTTTTTTTTTTAATAAACGAAAACTTCCACCCAGGTGGGATTCGAACTCACGACCTTTAGGTTTAAAGGCAGGCGCATCTTACCACTGAGCCACAGAGGGGTTAAATACAAATTATAAATCCCCATGCCAGTGCATTTCGGTGTCTTAAATTCGTCAGTAGGTTTTAAATTCGTCGTTAAAATTATTCCAATCGTCATTTTTATGTAGAAACGTTGTTAATCGACTAACTTAATCTGCTCTTCGACTGATTTTATTCAAATGCCTTCAGTCTTTAGTCATGATGCCTCAGAATTTGGCGAGGAGTTGTGTTATCTGGTAATTAAAATTATTTACTCTTCAAGCCACATGTGTTTATACTAGTATTCAGTCCAGGGGCTTCCAGATAAATAAGATTGTTAAAAAAAATAATAAGATGTAATATTATTATAATACATGTATGCAATGTATATCAAATATGCACAGAAATAACTTATTTCGTTACTTACTTGCTTATTTTTTTGCAGGCAAATGTGGACAGCGTAAGAAAAAATCATGGCAAAGGGCATTCTGAGTCTCCATTATTCCAGGAAGCAAATCAACAATGTTACCTACTTACTAACAAATTGGCAGAAAGTTCAAAAAGCTAAATCATACACAGAACATGCTGGTAAACGGTATTTTTCTACTGGGAAACGGTCAAATAAGGAAGCGACCGAGGTTAAGGGAACTCCATATAACAAATTAACCATCGGAGTACCAAAGGAGGTGTGGAAGAATGAGAAAAGGTAAGCGGACTCACTTAACTAGGAGAATTTTTCTTGAGGTACATGAATAGGAAGGTAATCAGTCATAATCAACCTGTATGCGTCTACCGCTGGACATAGGTCTCCCTCAGCTCTTTCCATCTGTCTCTGCCTTGTGCGGCTTTCATCCAATTATTGCTAACGCGCTTCAGGTCGTCAGTTCATCTAGTTGGTGAGCATCCTCTGCTCTGTATTGCTTCTTGCCTTGGTCTCTAATCTGAAGTTTTGTCCATTGGTTGTCTGATAATTATAAATGGCGTCGTGTCCTGGCCAATTCCATTTTAACGACGCGATTTTTCGATTGCTTCTTTGTTTTTGGTTATTTATATTTAGTCCATATTTTTGACTGTAATACGTGATTTCGTTCATAAGACCTTGTAGATCTTCTAAGTTGTCCGCAAATACTATGGTTGCATCTGCATATCTGATGTTGTTTAGCCGGTAACCATTTAGTAGAATACCTTTTTCAGTTTCGTGCAAAGCTTCGATACATATTCTTTCAGAGTACTGATTGAAGATTAGAGTAGACAAAATACAGCCTTGCCTCATTACACGCATGATTTTCACATAGTCAGTGTATTCACATTCAACTCTGAAATTTGCTGTCTGATTCCAGTAAAGATTCTAATTATTTTCAGTTCTCGGTTATTACATTCCGCTTCTTTAGTTTGATCATATGGCGTACTGTACTGATTAAACGTTTCGGAATCAACAGAATTAATATCCGTTCGCGTTTTCGTCTCTGCATCTCTGGAATAAAACTTGAACCTGAGAACAAAGCCTCTCTAATATCAACAGCATTTGTGAACCCGAACTGATAAGGGGGAAATATGACTTTCACACAGCTTGTAGATTCTCTTATGAATTATCTTTAGGAACAATTTTAGGAGATGACTCAGTAAGCTTATACTACGGTAATCTTCGCATTTTTTGCACTGTTTTTTTTGGAAGTTCAAAAAACTCAGATTTTCAGTCATTCTGTTGGTATTTCTCCAGAGTTGGATATGTTGAATATCTTTGCGATTATGGCTATTGATTTCGTTTGTCCATTAGTTTGAGTAGTTCTGCTTGTATATTATTAGAACCTGCCGCTTTGCCATCCTTTAACTTTGTTATTGAAGAATAAACTTCCTGCATTTGATATTTTTCCCCCAATTCTAACTTGTGCAAAAGAGTTACTTACAGACATTTTCACAGCTAGTTTCTTAGTACGCCGAGCTCGATCATTGCCTTCCATAATGCTGCACGATTAATTGTATTCTATCATATAATGTTATATACATAATTTTTTATATACATTTAACATAGTTAAACTATAGATAGATGAAATATTGATGATTAAAACTTTAGTTGTAACCAAATTCAGTAAAGAATTGTGGTTTGTGGTTTTGATAAACTTACCCCGATCGATCGGCTGAAGGCTAATTGAACTGTTCTTTCATATTCACTTTCATATTTTAGAGTGTCAATTACTCCAGCTGTAGCACACACGTTAACGAAGAAAGGATTCACTGTGAATATCGAAGAAGATGCTGGAATATTGTCTAAATTTAGAAATAAGGATTACGAACATGCTGGCGCTAAGATCGTCGACAACCAAAACGTTTTCGCAACTGGTAAGTACCTACTTTAGAGAACTAGTGAAAAATATTTTTTTTAATTAGGTTTTACTAGTGGTAATTGGAAAGGCTAAACTGGTTAACAACAACAATGTACCAGCTACCATCTTAAAATATTTACTGTTTTTAATGATGCTTTAACTCACATCGATTTTTTCATTCTAGATATTATTTTAAAAGTCAGACAACCCTTAGATCCAGAAGTTATAAAATTTAGGGAAAACTCAACACTCATTTCGTTTCTGTATCCAGGGTTGAATAAAGATCTGGTAAATAATTTAGCCGAAAGAAAGATTAGTGCTTTTGGTAAGTATATTTTTAGTTACTTTTGAAATATTACACTTCTTATGATAATCATATCGATTTCCAATTCGGCCCCCTCCCTAATATAATAAAAAGCTAACACTTACCTCCATATAGGAACTACCTAAATACAATATTTGAAATTTAAAGATAAAATAAAATAAAATTTATACCTATGCTGTGCTTAAAATTACTTTTAATTGAATTAATCTGGTTTGCTTTTATTCATTATCCAAACATTATAGCAAGGGTTAACATTGATAACACAAGATTATTTTGATTATTCATACTTTAATTTATTTGAGTTTTTACTTACAAACATTTTTTTTCTTATTTTTGTTTCTGAAAATTGTTGATTATTACATTATCAAATTTAATGGTGTTTGTTACTTCACATTCAATCGAGATTATTGCCAAACCTTTTGAAAACTCCTTTCATTAGCAGCAATAGAGACACATAGTGTTAAAAACAGGTTTTAATGGCAACAAAGACATTTGGAACAGATTCCATCAGGTCCATATCAAGAATAAACTGTATCATCTTCAATAATGGTAGCCTTTTGATTTAGTAACAATTTCTTGCTTATCGAATCTTCGAAGGATTCACAAAATTTCTCAGCTGAAACACAAATAAACATTCAAGCATAGATTTTTTAGTTTCTCCTTCTTCTTCTTCAGCCTTCATTTATCCAATGTTGGACATAGGCCTCCTCCAATTGCTTCCACGCTTCCCTATCTTTTGCAATTCTCATCCACTGCTTTCCAGCTACAGCATCGTCTATCCATCTCTTTTTAGGTCTTCCCACGCTTCTTTTTGTTCTCGAGGTCTCCAGAATGTCACTTTATGAGACCATCTGTTGGTGTCTTGTCTTGCTACATGTGCTACCCATTGCCATCTCAATGTCGCTATTTTTCCATGTTTCGGTCTTTAGTTCTTCGACGTATTCGTGTGTAGGAATTTTGTCTCTGAGCTTTATTTAACATGTCCCCTACTCCATGCCCGTTGAGTTACTCTTAATTGTTCTGCCATTTTTCTTGTTATTGCCATAGTTTCCAATCCATAAGTTGCAACTGGTAGTATACAAGTTTTTAGTTTCATATTCGAGCAATAGTCCAGCATCTTCGGCGAACTGGAGAGCCTTCCAAATATCGACTGTCTTCCAAAGAGACGTTCAAACTTCGGAGTGTTATTACAACGTTTTCAAGGCTTAAACACTCAGTCTGCAAATCCCTATGTGCACTGTTTATTTTGTGCAAAATGTACCCCATAAATTAAGGAATCCAAGAAATTTAAAGTCACAAATGTTCGAGAGTAAAATTTCAGCGGAGCGCCCAGTGTTAATATTTTGCTTGGCGTCGCACAATTTTTCTGTAACTTGATCTACTTTATCAAAATGTGTCAAAATGGGTCTCACAGCTTCGTAATTGGCACTCCATCTAGTGTCACATAACTGTTTTACAATATACCTATAACTTACATCAAAATTCCCCATTTATGTGGAGAGGACGAGAAGAAATTATATTCACTTTCTAAAGTAGCAAAAAAAGTTTTGAGAGAATGATTTGCATAAGGCACAAGCATGATTTTGCCTATTTTTTTCCTTGACCCTTGCTTGGACACCCGTATGGATGCCTGACATAGTGACTTCTTCATTATCATAACTTTGACTCCTACACAATTGTAGGTCCAATCCATCATTTTCCAGTGCATTTTTTAATATCATTGGATATGTCTAGTGATTTTTTCCCAGAAAGAGTAAAAAATTCTAAATAGCGTATTTGAATAAGCTTTGTATGTGACGGCAACGTGTATTACAATGTCTACTAATTCTTTACAAAAGAAAACATAAACATTAAAAATATTTTATGTTATGTACCAGATCTGATTTATATGTTTAAAAATTTAAAGTTACGCCACTGCTTTAGATATGAAAGTATACTTCATCTAATTTACTTTACCGTTGCACGTCATCCGCGTCATAGTCTGTGAGGTCACATGATACCAACACGAAATATTTAGGCGGTAGTGTGTTCTTTTTTTAAAATAACTTTGGGTACACTGGCATTACAGCCACTATTCTTTGTTTCAACGTTAAGAAAATAACATTACGCTTATGGAGATCAGTGTTTGCCAAAACTCTCAGACACTCTCTTTTGCACGGATGTCCAAGATATTCCTTTGCTTAATTTTTGAATTTTTCATTTTAATTAAAATTTAACTGTAAAGTCAGAATAACTACAAATAAAAGCCTTATTATCATTATGTAGTCAGAGACGACATAAAATAGCTGACCTACGCACATCGTATTATTTTTAAGTTGCAATTAGTAATTAGATATACGCATTCCAAGCGGTCAATATTTTCTACTGATTCTATGATTCATGGCATATCGTATTCTCACCGAAAAAAAAATAAACTGTGGTTACTATAATTAAAATAAGATAAAATAAAATTATCTTTTGTAAATAACTATTTATCTAATTAAAATCATTTTCCCTACTTTTCATTCTTGTTTCGAATGGGCACTTTTGGTCAATTACGTTAAAAAACATTAATTTAATTCATGTTTGTGGAAACGAAAATACAAATTATACAACCCTAAATTGTGCTTGTGTGTGTCGTGGGCAACGCGCGTTGCTATCGTCCATAAGAAATATATGGCCCTATCTTCGCAATGTTATTTTCTAAAAGTGGAACGTATGATAGACATATTTTATTATATACGCGTAGAAATATATTTTTAATGGTTTCTATTAATATTAACTTAAAGAATACACAATAATATGTTTCATTTAATTTGTATAAATGCCGTTATAAAAACGTTTTTATGAAGAACATTTGTTCGGAACACACTAACTAATCGAAACGAAGGAACATTTTGGCATAAATTGGTAACACTTATATGACAGTTGCGGTGTTGACACTTATTGTACTTTATTATTTTAATTTTAAAGTGAATACCTCTTTATTTATATTTTTGATTATTTAATAAAATCTGTTCTTTTTAGAACAAAATTAGTGTGTTATATTTTAAAAATGTCACGTAAGAATTTAAATAGTCGTTGTAAAGAGATGGTAATACTTTTGCAATAATTATGTGACCTATTTGATTTAAAATAGGCTCCGGATTGATAAAGATAAAGATGACGACGATATCGAACTGTTTTACCATGATTTGGAACAAGTCCTTAAATCAATGAAAAAACATCACACTACAATTAGTAATGGGCGACTTCAATGCCAAAGTTGGCCAGGGAAGATGGATGGATATGTGGGGAATATGGTCTAGGAAATAGAAATGAACGTGGTGACCGTTTGATACAATTTTGCCAGACGGAAGAATTTGTAATAGCTAATACACTTTTTAAGCTACCAAAAAGAAGGTTGTATACATGGAAATCTCCCGGTGATAACAACGAATAGAATAATCCGAAATCAAATTGACTTTGTCCTTATTAGACAAAGATTTCGTAATTCTATACTGTCTGCCAAAACTTACCCTGGAGCAGACATCGGTTCAGACCATAACCCCATAGTAGTCACATTACGAACCAAATTAAAACAGGTTAAAAAACCCACATAAAGTAGAATTGATATTAAGAGATTAAGGGAACCACAAACAAAGGAACAAACTGTAAAAACTTTTACTGAAAATATACGTAATGCCCAAGAACTGAATAAAAGTAGCTATAACATTGATGCAGAAATGGGAAAATATAAAGCAGCAATAATTAAAACAGCAAATGAAAACTTAAAACCAAAGAATAGAAAACATAAAGATTGGATGACTGAAGAAATACTACTATTAATGAATGAAAGAAAATCATTCAAAATAAAAAATCCAATTAAATATAATGAAACTGATAGAAATAAAAGAAGCTAAGGAGAGAATGTTACATGAGCAGTGCCAAGAACTAGAAAAATTGAGAAAAAATATGACTTTTTTAACATGCATAAAAGAATTAGAGAATTAACAGGAATGAGAAAAACACTTCAAACTAGGCAACTAAGAGATGAAAGGGGTGCACTTATAACAGATATAAACCAAAAAATGCAGAGATGGACACAATATATAGCACAACTATTTGAAGACAAAGAGAGAACAGAAGCACCAAAAGAATTTAAGGATGATACTGGGCCTGACATTATACGAGAAGAAATTGAATATGCAATGAAACAAGCTAAAGATGGTAAATCTCCCGGGCCTGATGAAGTTCCTATCGAATTACTTAAAATTGTGAATACTGAATCTATTGATCTTCTTTTGGATCTATTCAATACCATATATAGAACAGGTATAATACCTAAAGAATGGCTCCAATCAACATTCATACTGCTTCCCAAAAAAGCCAATGCAAAGGAGTGCAATGAACATCGCACCATAGCCTTAATGAGTCATGTCTTGAAATTGTTTTTAAAAGTAATTCACAATAGAATACATAAGAAATTAGATGAAGGCATAAGTAATACACAAATGGGATTTAGGAAAGGACTGGGAACACGAGATGCACTGTTTGCAGTAAGTGTTCTTTCGCAGAGATGCTTAGATATTAATCAGGAAGTATATGCCTGTTTCATTGATTTTGAGAAGGCATTTGACAGAGTGCAGCATAATCGACTTAAAGAAATTTTATTAAATAAAAACATAGACAGTAGAGACATTAGAATCATCTGTAACCTCTATTGGAATCAAACAGCAAAAGTGAAAGTTGAAAACGAACTGACCAAGGATATCCAGATTCGCCGTGGGGTCCGCCAAGGGTGTATTTTTATCACCCTTGTTATTCAATTTATACAGTGAAGCCATCTCAGAATTAGCGCTTGCCGAGATCAGTGAGGGCCTTATAATAAACGGTGAGCCACTTAATAACATAAGATATGCTGACGACACCGTCCTTTTGGCAGGAACACTAGAAGAACTGCAACACCTTGCTGAACAACAAATATATATTGCAACGATTATGGACTAAAAATCAATTTGAAGAAAACCAATTTCATGGTATTTACAAAAGCACAAAACATCAAAGTTAAGCTAGTACTAGATAATACAGAAATTGAACAAATATCTTCGTACAAATACCTTGGAGCATGGATCACAGAAGATACTGATCAGACAAAAGAAATAAGATGCCGCATTGAAATTGCGCGGTCAACTTTTAATAGAATGAGAAAACTTTTTTGTAATCGCGATATCAATATATCGCTCCGGATAAGAATGCTTCGATGTTATATTTTCTCTACCCTTTTGTATGGAGTTGAAGCTTGGACACTTAAAAAATCCAACATTAAAAACCTAGAAGCATTCGAAATGTGGTGTTACCGACGCATTTTGAAAATATCATGGATGGATCGCAAAACAAACGAACAAGTTCTCGAACAACTAGGAAAACAATGCGAAGTTTTAAATTCCATAAAGATCAGGAAATTGGAATACTTGGGCACATCATGAGAGGTGAAAAGTACGAACTACTAAGGAATATAATGCAGGGTAAAATCAAAGGTAGAAGAAGCGTAGGAAGACGTAAAATCTCGTGGCTACGCAATCTCCGTGAGTGGTTTGGATGCAGTTCAATTGAACTATTCAGGCGAGTAACCAATAAAATTATAATTGCCAGAATGATTTCCAATCTCCGATAGGAGTGGAACTTGAAGAAGAAGAAGGCTCCGGATTTTTTTATATTTTGGCAACTATGTCAACTTCGATCTCTGTCAATGATAATGACGTGCATCGGTAAGTAAATTAGATGAAGTATAAATAATTGCCCTTTTCTTTTTGCTCTGTATTTCCGAGTATCACGTATTTTGACTTTTCCTGGTTTTTACCTAGGTCAAAATATTCTGCCTCCGCTTCTAATATTTTTAACATTTCTGAATTATTTTCTTGTTTTGGTTAGAATAGTAAGATCATCAGCGCAGGTCAGATATTGATGTCCATTATCATTTTATATTTAAAATTTAAAAAAAAACTTTCTTTCATATAGTATTTGCAATTACTTTTTTAGCTATGGACTGTATACCTCGAATATCAAGAGCCCAAGTGTTTGATGCATTGAGTTCAATGGCAAACATATCCGGATACAGAGCAGTGGTGGAGGCAGCAAATCATTTTCCACGATTCTTGTCAGGTAATTAAAAACAGTTTCTATAAAACTAGATCAAGAAGGCGGTTGAGTTTACCGAAAGTACAAGTTGATTATAGCCGCAAATGTCAAACATGGAACAAAAAATTTCGGTTTAACAGTGTTGGCATGTTTTCATGATGTAGATGCTGTATGCTTTAAATATAAAAAGATAAAGCTGCCAAGATAACACTGCCAAAACGAAATATTTTATTTCATGGTTGACATTTGCGGCTATAATCAGTTTGTACTTTCTGTAAGCTCAACCAAGAATGCTATTGGTAGCTTTAATAACCTAAAATTACATTTTAATAAATTGTAGGTCAAATAACGGCCGCGGGAAAAGTTCCCCCAGCAAAAGTTTTGGTAATTGGTGGTGGAGTAGCAGGTTTAGCTGCCATAGGACAAGCTAAAAGTATGGGAGCAATTGTAAGAGCCTTCGACACTAGAGCAGCTGTGAAGGAACAGGTTGAGTCTTTGGGAGCGGAGTTTTTGACTGTCAGCATTCAGGTATTTTATAACAAATAGTTAAGATTGCACCACGTTTAATTATTGTTCGATTATTTCAGGAAGAAGGAGGTACTGCCGGTGGTTATAGTAAAGAAATGTCTAAAGAATTTATTGATGCAGAACATGCACTGTTTGCAAAACAGTGTAAGGATGTCGATATTATCATTTCCACTGCGTTGATACCTGGAAGGAAGGCACCCATTTTGGTATTAAAAGTAAGTGAAACAGCAAATTAGTAGTAGAACAGTGCCACTTGGGTGAAAAATATGTGGAGACGTCTTGTTGAGTATCTTTGGATCATTCTTCAAATCGCGATGGTTATGCTGGTGTTTATTCATCATTTCCTCTACCTTAGAGTATTTCAATAAATGACCGTTTACGCTTTTACTAATTTACTAGTACATAATTTACTGTGACGTTTGAACCACCCTACAGTCAGCAAATTTTCAAGCTCTTCACATTTGGTATTTTTTTGTCACAGAATAGTGTTCATTGTTGCATTACCCTCAAATAGTTTGTAGATTTACACTTTTGTTGGAAAATGTTGTATGATTTTGACACTAATTTGCAGTTTGTTGTGGTATTAAAGTGGTATTTCTATTTTTATATACTAAAAGAAATATGAGTAAAGCATGTTATAAAGTTAATAAATATTTATTTTAGGAACACATTGAATCGATGAAGCCAGGTAGCGTAGTAGTGGATCTAGCAGCCGAAGCAGGTGGTAATATTGAAACAACTAAACCAGGAGAAATATACACGTACAAAGATGTCGTCCATGTTGGTTTAACAGATTTTCCGAGCATGCTTCCAACGCAAAGCTCCACGCTGTATGCCAACAATATCTCCAAATTTTTGCTATCGATGGGTAAATGACAAAATTATGTTGTAATATTCTGTACAGAATTCTGAAATTTTGTGTTTTAGGAGAAAAAGATCACTTCAATGTAAATCTGGAAGACGAAGTTATACGTGGAAGTATAATTTTAGATAAGGGAAAACTCATGTGGCCACCACCACCTCCACAAACTCAACCGACACCTGCTGCAGCCCCGAAACAAGAATTGGAAGCTGTGAAGGCTGTACCTAAAGAAATTTCTCCTTTCAAAGCTGACTTAAATAAATCACTGGCTCTCACAACCGGTAAGTTAATGGATATATTGTGTTTGAATTGGAAACTTGTGCATCAAACTGCGGACTTGGTAGATAAACCTAGTTTGAGAACGCTGAATAAAATGAGATAATCGTTTTAAAAGTTTTCATGTAATTGTAGTAATGGTTGAAGATCTTTCTGAAACTTTCGAGAAGCTAGAACAATCTTATACTTAGTAAAAGGGGTATATAAGTAGCTTCATATGTAACAACTGTCAGGTAGTTCCTAAATAAGTAATTACTTTCGAGATTGTTATTGTATTGGTTCCTTCAATCAATTGGTTTAATTTGATCTATCCAAAATGGATGAATGTCCCAATTTTGATTACTATTTATTTTGTATGTGAAAAATTTGTAGTTAAAGCCAGTCACTGCAAAATAAGAGCTGAGAGTGCTGATTTGTATTAAAACTATATATTTTCTAATACCCTACTTATGGGTAATGGGGTCTAGAACACACGTAGAATTATCGTTCACATCTTGATAGCAAAATGGAAAATAAAAAGAATTGAAAAGACTATTTTTATACACACAAAAAATTTCTTGATCAAAATACCGTTTCCGAATTTTAACCCTAATAATTAGAACTATTGGGTGGCCGCTAACGGTATCCTTTAAAAGAGTTATTTTATTATTATCCCCGGTTTTTTATAGCGTTCTCCACCTTCCGGTTCCTAGTTTCCAGCTACGTCGGTCATTCCATTCGCCAGGGTGAAGGTTTCTTTCCTTCTGAATGCCGCCCAGCCAGGATTGTTTTTGGCCTTCCTCTCTTCCTTCTTTCCCTTGGTGTCCATTTTAAAATTTGGTTTGGCAGCCTGTCGTCGTCCATTCTTTTCACATGACCATACCAGATCAGTTGTCTCCTTTGAATTTCGTCAATGATGGTTGGCTTGACTCCCATTATATTTCTGATATGGTCATTTTGTATTCTATCAAGCCTTGATTTTCTAGCTGATCTTCTCCAGAAGTCCATTTCCAATGCAAATAGGCGTCGCTCAAGGGATTTAGTAAGTTTACATGTTTCTCATCCATAGAGCACTATACTTTTAAAGATGGAGTTAAAGAGGAGATTCTTTCTTTGATTTGATAGTTCTTTTGACCATAGCATCGGGTTTAGGCATCCTATCACCCTTTTTCCTTTCACGATACTTTGCTCGTTCTCTTTTTCGGTGCGCCCACTCTTGTTGATTGTTGTTCCCAAATATATATATTCCTCACAGTTCTTGATTGTTTCAAGTTCGTTGACCATTAGGTCTTCTACTTCATCCCGATGCGTAAGTATTGCGTTTTGTTTCTATTTACAGAGAGTCCCCATTCTTCTCGTCATGAATTCTAAATCTTCCTTGTCTGCTGCCACTACTACTTGGTCGTCGCAAAATGTAGAGTGTATAATGTTGTATCGTCGTCAAGTTGGATCCCCATTCCTGAACAGGATCTTCTCCAGTGTTTTAGTGCTTCATTTAAATAGATCTTAAATAGTATTGGAGAGAGGCAGCATCCTTGTCGTAAGCCTTTTGTTACTGGAAATTCTTCTGATAAGGTGTCGTTTAGTTTGATTTTTGATGATGCTTTATTGTATAATTGTTTTGACTGCGGCGATGATCGTGCTATTTAATGAAGATCGTAAAAGAGTTTATTTAGGATATTTAAGGGAAAAAGTACCGTTAGCTATAATTTCTAGGTGGTCGAGATAATTAGATAATGGGATCAGTGGGTGAGTTATTTGACATTATTTCGGTAAAATATTTCAAGGGATTATTTAGAATATTTGCAAGCAAATCGTAACGACGTTTTATAATAATGTTAAAGCAGTAACTTTTAAGCGGATTATGCGGGTAGTTGAACGGTTACAAAGTTACACGGTTACACGGAATATCACAGTCAAAGAATGGCAAAGCGACAGGACATGATAATATACAAGCAGAACTACTCAAACCAATGTACAACGAATCAATTACAATAATCGCAAAGATATTCAACAACATATACAACTCTGGAGAAATACCAACAGAATGGCTGAAATCTGAGTTTATTGCACTTCCAAAAAACCAAGAGCAGAAAAATACGAAGATTACCGTACTATAAGCCTCATGAGTCATTTCCTAAGATTTTTCCTAAAGATAATTTATAAGCGAAATCTACAAGCTGTGTGAAAGTCAAGTTTCACCCAACCAGTTCGGGTTCACAAATGCTGTTGGTACTAGAGACGCTTTGTTCTCAGTACAAGTTTTATTCCAGAGATGCAGAGACGTCAATTGCGACGTATACGCATGTCTGGTTGATTACAAGAAAGCGTTTGATCGAGTACAACACGCCAGATGATGCAAATACTAAAAGAAACACGAATTAACAACCAAGAACTAAAAATAGTTAGAAATCTTTACTGGAATCAGACAGCAAATTTCAGAGTTGAAGGTGAATACACTGACTATGTGAAAATCATGCATGGAGTGAGGCAAGGCTGTATTTTGTCTCCTCCAATCTTCAATCTATCCTCCGAAAGAATATTTATCGAAGCTTTGCACGAAACTGTAAAAGGTATTTTACTAAATGGTTACCGCCTAAACAACATCAGATAAGCAGATGACACCATAGTATTTGCGGACAACTTAGAGGACCTTCTTCTTCAAGTGCCCTGTCGGAGGGTGTCCACTTGGAGCCACGACTTTCTTCTCCTGCCTGTCCCTCGCTTACTGTCTATTTTCCCCCTGGACAATCAATTGCAGTAGACGGTACTTATCGTGTCTTAATATGTGGGCTAGATATTCAAGCAAGAAGACATACAAGTTTTTATCAACAAAATCACGTATTACAGTCAACAATATAGACTCAATATAAACGTTAAGAAGACAAAGCTTAAGAAAAGGATAACAGAAGGTCAACTCTACTTCAACCAATCCCTTGTAGAAAGAGTGACGCACTAAAACTACCTCAGCACGATAATAAATGAAGAATAGACCAACAACCAGGAGATTAGAGCACACATCGGAAAAGCTAGATCCACCTTCAATCGGATGGGGCCTTCTTCAAGAGTCACAACCTCTCTCTTGATACAAAAGTAAGAATGCTGCGATGCAACGTCTTCTTTGTCCTTTTTTATGGTGTTGAATCGTGGACCTTGAACGAGGATATGTGCAGAAAACTAGAAGCAATTAAGATGTGGCTATATCGGAGAAACATTAAGATCCCGTGAACTGACCGATTCACAAATGAGGAGGTCCTTAGAAGAATGAATAAGAACCGAGAGGTACTGACCACGATCAAATCTCGAAAGTTACAATTCTTCGGACATATTATGCGAAATTAATACAGATATGCTCTCCTTCAAGCCATCCTGCAAGGAAAACTATGTGGAAAACGAGGTCCAGGAAGAAGAAGAACATCTTAATTAAAGAACCTGAGAATCTGGTTCAATACAACATCTCTGCAACTTTTCCGCGCTGCTGCAGATAAAATAAAGATTATCATGATGATCGCCAACATTCGTAGCGGATAGGCACATCAAGAAGAAGAAGATTATTTTAGATTATTTTACCAATACGAACTATCTACGCCATCTTACGTCGACTGTTGTGCCATCTTTATTCGTTTTATGTGATGTCTAAGGGTGGTCGCTTCGTTAAGGTTAGGTTCTCCTTTGCGGTCGTTTCGGTATTCGATTTGACAGGCATAAAAGATTTGACAGCTGACATGACAGTCTGAATCCTGATATCTCGGCCGGTAATGTAGTTCTAATGCTTACCGAAATTGGCCAGTAACGTCAGACTTGGCCGTCTATTGTAGAGTACTGTATTGTACAAGACTATTGTATTTTTCTTATTTATAATAAATATTTAAACAATAATAAAAATTGTAGTACATATTTTGACTTTTTGCACATTTTTTAATATTTTGATCATTTTTAAATAGATATCTCTATAAAGAGATCCATTAGTGCTAAACTATAAAATTTAGCGCTGATGGATTCAGCGTCCTCGATTATGTTATCTGCCAATTCTACAGCTTGACGTATATTACAACTATTGTGTATTTTTATGTATGAGAGAGTAATAAAACAATAAATTATGTATGCAAATCCCTAAACTGTTGATACGGGTGACTCAATGAAAAACAGATATTTGTCAACAAGTTTACAGAAGTATATAGGAAAACAATTTTAAATTGAGTATGACCACCAGGTATAAAGGTTGGAGCAGAATAGAATACAATACTTGTGAGGTATTGCAACCCTAAATAAGGTTGCCAGTGTCGGAGTGATGGAGGTTAACAGGTACTAATGAATTTGCAAAAATGTAAGATGTTTATTTTATTGGTTATATATAACCAATAAAAGTTTAATAAGTACCTACCTATTTGCAAAATAAAGTTTAATTCTGTAGATAAAATAAAACGTTTTATTTTATCTGAAATGAGTGCATTCCACGAAGTAAGGGTTTCAACAATCAAACATTTAATTCTTTAATTCCAGGAATCTACGACAGTAATTGACTAGATAATTACCTTCTAAACTTATTCCACAGAAAATGTGATAGTGGGTTTTTCCATTTTGTAGGAAGGTCCAAGTGGCGTATTCAAAATTCTTAACAGTTCACTGTTAGAGTTATTAAAGAAGAGAAATGTGGTAGTTTTTAAATGCCACGTAATGCTCCAGGGAAACCAAAATTTCAAATAGAATATCATTTTAAATAAGGACTTCGACGTAAAGTGCATGAATTCTTCTTTAGACAAGAATTTCCAATATTTGGATAAAGTTCTTGTCTCAGTTCGAGATGATAAGGATTACCCAGAAATGAGTCGAAGTACGTTATGGAAACTTTTAAAAAAAATAGGCTTCCGCTGGAAAAAGAATCCCAGCAAGTCTATTTTATTAGAAAGTAGCGATATTGTCATATGGAGAAGACATTTTCTAAGAACCATAAAGGAAATGAGAAACCAAAAAAGAAAAATATTTTATCTTGATGAAACATGGATCAACGAGGGTCATACACCAAATAAATTTTGGCAGGATGAAACTGTTACAAGTCAAAGGCACGCTTTTGTAAATAACTTATCTACTGGTTTAAACCCACCATCAGGAAAGGGACGCAGGCTGATAATAGTACACATTGGCAGTTCAGACGGTTTTGTTGAAGGTGGTTTATTAACTTTTGAATCAACTCGTACCGGTGACTACCATGAAGACATGAACGCTGATGTCTTTCAAGAATGGTTCGAACAAATGATAGATCTTCTTCATGTAGTAATGTGTAATAGTAATGGATAATGCAAGTTATCACTCCAGACTTATAGAAGGACTGCCCACAACCAAGTGGTTAAAAAAAGACTTGCAGATGGCTGGTTCAAAAATATTACGTACCATCCCGGATCTATAAGAAAGGAACTTTATTCGTTGTGTGCCCTTCATAAAGAAAAATTTAAAAAATACGAAATTGATGAAATTGCCAAAAATCGTGGAATGACAGTACTTAGATCCCCACCATATCATTGTGAATTAATCCCGATTGAACTGGTATGGGCACAGATAAAGAGTGAAGTTTCAAGAAAAAATACCACTTTTAAAATTCATGATGTTAAACAGTTGTTTTTGGAGGCCGTAAATAATGTAAAACCTGAAAACTGGGAAAAGGCAGTAAATCACACTATTAAAGAAGAGGAAAAAATGTGGAAGCTGGACAATATTACTGATAAAATGATCGAGCCAGTTATTATAAATCTTGGTTCTGAAAGTTCATCTTCTGAATCTGATTTGGATTTGTAACAAGTAGCTGTAAGTTTTATATTAATATTTTTATTCATCTAGTTAACATACCTTAGACGGTTTTAAAAACTCTTTTTCTCTTTTGTAATTTTTAAAAAATTAAAAAAAAATGTGAATTTTTTAAAACCTTTTTTAATGTAGGCCAGTCAGTTCTAATATAGTGTGTGATAAAAGAGGTCACTTTTGTTTACATACACATAACACTTTATAACACTGAAATAATTCATTTATTTTTTACAATTATTCAAAGTAATTTTTCAATTAATCTTGAGCACGCCCATGGAGTGGTCGGAGGTACCAGTTAAAATTATGCTAATCACTCTCTCGTTCATAAAAATAAACTATAGCACAGTGTGCCGTTATTTGTTTATTTATCTTAAATCTATATGAATTAAAATCTTTTAGAGAAGTCGTTTGTGTTTAGTAAATCGAAACAGTTATGTTCTTATTATATTTAATAGAAACCAAGAATCTTTATTAGATTAGAAGTGTTAATAGTGTTTGTATTTCTATAAAAATTTATATGTGTTATGTTATTTTGTAGGTATTGGCTCGATCTTAGGTCTAGGAATGGTTTCCCCTAAGCCTGAGTTTACAGCTATGTTGTCAGTACTCGGACTCTCGGGCATAGTTGGCTATCACACAGTGTGGGGTGTTACTCCAGCGTTGCATTCGCCTTTAATGTCCGTTACGAACGCCATTTCCGGAATCACAGCTGTAGGAGGATTACTTTTGATGAATGGAGGATATTATCCTACAAATTCGGTTGAGGTACGTACACTTTTTAATTTACTCAAACCATTATGGTTGCGTGTTACAGCCTGGTGATTACGTTATTACTAAACCGTAGACATATGTAATTACATGGCATATCTTAATTTTTTCGATAACTGCATACTTTTGTAAATTAATCTTTTTAAAAGCACATCTATGAACTTGTATTTCTTTGTTTAGAGTTTGGCAGCAACAGCAGCTTTTGTGTCGTTCATCAACGTATTCGGAGGATTTTTAGTCACTAAGCGAATGTTAGACATGTTCAAAAGGTAAATTATTTCGTTTCCCATATTTTCGATTATAATTAAAATCAAATTTGATACCGCAGAGTTTAACTCGAAAACAGCGCCTCGCTAAATGGTAAGTATGCTGTAAAGTTATCGTAGTACTGTCACACATTGAAATAAAATCTTTCTAGATTCTTGTGTGATTGTAACTTTGTTGTATTAATTAAAGGAAACATTGGTTCGTGTTTTCAGGCCGGGAGATCCGAAGGAATATAACTCCTTGTACGCCATCCCGCAATTGGTTTCTTGGGTGCATACGGCTGGGCCGCCATGAATGGTTTAGCGGAGATTCATCAAGCTGCTTATCTAGCAGCTTCGCTTTGTTGTGTTGGAGCCTTAGCTGGTCTAAGCTCGCAGACTACTTCAAGATTAGGAAATAATTTAGGAATAGTAAGATCCATATTTACTTTTTTTACTATATTTCAATAAGGTGAACCTACGAAGTGTGAACAAGTTTTCAGTTAGATGATTTTTATGACATATTTTGCATGATTTAGGAGATATTTTAAGTCATGATATTTTTTCCTAGAATGCTTACAGACTTTACTACATATACTTGAATTTGGGCACGTTCGTAATATCTGATGTGGAAATTATGTTAATTTTTTTTAAGTATCCATGGGTCACACTTTACCGTCAATTTGGGGTAAGTGTGACAATGCACTTTAGCTTACAACAGCGTGTGTTATTTTTGGGGTAAGTGTAAATAATTTAAAAGTGCAACAAAAAAACGAATTTTTTAGTATTTGAAAAATTTTAATTTATTTATTTTTAAGCAACTTACAAACTTTTTAAGATTTAAAGTTAAAGGTTCAACCCGACAAAATTTACGTCAAAAACGAATGATCCTTCTGTCTTTAACGGGTTCTGGTAAAGTTTTTATAATATCCTCTTCAACTATTATATCCGTGTCTTCTATATCAGGCCAAAAAAAGGTGTTACTACTCTTTTTATATCTTAAAAATCAAATTTTCAATTAAAAATACCCAGAACAATTTGGGTCTTTCCCAACTCTCCAACTTTTGGCGCTTCTTTCTCAATTATTTGCTCGTCTTCTTAAATTATTTCAGAATCTAAATCATCTTCCGAGTCAACACATTCTACCAAATCTTCTTCCGATAGTAAGCTACTAAAAGTTTCTTCTCGTTTCTTAAAACTCTTCGGTTATTGAATTTTTGCTTCTTTTTTCTTTTTGCGTTCTTCTTCTTTTGTTTGTTTTTCTATTTCTTTTATGTTCTTCAGTCTATTTTCTTCTGTAAGTTTATCCAGAACTTCTTCGGAAGTAACGACTTCTGCCCCTGCGGCTACTTTTTTTCTCTTTGAACCTGAAGGACTTTTCTTATTTTCTGTTTAAAATTGTTCAATAGCAGCTCCTCAAAACTTATTTTTGAAGAACTACTACTTGGAGTTGCGTCAGAAATATTGGTTGTATAGTTTTCCACAATCTGGTCTTTAGTCTTTATTTACCAATTGATCAATATTGCCGGCTGTAATAGCATCTATATTAGTATTTGCGGTTTCAGCTACAACTATTGTTTGGTCTTCTAAACTCTTTTGTTCTTTCCATCTTTTTAGGCTTTCAGGTTGGTATTTTTTCTTCTGGTATGACATGACGGTTAAATGGATATATACCAGCTTTTCTAAACCCGTTTTTGATCATTTCTACACTTACGTTTTTCCATGTAGTGTTATCGTCAGAGAAAACTCTTTTTTTTAATTTTAAGACCAGTATTATGTCTCTGCCAGGTTACGAGTTGTTGGTCACAAACGTCTTTTAGAGACTTAAATACGGCTAAATCCAAAGGTTGCAGAAGGTGGCTGGTATCAGGAGGAAGTTTGATGATTGTGATATCATTCTGTCGTGCTAATTCAACTAGTTCAATACTAATATGGATACTATGACCGTCATATATCAACATTACCGGCCTATTTTCTCCTAATGCGAGAATAGACATTTTTTTTTAATAATTTAAAAATACGTCACTCTCCATCCATCCATTGAGACTGACTGCATAAGCAGTTCCCGGAAATGAGTTCTTGTTATCTGGTAGCCAGGAATCCCAAATATTTTTTCCCTTGAATACGATTAGTGGTGGTGCCTTTGTCCCTGATGCAGACACTGCTGAAAGAATCGTGGTGTTTTCTCTTCCTAGACTGGAAGTAGTTCTGGAACTTGGTTTACCTTTAGCTCCCACGACTTTCGGTTTTTTTGGGGTCGTGAGAAATGGATGTTTCGTCCATATTCTACACGAGTTACGACTTGTCTTCTAATTTTAGCTGAACTAAAGTTTTTTTGAGAATATCAAAATATTCTTGGATGATGAAAGGGTCTGTCATTTTTTTTCTTGAGTACTCCACAGCTTGAGGTTTTTTTATGCTAAGTTGGTGACGTCTTTTAAAAACTCCGAACCACTCATCCCCAGGAGTGTTATCCCTAAATGGAGTTTTATGTCATTTTTGGTAACAAATTCGCAAACAATCTCTAGTAATTCCAATCTGGATATTCCAAATCCCCACTGTTCCATAGTTTTTAGTCCTTGGGCCAATCTAGTCTCATCTTGGAGTTGAATCGCTGGAGCCCTCCCTTGCGATTTGCCTTTAACTACTCGAGCACCAGTCACATGGTAGAATAATGTTGTTTTAGGAATATTATACAATTTATGTGCCTGGTATATAACAAACCTCTCTTCTTATCTCTGACACTACGTGATTTAAATCATCTTGGGTATATTTGGTTGCTCGATCTCACTTGTATAGTTTTATAGTTTATAGTTTCTCACCATGTTCAATCTATAATTAAAAATTAAAACCAATATAAGGTGAATGTTCGAATAAATGAACTTTGATGGTACACAAGGCAAATATCGAACACAGTGGTTAATCAAATCTTGCCCAAGTACTTTCGATCACAAGATCATCCTCAGGGGCATTTCGTCAGTTGTGGCCTATCCAGCAGTAATAGAATGTTATAAATGTAAATTGGGACATAACAAATACACTAAACAAAGACAAACAAACACTTTAAAATTTAAGAAATGGAGAAGCTACATTTTATATAGAAGCCGAAGACAGAATCTGTTCTGTCTGTCTGTCTCCGGCTTCTATATAAAATGTAGCTTCTCCATTTCTTAAATTTTAAAGTGTTTGTTTGTCTTTGTTTAGTGTATTTGTTATGTCCCAATTTACATTTATAACATTCTATTACTGCTGGATAGGCCACAACTGACGAAATGACCCTGAGGATGATCTTGTGATCGAAAGTACTTGGGCAAGATTTGATTAACTACTGTGTTCGATATTCTCACCATGTTCAATCCATAATTAAACATTAAAAGATAGTTCTGCAAGTCCACAGTTGCCCCAGTACACGTGGTCACATTTACCTCAGTAGGCAATATAAACGAGGCAAGTGTGACCTAAGTCATAATTCAGTTAAAAATTAAAATTGGCAATTTTTTACTTACCACCAATACTCGCTTCTCACAAAATTTGTAAACAAAGTCTGCACACTAACATCAACAAGTTAATTCGAACGGTCAAATATCAAGTTACTTTTCTACAAACTGCGTATTTGCACAGATCACTGTTTCAAGAACTTAAGTTTCTAGTCACAAGATGCCGCTGGCATCCCTAAATTGTGAAAAATTTTATATAGTATAGTCACACTTGTTCCACAATCACACTTTCCCAGGTTTACCTTAATAGCTAATTGTGTCTAAACCTTCTTTTTTAAATGGGGTTTTTATCGTTATTTATGAATGTTTGTTGTCTTAGATTGGGGTTACTGGAGGAATAGCAGCTACTTTAGGTCAACTTTCACCAACCAACGAAGTACTAGCCCAAATGGCCGCCTGTCTGGTAGCAGGTGGTGGTATTGGTACTGTAATAGCCAAGAGAATCCAAATTTCCGACCTGCCACAACTTGTTGCGGCTTTCCATAGGTACGATATTTATAGTCCAATATTTTTTTAGTTTATTTTTAGTTTGACCGATTTTTCAATGATTTTACTTTGTTGTAAATAATGATTGAGAAAAATTCTAATTAAAAGAGACTGCAATAAATATATCGTGGGTTTTTACAGATTAATGTTTACATAACCCAAGATTTTGTTTATAATTGTCTACTTTTTTAACCCAACCTAGGAATATATTTGCCAATATCGCATATGTGGGACGTAAAACACGTCTGTAAATATGTTTGTTTCTTAAACCAAGGTCTATTATGTTGGTTTTTTGCTTTAAAAATAAAAATACGTGTTATCATCTACCTATTTCTGCAAAAATCCGAATAATTTAAAATTGTATTTGTCTGCAGTTTAGTTGGTTTGGCAGCTGTACTGACTTGTGTTGCGACATTCATCCATGATTTTCCAACGTTTGCCGTCGATCCAGCAGCTAATGTTATTAAAACAGCTTTATTCTTAGGAACATATATTGGAGGTGTTACATTCAGGTAAGAAGACGTGTACAACACGTTTCTGTTTCGTTTAGTTGATCCAATCAGCTACATTTTTGTTATGTACGTTTTTTAGCGGCTCATTAGTGGCTTACGGAAAACTACAAGGTCTTCTGAAATCAAACGCCTTGCTGCTACCTGGTCGACATGCTTTGAACAGCGGTCTTCTCTTAGCTAATATTGCCGCAGGCGGCTACTTGTTCTATGATCCTACCATGGCTGGAGGTCTAGGAGCTCTTGGAACCACAGCTGCTTTATCTTCAGTTATGGGTCTCACATTAACTGCTGCTATTGGAGGTAAGATAATTTTTATCATTTATTGTAACACTTTTAGGAAGGCTACAGTAGATATTTTTATTCGTTGTTTGTAAGCCTCTCATTACTGTAAGATTAAGGAACAAATATATTTTCTTGCTAAAATTAAAATCAAAATGAAAAACTTTACTTCCGAAAAAACAAAAATTTGTTGAAATAGTAATTTTTGCTCAGTTTTACGTCCAACTAAAAACCTCTCCTCTGTCACTCCAGACATCAGGATGGAAGGGCCGATTAGGTAAATATCTCTCCTGATGCCCTGCTATCACCCGATATTGAGTTCCACATACTCTCTTACCAACCTTTCAAATGGTTATAATGAAAGGCAACGTTTGGTACCTCAAAGCAGCGTTGTAGCTGTCAGATAGGACGATTAGTATCATGTGACATTCCAAGAAATTGCTTGGAAGAAGTGAAGTTAACCAGAATCTTTAGCTTCTGATTATCTAGCATATATAAATTTTTATATCTCTAAATCCTTTTGGCTTGTATATAGATATCACTTGCATTGAAAAATTAAAGGGGTATTTCACATTGAGCCAGCTGTATAACATATAATATAGACGAGGCAATGGGGCAGTAAAAAGACCAAAGCCGACCAAATTTTTGCAGTAGGATGGATCTCAATGAAACTTTTTCCATTGGATTCGTATGTGTGCCAGGAAATTTTGTGGACAAAAATGATGATGTGGAAATGAAAATTGCATTATTGGACAAGGAAATTGCAATTCATCATCAGTTGGCGCTACAGCCCTTCGTGAGCCTTGACCTGCTTCAAAACATTCTTCCATCCTTCCCTATCGAGTGTCTGTCTTCTCCAGTCCCTCACTCCAATCTCCCTCAGATCTTCCTGTACATCGTCCAGATATCTGAGTTTAGGTCGCCCCCTTTTTCTTCTTCCGATCGGCCTGTTTAGCATAGTTATTTTAGTGGGATTACTCTCATCCATCCGCATAACGTGGCCCACCCAGCTTAGGCGGTTTATTTTGATGGTCTTCACAATATCTGCATCACCAAAAAGTCTATAGAGTTCCAAGTTATATCGCCTTCTCCACAGACCCTGTTCGTTTACTCCGCCATATATGGTCCTCAATACTTTTCTTTCAAAGACTCGTAGTAACTCTTCATCTCGGGTCGTCATTGCCCATGTTTTCAATCCGTATGTGAGCACTGGGCGTATTATTGTTTTATAAAGTTTGCACTTTGTTGCTATTGATATACTTCTCGCTCTTAGTTGAGGGCCCAGGCCAAAATAACAGCGGTTAGCCACGCATATTCTTTTTTTTTTTATCTCGTGTTATTTTTGCAGTCTACCAGTGATCCTAAGTAGCAGAATTCTTCTACCATTTCTATCGTTTCGTGTTGCACTAAGTCTAAGTTATTTTGTTGAATTCTTGATATGGCCGGCATATATTTAGTTTTCTGGATGTTAATCAGAAGTCCGATGTTTTCTGCGGCATTTTTGATACGTGTGAAAGCCTCCACTGCTTCATTTTGGGTTCTTCCAATTATGACGATATCATCAGCGTATGCCATTATTTGTATACTACGGGTATATATCGTACCTTTTAAGTTTATTCCCGAATCTCTCATAACTTTTTCTAACGCTAGGTTGAACAGCGTGCACGATAGCGCATCTCCCTGACGTAGTCCTCTGTTGGTTTTAAATGGTTTTGAAACATCCCCTTGTACGCGCACTTTACATTCGACTTTCATCATTGTCATTTTAATTAATTCTACCAAACCTTTTGGCATTCCTAATTCGATCATCGCCGAATATAATTGGGACCTGTCAATAGTATCGTACGCTGCCTTAAAGTCTACGAAGATGTAATGGCAGTCTATGTCGTACTCCGTCGTTTTTTCCAATATTTGTCTGATGGATGATATGTGATCAATGGTAGATTTGTTTTTCAAGAAGCCGCTTTGGTGGGATCCTATTATATTGTCAGTATACCGTGCCAGTTATTCGTTAAGTATCAGGGACACAATTTTGTATGCTGTATTAAGAAGGGAAATCCCTCTAAAGTTGGAACATTCAAGAACGTTTCCTTTTTTGTGTATGGGGCATATAATTCCAGTATTCCAATCTTCTGGTAACGCGCGTTCTTGCAATACCTGTATTAGTAGTTTGTGAAGGAGGGTTACAAATGTTTGACCGCCACATTTAATTATTGAAATTGCAATTACTTTATTCAATGTTATGAATACACTGAATACGAATGTCATGAAGGCGATGGTCTCCGAGGTACCCGTTACACCTGAGCTCGGTCTTCTGGAGTTTTGTGGAAATTCCATACAAAATCAGCGCAAATTCGTTATTCGTGAGTTTTTGGGAAAGTTGATCATGAATATTATAACGATGATGGTCTCCGGTGCCGCTGGTACCAACGACGGGCCTCTTCTCTTTTAGTTTAATAGAATACAAAATCAGTGCACACTCGTTACTCAGGGGTTTTTGGGGTTGTTGATCCCGAATATCATGACTTTGATGGTCTCCGATGCCCATAGTGTCCACAGGACGAGATCTGTCTCCTGAAGTTTTGTGGAAATTTGATATAAAATCAGTGCAAACTCGTTACTTGAGAAGTTTTTAGAGATGCTGTACACTAATATAATGTTGGCGATGATGTGCAAGGTACCTTGTGCTAGGAGGAACCTCTTCTCCTAGAGTTTTGTGAAAATTCGATGTAAATTCAGTGCAAACCCGTTACTCGAGGGATTTTGTGGTTGCTGATCACGAATATCATCACGGTGATGGTCTCCGATGCACAAACTCCAAGAGACTCTCCTAGGCACAAGGTACCTCGGGCACCATCGCCGACATAATATTAGTATTCAGCTGTAATAATCAATAGATCCTCAAGGGATGCTAACCCTGCGAGCGGCTGCAGGGAATACTGGTCACACTGGTCTGGAGGGCTGGCTCGTCTTCGTGGATTTACGAGAAGATAAGGGATTTCGGGATAGGGGTAAGGACTCCTAGGTCTCAGGTCCTGTAAAGAGCAGAGGTTATGGGCTTACTTTTGAAGCCGGAGATATGCATACGCAGAATCTCGTGTTCTCCTAGTCTCTAGTGAGTTGGACGAAAGGAACATTAAAAAAAACCAATTTAGAGTCAACAATATATTGAATCTACCCTGAAGTTACAAATACAATCGTTAACACGTTATTCTGCGCGTCGGGAGACGATGAAGCAAGATAGTGAAGAGTTGACAGTTGTACTAATATAATTACTCAGGTTAGTATAAAGAAATCTGTTACCTTATGTGTGTATTAGGGCTTTCAACCACGACACGTTCAGTCCTCTGGAACTCGGTCAGTTGAGGGTCTCCTCCTGAGTTACGGACTTACGAGCTGCCACAATAACCAGACTACACGCGATACTAGGCCGGATGATAAGCGCTTCCCGGAGAATTACCGACTGCGTCGCGTACTGGACGCTATCGCGTCCGGCGATCACTGCCCTGAGCGGGCAGTTACGGTGCCCCGCTATCACTGACTGCCCATTACTAACTACCTGGCTGGCGTCCTTAGTTCGGTTTTTATCAAATGGTCTCCTCGTTGACCGGTTGTAGTCCAAGGTTGCGTTTTCGCTGAATTGTAGGTCCTATATTGCATTACAATAACAGTTTCTGTTTGACGTGCTTTTTGTACGTTTAAACAATTATCAAACAATGCAATAACTAGGTCCAAATCTTTGTGTGATTTAAAATGCAAATTTTACTGTAATAATTATCCCTTATTTGATTTGGAATATATAATAATTATCTCGAATAATTATTATCTTTTCTATGCTACTTAGCCCTTTTTTCCAACTTCTCACTCACTTGCTACGCTCACATTACACAGCGCCCCATAACCTTAGAGTAACGAGTTTGCACTGATTTGTATCGAATTTCCAAAAAAATGTACGGAGGCCGTTTTGAGTAACAGGTGCCTCGCACCTCATCTTCGACATGATATTAGTGTTCAGCGATCCCAAAAACCACGCGAATAACGAGTTTGCACTGATTTTATATCGAATTTCCAAAAAACTTCAGGAGACGAGCCTCAGATGCACCAATTACCTCGGAGAACATCGCCGTCATGATATTCATGTTCAATGACCACAAAAATTCTCTAGTAGTAATACTGAACTCATTTCCGTCAATTATTTCCGATTTACAAATTTATCGTTTTTCATCACTTCGAAATGCTCTGGGGAAATGCATTTTCGTTATTTAATATTGTAATATTGTAATTTATGAAACGAAGTAAACGCCAGAATAAAATCAATCAAAAGATAACATTGGGCCAAATTCACTTGCGACATGGACTACGACCTATATGGTGGCCAAAAAAAAGTATGGAAAATGCTCCGCAACAGGAAAAAACCAGTTAACGAGTTCGTGCAGACCAAAGGAGTACCTATAGAGACATGGCAACAGCATTTTAAAGAGCTATATGATGCTGAAGAAACGCTGAATATAAACGAAGGCGAAACAGATGTGAGTGCTACAATCAATGACGAAGAAGTAGAAGCAAAGATCAAAAAGCTAAAAAACAGAAAATCACCGGGACCGGATGGTATACCCAATGAACTTTTAAAATATGGAGGCCCGGAACTTGCAAGTAAACTGGCACAACTATTTAACAAAATATTAAACAAAACAGAAACACCAGAGGAATGGTATAATAGTATCACAATCCCCATATTTAAAAAAGGACAAAAAATCTGCCCACAAAACTATAGAGGAATAACCCTCTTAATGAAACTTTTCACGGGTATTCTCAAGGACAAATTGGAAAAGCAAATCACTAATGCTGAAGAACAACAAGGTTTTACAAAAGGGCGGTCTATAACAGACGCAGTATTTATAATAAAACAAATAAAAGAAAAAGCTATAGAGTTCGGCATGCCAGCGTATATTTGCTTCATTGATGTGACGAAGGCATTTGACAGAGTTCGCCTGGGAGACATTCTAAATATATTAATAGAAAATGAAACACCGACCAGTATAACAAAGATACTCCATAACCTAAATAACAACAACGTAACCAAAGTTAGAGCAGAAGACGAATTCACTGAAAATATTCCAACACCGGGAGGAATTAGACAAGGCGACAGTTTAAGCCCTTCTTGTTTAATCTTCTTATGGGCAAAATTATCAACAAAGTAACATCTCTTAATCTCGGATATAGAATGGGCAACAAAAGAATTGGTATGGTGTGTTACGCAGACGATGCAGCAATTATTGCCGAATCAGAAGATGATCTCCAAAGGCAGCTCTTTCAGTTCTTTCAAACAAGCCGACTACTAAATATGAACATCTCTACCAACAAAACTAAATGTATGACAATAGCAAAAGATCCGCTCAGATGTAAGTTAGTGGTTGAGGACAACCCCATAGAACAGGTGATGCAATTCAGATATCTGGGCATAGATATATCAAGCACCCACGACCCAGTAAAGGACCTGAGGAGTCAGATCAACAAAGCATCTGCACTGTCAGGATGTCTGCGGGAGATAGTCTGGTCAAATCCGTATATGCGCACAGATAGAAAAATTAGAATCTATAAGACTTGCATACGACCGATCATGACATATGGCATAGAAGTGCGCGAAGATACTAACAAAACGAAACAGATGCTAAGGGTTGCCGAAATGAAAACCCTAAGAACAATAATGGGGAACACAAGAAGAGACAGAGTGAGAAATACAAACATTAGAGAGCAGTGCAAAATTCAAGATATTGTAAGATGGGGAAGGCAGCGTAAGAGGATGTGGTACAACCATGTAAGACGAATGGATGAGAATAGACTGCTAAAAATTGCCCTAGAAAACAATCCGCCCGGTTCAAGACCCCCCGGAAGACCACCTAAAAGATGGAGGGATAGTTGGCAATCTACCTCCCAAGAAATTAACCAGAGGCAGCTTCAGAATTAAACAGATCGAAAGATCTACAAAAAGTAGAAGAAGAAGAAGAATATTATAATTTTTATTTCTACATCATTCTTTTGTTCACAAAATTTCCTGACACTCATTCGAATCGAATGCAACAAGTTTCATTGAGGTTTCATTACTTCGCCTAATAGCTTATTTATAGCACTTTTTAAAAACTTCATAATTATTTCTTCAAATCTGTCAAAAACCATTAAATCTGTAAATTATAGTATACCTATATGGTAGTTTATTTAGAACAATCTGGTACAAATTTCCTGTATTTTTTTTCATCATCATCATATAACGGGGGTCCTACGGCGATTGCCGCTTCCCGCATTTCACCCTCCATCTTTTCCTATCTCTCCAATCTCCCTCTTCTAAGCCTCTAGATTGCATTGTTTTTGTAATTTCTCTTCTCCAGGAATTTGGTGGTCTTCCCCTTTTCCTTCTTTCTGGCGGAACATACATTAAGGCTTTCTTTGGCCACCGCTCCTCCTCCATTCTCATCACGTGACCATACCATTGTAATTGCCTTCCTTGTATTCTATCTGAAAGAGTATCTCTAATTCCTGTACGGTTTCGTATTTCCTCATTCCTGATTCTTTCCATTCTCGATACTCAACATGACCTTCTAAGATAATCCATTTCCACAACGTCTACTTTATCTCGTTCATTCTTTGTCATCGTCCAACATTCGGCACCATATGTGGTAATTGGTTCTACAATTGCTCTGTATACGCGAAGTTTGGTATGCATCTTTATTTTATTAGACCACAGTAATTAATTCAGTATTCGGATGCATTTTTTCCCTTGGGTTATTCGGTTTTGTACATCTATCTTAACTCTGCCATCTGCTGATATGATGCTTCCTAGATATTTATACCGGTTGCAGCCTTTTATGACTGCGTTTTCAAGCCTCAGATCTGTGGTATTTCCTCCAATTTTTAAATATTCTGTTTTGCTTATGTTTATAGTAAGCCCCCATTTGGCATATTCCTCAAATAATTTTCGATTCATATAATTTATATCTTCCTCATCGGTTGCAACCACCACCTGATCATCTGCAAACAACAATGTATACAGAGTTTCTTGTCCCACCTCGATGCCCATAAATCTACATTTATTTCTCCAATTCCTCAATGCTTCTTGGACGTATATTTTAAAGAGTGTTGGTGACAAACAGCATCCTTGCTTTAGGCCTTTAGTGACTTTAAATACATTTGAGGTTCTAGTTCCAATTTTTACACAACTAACTGCATTTTCGTACAATTTATATATCGCTCGGATATACGTCGAATCCAATCCGGACCTTTTGAGGACCTCAAAACTTTTCTTTAACGGGACACTATCATATGCTTTCTCAAGGTCTATAAATACCAAATGGGTTTCTCTACTTCTTTCGACCTCAATTATTTTCAATTATTTGTCGTAGGATAAATATATTATCAAGGCAGGATCTCCCGGTACGAAAGCCGCTTTGTTCTTCAATATCTTGTATCTGTCTTTCAACCCTCTTCTTTAATATTCTGGCGTACAACCGGCCCACAGAGCTCGTCACACTAATACCTCTATAATTGGAACAGTCTCTTTTATTTCCTCTCTTATATATGGAGCTTATATAAGATTTATTCCAATCTTTAGGAATTTCCTGGTCTCCACACATACATTTATTGAAAAGGTCTACTATTAATTCTAAAAGTGCAGTCGGCCCATATTTAACCAGCTCTATGGGAATGTCTCCAGGCCCTGCGGCTTTTCCGTTTTTAACCTCTTTTAAGGTTTCCGTCAATTCAGATAATGTTCTTATAGGGATTTCCTGTTTTTCGTCTCTGTTGTCTATTAATTCCCTTATCTTTTCCCATCTGTACTCTACTCTATCCTCTTTCAGCAGTTTCGTATAATATTCTTCCCATTCATTTAACTTTAGTGAGAGAAATGTTGTCTTCATTTTTCTCATTTTTCCTAAACTGTTTTAATGTTTTCCAAGCTTGCGCCACTTTTGTTCCACCCATAAATCTGTCCAGTTCATCACACTTAGCCTCCCAGTTTATATTTTTCGCCTTATCCACGTCTTTTTTAACTTCTCTATTCCATTTAGCGTATATTTCTGTCTTGAGGATCTTTGGATTGAAGCCATATGTGATATGCTTGTTTTTTCTTGAGAACTTTCTCTTCTAGTTCCGTTGACAACCATTCAGGTTTTCCTTTTTTCCGATTTTCAACTGTTCCCAGTGCTTCATTTGCCGCTTCATGAATATATTTTTTAATTACCTCATACAGACTTTCGGGGTCTAAGTCCTTTGTTTCTCTATTTTTTATTTTCTGAGCTATTCTAATTTTATATAAGAACTTTGTCGAATCTTGTTTAAAGCTTTCCAGGTTATATTTTATGTTTTCTATGGTTGTTCCTATGTCTGTTACTTCCTCATTTTTGTGACTTGATTGTTCTCTCTTAAATGTCACCATTACTTTTGCAATAATCATATGGTGGTCACTTCCACATTCTGGCCCTCTAAACACCTTCACGTCCTTCGTTTTTAGTTTAGAATCTTTACGATGAATGAAATAGTAAATTATTGATTTTAAATTCCTGGTAGGCTGCGTCCATGTAAATTTATGTATATTCTTATGGGGGAAGAAACCATTTAATATTTTCAAAGAATGTGCCTCGGAAAAATCTATTAATCTTTGACCATTGTCGTTCAGAATGTCTTCTCCATATCTCCCTATTATTTCACTGTTGGAGCTCTTTCCGGTTGTTGCATTAAGATCACCTAAGATCCAAATTTCTTTCTTCTTATTAATTGTGGCTAGAACAGTTGTTAACTTGTTAAAGTACTCTTCCTTGCTGTCAACCCTTGAGTCATCCGTCGGTGCATATGTTCCAATCACCACTATTTCATGGCCATTTTTCTTAATTTCCATGAGGATAATTCTTTCATCTATTTCTTGCCATGATTTAATACATTTTTTCAGTTTCTGATGTATTGCTATAGACACTCCTCTTTTAGCTCGTTCGCTCTTTTCTACGCCACTATAGAAATGCAGGTATTCGTTTATCTTTTCATTTCCTCTTCCTTTTTTCTTTACTTCAGTTAATACATAGATGTCTAGTTTCATTTTACTCAGTTCACGGAAGACCTCCTCCTGTTTTGTCCTTATTCCTTGTATGTTCCAAGCACCCAAATTCATAATCCATTTTCTTTGCGAATTTCGTTTATAGTTTAATCCGTCCGAATTCCAAGGCTTTTTGCTGAAATTTTTAACTTTGATCATTTTTTCCGAGTATCGAGGAGTTGACCCGATGCCTCAACCCCCAACTTGGAGGACCAGGGTTTTAAATCAGAGTATCCTTCTCTTAGATAAGTTGCCTTCTCTACGGCTTGGGAGTCCTATCTACCCCACCTGTTGGTCCGCGGGTGGTATTTTATTTCCCACCTACCCGCCGGCCTAGCTGCAAACAGGCCGGTGAGGGCATTCCCCTATCCGCCACCTGGGGACGCGCTCTCTAGGGTTACAGGTTCCCCCGAGAGTTCCTGTATTTTTTTTACCTTGCTCATTATATTTATTCGTTGTTTTAGGAGCGGACATGCCTGTTGTTATTACAGTGCTCAACAGTTATTCCGGCTGGGCGTTATGTGCTGAAGGATTCATGTTAAACAACAATTTGATGACCATTGTAGGTGCACTTATCGGCTCTTCTGGTGCCATTTTATCCTACATTATGTGTAAAGTAAGTATATCATTCTGACCAGGTTCCATCTTCTATTTGTTTTGTGTATTTTCTTACACTTTTTTTTGTTTTGCTTTTATTTTATATTTCATTTCATTTACTTTATATTTAATATTTACATTTTAGGCAATGAACAGATCTCTAGCAAATGTTATTTTGGGAGGTTACGGCACTTCAAGCACAGGTACTGGCAAACCAATGGAAATAACTGGAACTCACACTGAAATCAACATCGATTCTGCTGTAGAAGCTATTAAAAATGCCAGAAATATAATTATTGTACCTGGATATGGACTTTGTGTAGCCAAAGCACAATATCCAATTGCTGAAATGGTTAGCAAATTGAAAGCAGCCGGAAAGCACGTTAGATTTGCTATTCATCCTGTTGCAGGTAAATTAATATTTTTTCAAATGATTAAGAGGAAGTGTAAAGACATTTTTTTTGTAGTTGGTATATTTAAATTTTACAACTATCTAAAAGGGATTATATCTTCGTCAGTGAATGCAGTACTTGTGATGACACGTGGTCGGGTTTATAGGATAGGTTATGGAGACTGGAAATTAGGTTACAATGAAACACCTTTCGTCTATCGTGTCTAGATTCAGAATGGTTTTATTTCCTCTTCCTTGCACCTGTACGTCACGTCACTCTTACATGTTACCAACCTGAGTGCGTTCCGAATGTTTTCTTATTCACATACATCACATCCCCCTCTTTTTAAAATGACAAAATTAAAATAAATTTCTTTAACAAATTTATAAATAAACATTTGTTCCATACATCCTTTACTCCCTTTTTTCTTATATAATAAAATTACTTACAAATCTAATCTATCAGGTTTTTTAACAATTCGGCCTGAGGAGGTTTGTGGAGGTAAGTTTATTGGAGAATGATGATCAGAATTATTATCAGAGACACTTCAAGATTTTGTGACTCACTAGTTTCAGATTCATTATCTGTATGTTCATCATCAGAAGTTGCAGGAATGTGAACTAAAAATTGTCTATTTCTTGCAATTTCTGACCCAGAATCTCTTAATTTAATCGAGTAGGTTTTATCTCTTAATTTATGTGTGATAAGACCTTCTCTCAATTTGCTTTTATCTTTAACATAAACTTTTTCATTAGTTTTAAGCGGTTTTAAATTTATTGTACCTCTATCATAATAAGCTTTTTGAATGTTCTGTCTTTTCTGAAAATTACTGATCACTATTTTAGCATTACATAATTTTGGTTTTAGAATTTTGTCAGTAGTGGGAATCTGAGTTTTAAGTACTCGTGACATTAAAAGTTGAGCTGGTGATGGTAAATTTGAATCAATTGGTGTATTTCTAAGTTGTAGCAATGTTAAGTATGTATCTTTACCATCTTTATGAGATTTTCTTAACGCTTTTTTGTAGGTTTGAATATATCTTTCACTTAGACCATTAGACCTATGATTTTCTGGGCTTGACTTTATACTTTTAAATTCCCATTCTTGGCAAAATTTAACAAATTCGTTGGCTATATATTGTGGTCCACCATCAGAGTAAAAGATTTTTGGTATTCCATGACGAGCAAATATTGATTTTAAATGTGTAACTACAGTTGAACTGGTTGTATCTTTCAACAGACAAATTTCTGGATATTTACTATAATAATCTACCACTATTAAATAACTTTTTTGACCTATGTGAAATATATCAGAGCCAACTTCCTCCCATGGGAGTTTTGGGATATTGTGTGGAGTTAAAGGTTCTCTTTTTGCATTTTCAAATTGTGGGCAAATTGGGCAACCTTTAACTTCATTCTCAATTTCAACTGTCATGGAAGGCCAAAAATCTTTTGAACAGTCAACCGATATTAAGCACTTTTCATTTATATCAAAATGTCTTAACACTGGGCTTTTTGAAATTATTTCCTTAATTTTACTAAAACATTCATCATGTTTATGTGACCAATGCCATTCTACATTTTCTTTAATTAATTCCCTAAGGGGCGAGGTTAAGTCTGATAAATTTTTTATGTGTTTAGACAAATACGTTATCATTCCTAATAATCTCTGTACATCTTTTTTATTTTCTGGCGTTTTCATATCTTGAATGGCTTTAATTTTATCACTATCTATAGTTTGACCCTCTTTATTGTAATTAAATCCTAAAAATTTTATATTTTTTACACCAAAACTACATTTTTCATAATTAAATTTGACATTATTTATCCTAGCTCTTTCTAAAACTTGATATAAACATTTATCGTGTTGTTGTTTTGATGAGCCATAAACAATTATATCATCAATATATGTTTCTACACCCTCCATTTTGAATATTTTACTGAATCTTTTATGAAATACCTCACTTGCTGAACTAATGCCATAGGGCAGCCTTAAAAATTTATATCTACCATAGCAAGTGTTAAAAGTACATAATTTACTACTTTCACCATCAAGTTTTATGCTCCAAAATGCTTTTGAAGCATCAAGCTTGCTAAAATAAACACTACCTTTTAAATTTGCAGCTATTTCATCAACCGTAGGGAGTTGAAAGTGCTCTCTTTTGATAGCTTTATTCAAGTCTCTAGGATCGATACAAACTCTTATAGAATTACTTTTTTGTTTTCTTACTATGACTATGGAATTGACCCAGTCTGTAGGTTCATTAACTTTCTCAATTATACCATTTTTCTCCATTTCATCTAATTCAAGTTTTAGTGTCTCCTTTAGCTGTAGTGGAATCTTTCTTGGAGGATGTATAACTGGTTGTGCAGATTCATTTAACACAATTTTGTATGGCTCATCCAAACAGCCTATACCTGAAAAAACCTCCTTAAATTTTTCGTTCACATCAGAGTAATCATTTTTAAATGTAACTTCTCTAGAATTCAAATTACTTTCAATTTTTTCTATTGTATTGACCCTTTTTAATATATTTAAAGCTTTACATGTAGGAAGACCTAATACTGTTGGTGAATTAATCCCTACCACATAAAACATTATGTTGTACATATTGTCTTTATATTTGCATTCCAAAATACATTTTCCAATGACTCTAAGTTTTTCATTTGAAAATGTTGTTAACCTACAATTTGTTTTATGTAGTTCAACCTTAACTTCTAGAGAATTTAACTTATTTATTGATATTACATTTGCCATTGCCCCTGTATCCAATCTACAGCTTAATTTGTGCTTATTAACTTTAAAATTTATCATGAAATCATTGTCAAAAGTATCAATTTTAGTATTTACCATACCTATAAACAATTCATCTGATTCTGAATCATCTACATTTACATATTTAATTTGTTTTTGAAAACATACTTTTGCATAATGCCCTATCTTATTACATAAATTACACTTAGCTTTATATGCCTTGCAGGGTTGGCCTCTGTGCTCCATTCCACATCTACTGCACCCTGAACTGCTTCCGGATTTACATTGAACTGGCTGCCTTGGGACTTCGAATGAGTTTGATTCACTCTTCTGTCTTCCCACTGTGCTTTATTTACATATTTCTTACCGTAGTTTCCTTTCTTTATGTAGTTTACCTCCTCTGACCTCATTTTTTCAGAATGGATTTTCGAGCTTTCTATACTTTTACACAGATTGATTGCTTTTTCCAAGCTCATCTCATCTTCTTCTAACAGTCTCTGTCTCATGGTTTCATCTGTTACCCCACATGTTATGCAAGTCTTAATCAGACTGTCCTCCAAATTATCCAACTCACAATTTTTTGCCTGGTTTACAATATCTGTTATGAATTTGTCTACTGACTCATCTTCATTTTGTTTTCTGTTAAACAGGCAATACCTTGCGTTTGATACATTGCTTTTGGGTTTGAAATGTGCTTCAAATTTTGTAATTAATGGTTCTAACTTATCTTTTTCTTCTGTTGAGAACTTAAACGTATTATAGATTTTGAATCCGTCGTCTCCTATTAGTTGTAGCAGTTGTGCGCATTGGGTTATTTCAGGTTTTTTTGTTAATTCTGTTGCTTGAAGGTAGTTTTTAAATCTTTGTATGAAGAACTTCCAGTTTTCGTATAAATTACCTGACATTTGCATTGAGTTTATTGCTGCCTTAGATTCCATTTCACTTTTATACTCTTCTTAAATCTTAAAGAATTCGGTTTGGTTTCAGATACCGGGTTTCGGCACCATGTGATGACACGTGGTCGGGTTTATAGGATAGGTTATGGAGACTGGAAATTAGGTTACAATGAAACACCTTTCGTCTATCGTGTCTAGATTCAGAATGGTTTTATTTCCTCTTCCTTGCACCTGTACGTCACGTCACTCTTACATGTTACCAACCTGAGTGCGTTCCGAATGTTTTCTTATTTACATACATCACAGTACTGGCAAAATGTAATGAATTTCCTTTGGATTTACGCCGTCAGTTATTATCATAAAAATATTTGTTAAAACTAAAAGACCGGGAGTCAAACATAATCAACACATTAAGTCATGAAGCCCGCTCGTAGAAGCATGTATTGAAACCAATGGAGTCCAAAATTTGTTTGGTAGTAACAAATTCCAATACATGTACACCATACCTTTTAAATCTTTAATAAAAACACACAGAATTATAATTCCCAAGTATACTGAATCTCATAAAATAAATAGAATCCATACTAGGTGATTCTTATAACAAAATTCTTATATTTACAAATGAATCCAAGACGAAAGAATGTGTTGGTTGTGGTGTATTTATCCAAAATACAAACTAATCATTGATCAAACTTGAGCAAGTTGATAAAATCGTTTACCTTGGACAGCAATTAAATTGTAACGCAGGAAGTCACGGCGAAATTAGATCTAGGATAGAGCAGGCTAGAGCTGCTTTTAGAAGGATGTCCAAGGTGTTATGTAACAGAGACCCAAAATTGGCATTGAGGATCCGCTACTACGTGTTCTCGGTCTTAGACTCCGACAAACTTAAGTTTGGGAATGTGACGTCGTGTTTCGCGCAGAAAGGCGGACCTTTTCTACCAGTGGCGGATGGAAACCGGTAGCTTTAAAATAAATTTTTATAAGTATATTCAATTAAAGTTAGAATGAATTCGTCAATTTTTATTTTTATAGTTTTTAATATTTATGATGTTTATAGACAGACATTCGATAAAATAATGAGTAAACTATTAGAAATACTTTAATTAATAACAAATTCCTCAATACTTATAATTTATTAACATTGCCAGGAAGGAAGGAAGGGTTTCAACAACTCAAAAAAATAAGTAATTTAGTTTAACAAATTAAATAATGTATTTATTTTATAAAAAAATATGGATTTTAAAGACTTCTATATTTTGTTATATGACATAGGAATATCACACAAAAACACGTCTATTCCGAAATTTTAATTACTAACTTCATCATCAGAAAAGCTTTCTTCGGATGAACCAGTATTAATAAAAAATTTTAAGTGGTCCAGCGTAGAGTCCAATAAATGTTCTCTTGCGATTTGAGTGTTTTCATATTTTTTTACGTGTTTACATATGTTAGCCCACTCTTGTATCAACACTTCTGAAAATTTTCTAAGCCTAATCCAATTATGGTTTTCCTTAATGATTCCTTTGACCCTGGAAATTCCATTTCTTTGTTCTTGAGTTTTTGATAAATACCTAACTAAGTAGAAATAGTTAAAATATTTGGAAAGTAAATCTTGTTTACTAAGTTAGTAAAATTGTAAAGGAATTGTATCTACTGTTTTTGTTAAAAATGTATCTATATCAGTGTTTTTCTAGAAAACTTTAATTTCGTTCTAAATGGATACAAACAAACAATTGTTTTATAATTGTACTTATTCTATTTTATTTAGGATAATAAAATTTTTTATCGTAAATTATTTTTTAACTATTTACCATTAATTGTCGGTGATCTTTTCTCGATGGTGTAAAAGTCATATATAACATTTTTGATGATTTCTTCTTCTCCTTGGTCCAATTGAGTTTTTTTAACACGGGAACGTTTTTTTTTTTTGACTTGTAAAAGATGAACTAGTCGCTCCATTTTTGTTAACTTCTCTACCTTCTTTTCTTATTTTAGATAAGGTGATTTTACTTATACCTGTAGCTGCTAGAATCCTATCCCTATAATTACCAATGTTAAATGTTACTAGATGAAAATATTGAGAAACAAAATGCATATATTATTCATATTTACTAACACAATCTATATTGAGATCGGTTATTTTCTGTTTCAAGTAAATAGTAGAAAGTATCTGATGAAACATCGTAAATAGGTAATCACAAGGTGTTGGTTGTGGTGTATTTATACAAAATACAAACCAATCAGTTTGAGCTTGTTGCAAATATAAAAGGTATTACATTTTAGTAGAGTAATATTAACAGATTCTAAATTTGCATTAGACTCTATAAAAATATAGAATTTGAAGGAATGAAGTGTCGTATGTCATGTTTTTTAATAAAAATGATTGTAAACTTAAATAAAACATTTATTTGGGTTAGAGGCCATGTAGGTATACCAGGGAATGAAAAAGCTGATACTCTAGCTGAGGAAGCAGTGCAAAATGTAGTCTTTTGCAATATTTATACAGTAAGGGATATATTTAACTCAATAAAAAATAAAATTAGACTGAAATGGTCACAGTAATGGGAGAATATTGTAGAAAACTCGCAAAATGCATATTTACAGATACACCCCACTTTACATTTAAAGATGTGAAAGTAGAAATATAAATTAGTATAACTTTAATGATTTATAAATATAACAAAAAATCTAAAAAGATCTAAAAAAAAGTAACAAACAAGAACAAACAAAATATTTTTAAACATAAATAAAACATTATGTGGCTAATGGACTTGTTTCCGTGTCATATTTTTCACACACACATACACACACATAAGAAAATAAAATATCATTGACAATACTTACGTCAATTTCCTTAAAGGTATTAACAAGTTTTCGGTTGCTTCGAAATGGGCTGCCTCTTGTTCCATAAATGTAGTAACATTATAAATTATTGCTTTTGCTTGGCTATTTAATCCCAGCCCTTTCGTTCCTATCTTTTTAGAAGCCATATTATAACTATTATTAATTAAACTTAACACACTATAAATAAACTAAACTAAACGACTTAATAATTCACTAATTACTACTACCTATATTATACTAATAAGCACTAATCTAAAATAAAATAATAAAATATCCAACACGATCAAATTAACAAGTCAAACACTCTTTGCGATACGCAACTACGACACTGGCAAACTGAAAACTGGCCGTTTCTATGGTAACGCTAGTAAACAAGAACCACTGCGCACCGTCGAGTTATGAGTCATATTCCCAAACTAAACTTTGTCGGAGTCTACTTTATGGTGTCAAGTCCTGGACTGTGAATAAAATCGATCTAAATCGCCTTGAGGCTTTCGAAATGTGGTGCTATAGAAGAATTTTAAAAGTTTCCTGGGTGGAGAAGATTCGAAACTCCACAAAGAACGTCTCAGCAAGACTACTGAGATCATAAAAAGTATCAAGCAGAGAAAGTTGGAATATTTCGGACATGTAATGAGAGGTCCCAAATATAGGTTGCTACAAAATATCATGCAAAGAAAAATAGCAGGCAAACGCAGTCCAAGACGAAGAAGAACCTCATGGTTGAAGAACTTGCGAGATTGGTATTGTGTTGATACAAGCAAGCTATTTAGGGTGGCAGTGAATAAAATTAAGATATCTGTGATGGTAACCAACGTTCTGAAAGGACATGAAGAAGAAGAATCATTGATATATAAAATACCATCGGTTTTTAGCCTTTATACTGCCGAGCTTGTTGCAATTATAAAAGGTGCTACCTGATTAATATCCAATAACATACTCGAAGAAGTAATATTAACAGATTCTAAATCTGCGTTAGACTCTATAAAAAATACAACATTTGAAGGAATTAAGTGACCTACCAAGTTATGTTGTTTAAAAAGCATGATTGCAAATATAAATATAACTTTTATTTAGGTGAGAGACCATGTAGGTATACCAGGGAATGAAAAAGGTATTACTCTAGCTAAGGAAGCAGTAAGAATGGAGTCTTTTCAATATTTATACAGTAAGGGATATATTTAACACAATAAAAAATAAAATAAGGCTGAAATGGGAGCAGCAATATGAGAATATTGTTGAAAACTCTCAAAATACGTATTTCCAGATACATCCCACTTTCTCACTTCCTTCCCAATACATATTCAATTACTCGACTACCACATTCTTCTCGGCAAGTGTAATTCGCCTAAAAACGAATCATGGTCGATTCCCGTCGCATTTATTTAGCTTGGCATGACAGGTAAATGGCCTGAGGACTGGACACAATCGCTATATATTCCCATACATAAAAAGGGAGCGAAAGATTTATGTAGCAACTATCGCACAATTGCTCTAATTGCGCATTGCAGTAAGATACTCTTACACATAATTCTCGAGAGGATAAAGCCCTTTTTACTACCTAACATTGCGGAGGAACAAGCAGGTTTCGTCTCAGGACGTGGTACTAGAGAACAAATTTTAAATGTACGGCAGATTGTAGAAAAATCCAGAGAATTCAACATCACAACATATTTGTGCTTCATAGATTTTAGTAAAGCTTTCGATTTGGTCAACTGGAGTAAAATGTGGCAGGTTTTGTCTGAAATGGGAGTCCCTAATCATCTGATACTGCTAATTAAAAGCCTGTACAATAACAATTATGCCAGAGTTAGAATAAATGGGGAACTAACTGACAGTTTCAGGGTCACAAAGGGCGTGAGACAAGGCTGCATACTAAGCCCAATTTTATTTAACATCTATGGTGAATGGATAATGCGGAAAGCTACTGAGGACTGGAACGGTGGCATCACCATTGGCGGGAAGAAGATTTGCAACTTGAGATATGCAGATGATACTACTATCCTCGCTAGTTCTGAAACTGAATTGATTCACCTGCTACAACGGATAGAAGACGTAAGCTTAACGATGGGCCTTAAAATAAACAGGGATAAAACAAGAATCATGATAATTGACAGAGCTAACAACAATCAAAATCATCTGGTTAGGATAAACAATATCGCTGTTGTAGATAAATTTGTGTATCTGGGCTCATTAATAACCAACAAAGGAGGCTGTACTGAAGAAATAAAGCGGCGGTCAGCAATCGCAAAAAGCGCTATGGCAAAATTAACAAAAATTTGGAAAAGCCATGAAATTACTACCGATACAAAAATGAGACTAGTAAGAAGTCTAGTTTTTCCAGTTTTTACTTATGCATCGGAATGCTGGACCTTACTGAGAAAGACAAAAAGAACATAGATGTATTTGAGATGTACTGCTGGAGACGAATGCTGAGAATACCATGGGTGGCCCGAAGAACAAATTAATCCATACTGGTCCAGCTAAACATAAAGAAAAGACTAAGAACACAAATAACAGAACAGATAATAAGCTATTTTGGACATGTGCTTCGAAGAAATGGTCTTGAAAAACTTACCATCCAGAGAAAAGTAGAAGGCAAAAGAAGTAGAGGTAGATCTCCTACACGATACACGGACCATATTGTTGCTACCATTGTCAGAATGTGCTAGATTGGCAGAAGATAGAAAAACGTGGAGGAACATTGGAAAAATTACCTAACAGCTTCATGATATCACGATACCTGTATCAGGTTAACGACTAAGAAGAAGAAGAAGATTACCGGCACCATCCTGCAGTTGTGATATAAGTTCTTACGGAGATCTTAACCATATTTTCTTTGGATGCAATAAATATTTAGAAAAATCTAATAAATTAATTCAAAGTCTTATTGAAATGAAATATTTGCTTCGGTTAAGTCTATCACACATTTTGTCAGCTGCTAATAGAGAAACCTTAGAATTGTTAATAAATTTTATTAAAGATGTAAAAGTAGAAATATAAGTTGGTATAACTTCAGTGATTTATACGTATATCTAAAAAATAAAAACAAACAAGAACAAAAAAACATCTTTAAACATAAATAAAACATTTGTGGCTGTGGACTTGTTTCCATGCCATATCTTTCACATACACACACATCTAAAAGGATTTTAAAACTTCAAAACAGTTTGATATATCATTGTAAATTATTTAAAATGCTTAATCAAAGTCTTTATTTTTTTTAGGTAGGATGCCGGGACAGCTTAATGTTCTTTTAGCTGAAGCAGGTGTTCCATACGATGATGTACTAGAAATGGACGAAATCAATGATGAGTTTCCAGAAACTGATCTAGTGTTGGTAATTGGAGCTAACGACACAGTGAACAGTGCAGCTTTGGAAGATCCGAACTCACCCATCGCTGGTATGCCTGTATTAAACGTTTGGAATGCAGAACATGTCATCGTGATGAAGAGGTCACTAGGTGTAGGTAAGTAAACATATTCTTTGAAACTAAGGATATACTTTAGTAATAAAAATTATACATACTTGAGTATATTACAACGACCTGCTTCTTGTATATACACATATACACTGTGTGTCAGCCAAATGGAATAAATCAGGTAATAAATATATGAGGAAGTATTCGAAAAGACGGTCGAACACTTCAATTGGTATTTATAGTTGCGCATTTTTTTCAAAAAAACGGTGACCAATACCAACTTGCTTATTTTAAATAGACCACCCTGTATAATAATTAATTTTTAGATTCTTCGGATCATTATAGACAGTTTTTGAATACAATGCCCTATACGTATCTTTGACTGTTTCGGAAATATTAAGTAAAATGCAAAAATTCACATTTAGAAAAGAAAATTATCTATTTGCCGAAAGTCCCTACCACATATTCAAAACTTCTAAATAATACAAATCTAAACAATAATTTCAATGTAGATGTTCAAAATGCTACCCACGAACGTCTTGGCAACACCCTAACCGTGAATAGAAATTTCTTCTAACATTACTCAATATCTGTGATCGATCTAATCTCAAGCGTTATTCGTCTTCGTAAGTCAGCTATGTCAGCGGGTTTAGTTTTGTATACAATACTTATCACATATTCCCATAAGAAAAAGTCTAATGGCGTCAAATCAGGCGATTGTGATGGCCATTTGATAACGGACATCGATTTGGTAGTGGGGTGGTGATCCATCTTGTTGAAACCATATATTTTTGGGTGATTTGGTAGTGGGGTGGTGATCCATCTTGTTGAAAAATACGTTTTTTTATCAAAATCATCTTCCATAAGCTCCTAAATGTGTATAATTTTATAGGGATGCATTTTGTTTTCTTGTAATATTCGAATAACCGATGAATAACTAATATCGAGTACTGGGGCTGCTTTTCAAACAGATGTATGTGGGTGTTCCTCAAACTCAAGCCAATTTGGTATCCTCACTTATTGCATTGGCAGCTTCTTTTTTTACCTTCCTAACATGGCCCAGCTCGTAGAATTGCTTCTCTATTTTACTAATTCTCCCTTGAGATATGTGCGGCAAATTAGGAAATGCTTCGTGAAATAAACGAGCTACTTCCATTTGTGTCCGTGTCTTATCTCCATAGCCAATCATCTGTATAATTGTAATTTTGCGCATTTCTGTTAAATGAACCATTTTTTTGACTTGCCGTTAATGAAATTCAAACGACTATAGCACTGACAACTAAGTACTTCTGTCATGGAACAATAAAACATTGGCCTTTTAAACCAAAGTAAACACTTTTTTTAACATATCAATAAAAAGGAATGCTTAAATAGTTTTTGCTTACTTTATCATTACCAAGATCTAAATGGGCAAAAAGTATTAAGACAGTTTAGCGACTTTCGACAAATAAATAATTTTCTTTTCTAAATGTGAATATTTGCATTTTACTTAATATTTCCGAAACAGTCAAAGATACAGGAAAGGTATAGGACATTATATTCAAAAATGTCTAAAATGATCTGAGGAATCTAAAAATTAATTAATATACAGGATAATATATTTAAAATAAGCAAGTTGGAATTGGCCAACGTTATCTGATACACCCCGTATAAAAAGTTTCATGAAAAAAATGCGCAACTATAAACACTAATCGAGGTTTTGGACCGTTTTTTGAATACTCCCTCATTTATTTATTAGATAATTTATTCCATTTGGCTGACACACAGTGTATACATCGATATACACATCGGCAAAACTGCTAGATTAATCAAAATATAATACAAAGATGCATTAAGTCTATATTTGATCCCATTCCGCAGTGGCACAACAACTACATACTTTGAGTACTCGAGTTACCGTGACTAGCAACCTTTCGTTACTTCTAAACAAACTACCCATGATACTATGACTAACAAGATAAGATCTTCCCGTAGCACAAAATCGGTCGTGTTCACGCATGCCGTCATTGGAGAGTCGAATTTGAATTCTTGTTAAAGTTAAATGGGATTTGTATGCATTCTGTGATCAAATTAATAGACGAAAATAAGTTGAGAGATTTAATAATTACAATAATCGTACATATAAGGATATCTCCAAACTATTTATTAAAAATTATTTATTGATACATACAAAAAACTGACATTTCGAACATGCAACTCTCCAATGACATCACGACTTATACGCAATATCTTATCTTCTTAGTCATCCATCCCATCCAATGGCACTACAACCCAAGCCGGGCCTTGGCCTCCTTCATTAAACCTCTCCAAACATCTCTATTTACTGCTGTTCTTTTCCATGAACGCGTTTTTAGGAGATTTTTGGCATCCTCATCTACCTTGTCTTCCCATCTCTTTTTTGGTCTTCCAACAGGTCTTTTTCCTTGCATTCTTGCGTTTAGTAATTTTCTGGGGATTCTGTTCTCATGCATGCGGGCCACATGCCCTGCCCATCGTAATCTCTGCAGTCTACTGTATTGTGCTAGTGTTGGTTCAGTGTATTGTTCGTATATTTCGTTATTATATCTAATTCGCCAGTTGTTATTTTCCTTTATTGGACCCAGTATTCTACGCAATATTTTTCTTTCGAACACGTCTAATGCATTGGTAGATTTCTGTGTTATAACCCATGTTTCACACCTATAACTTACTATTGGTCGGATTATTGTTTTATATACCCGGAGTTTTGTTTTCCGGTGTACGTCTCGCGATTTGTACGTCTCTTCTTAGTCATAGTATCATGAAACTACCCACAAGGGTGGAAAATTGTAAAATGTACTGATTCTAACCTAAAAATTGACCAAAACTCGATTTGAACTTTCTTTTTTTAATTTTAGGTTATGCCGCTGTGGACAACCCAGTTTTCTACAAACCAAACACTTCAATGCTGCTCGGTGACGCTAAGAAGACTTGTGATCAGTTATTAGCCAAAGTTACAGCAGAATAGGTTCATAGTTTTAATTTTTAGGCATTAATTTTGTACATAACTTCATTGGAACATTGAACAGTATTATAGCAGGGTGGATGTCAAACTTTGTGGGACCTTGTGCCAAAAATATTTAGATTATAAATATTTGCAATTTTCCTAAATATAAAGGTGTATGGATAGGTATTTTATCAAAAATAATACTGAAAATAATAAAAGGAAGACCTTACTTAATATTACCAAATTTTGCAATTGACACAAGTTTTAAAATTTGAAGGTTTGTGTCAACTTCACTCATTATATCTTTTATATTGAAATCTATGATATATTACTGTATATAAGTACCTAATCTGATTTGTTGCTTGTTCATCCTGTATCATATTTCATTCATTGTAAAATTTGAATATAATTTTATATAGAAAATGTCTGTAATAGAGTATGTTTACGAGCGCCATCTTGTATTACTATTGACAACTTTTGTATCAGTATTTAAAGTGTACTGCATTTAATAGTAGAATGATTATCATTCATACTTCTGGTGTTACTGAACAATTCTTAACACATTTTCAAATCTTTATACCATCATAACATATTTAAAAGCTGTTTAATGTTACATTTTACTAAGATCGATAAAAAAGTGATATTTTTTAGACTTTTTTGCAATAAATGTCCATATTTGTAAATAAATGTGAAAAAACTTTGTGTACTTCAAATAATAATGGAGAAGAATAGTCTGAGTGTCGCTATCACATCATGTCTGATATTAGTTTATTTCTCAGGAACCAAAAGTATTTTTTCACAGCTTTTTGTTTTTAATTTGCATTTTATTTGTTTTTTTTTGCGATATTTCGAGTAATAAGTATTTTTATGTTACATTTAGTATAAATTGCATGCCATTCAATTCTTTCATTGTAATTTTATCATATTTGATCTAATAATGATTTTTTGTGAATATATTATTTCTACATTTTAGAGCAATAAAGATTTTAGTATAAAATTTAATTGTTTTTTCTTTATAAATAAAAAAGACTTTGTTTAACTCTTTATGCGACGATTTTCTTCATAAAAAATTAAAACTCCAAAACTTTGTTTACGGGTATGTACTATAATAGTTATTTGTGTACCAAGTCGGTAAAATAATTCTTTATCGAATGAATCTGATTGGAATCGAATCGATTGGAATTGAATCGAATTGGAATCAAATGAAATCGAATCAAATCAAATAAATTAAATTAAAAACCATCGCTCCGTGCATAGACGCTAAGAAAGCAATGCTTTCCCCTTCTTGGTCACTCCCGTGGTGCCACATCCCGTTATTTATAAACGAAGAGCACTGGTATGTTGAATAATAAAACAACAAATGAGGCTATGAGTGCAATAACGGACCTTCTTTTTATGGTGCCCTATTAAATTAGTGGGTGTTGGCGACAATTCTGGCATACTTCTCTCGATCTTGTGTGGTTCTACAGAGTGCATGGGCATCGAGGTTTGTCCAATCCCTTATGTTTTTAAGCCATGAGTATTTCTTTCTTCCGATGCCTAGTTTTCCTTCTATCTTCCCTTCCATAATAAGGTTTAAGAACTGGTACTTGGAATTTCAATATATAATAGCAATTCTCGTTCTCTACCCATTCGATTTAATACACTTACTATACGACATTTGTTGTGTGATCTGTCCAGGGAATTTTAAGTAGTCTTCTAAATACCAACATTTCAAAAGCCTCCAATCGGTTCATCACATTGGCCGTTATGGTCCAGGTTTCTACACCATTTAGCAGTATGGAGTAAATGTAACATTTTACAAAGCGATATCGAAACGTTAAGTTAGGGCTGCTGTTGCTTAGGAAAGTCCTCATATTTGTAAATGCTCTTCTGGTTTGCTCAATCATGATACATATCTCTATGTCTGGCTTGATCTTCAGTTATCCAACTAACGAGATATCTGAACTTGGGGACCTTCTGGATGTACTTATTGTTTACTCTTATATTTAATTGCATATTTCGTGTTCTACTAACTACCATTACCTTGTCTTGTCTATATTAATCTTCAAGCGCAGTCGTTCTCCTTCAGTGTTTATTCTATCTAATAGTCGTTGTAGCGCTTCTTGACTATCTGCTATTATGACTGTATCATCAGCATAGTGTAGATTACTAATAGTCTGTCCGTTGATTTTGATTCCATCTTCAGTGTCACTTAAGGCTCTATCGAAAATCGTTTCAGAGTAAAGATTAAAAAGAAGGGGTAACAGAACACAACCCTGTCGTACACCCTTTTCGATTGAGAAATATTATGTAGATTCCAGTCGTACTCTCACAGATGCCATTTGATTGGCAGCTGAGCTCCGTATTTCTTAAATAGGACAGTTAAGCTATAAAGAGCTTCTCTTGTGCCAAATCCTTGTCTGAAACCGAACTGTGTGGGGCTAATGTCTCTTTCACATCTGTTGTATATTCTTGTGTAAATTATCCTTAATAAGAGTTTTAGGACCTGGCTCAATAAGCTGATCATTAGGAATTGGTCGCTGATCACATTAGCGTTTGTCTTTTTTGGGATTGGTATAAAGGATGATTGAAGCCAATCCTGTGGTATTTGAACGGATCTATAAATGTCATTAAAAAAATCTACCAAGGCGTTTATTTATACATTTCTGCACACCTGTCTATCAGCCACTGTTCTTTAGGTTTGCGACACTCTTTTCGTATTTGTCGGTTAATCTGCTGATGTTTAGTTTGATCTTTGTTTTTAAATTATCTGCGGTCGTCCATCATTGATAATATTTCGTCAGTTATCCACTTCTTCTTTTTGTACTTTTGGTAATAAATGAGACACGCGGAGCCCTCTTCGATCGGCTACTGACGGTATTTGTTAGAATAAAATTCAGACTCACTATTTTTTATTTAATAGCATTAATATTTCTCCCTTGTTTGCCGAATTTCATATTTTAAAAAGCATTTTCACGATATATACATTTTTGATGAGTTAAACGCGCTGCTGTGCCCCGTTTGCCAAGATTTTGAATACTGACCATGGAAAACAGGTTTTTTTTATTAGAATACTGCTCGCATATAAGGGTAGATATATTGTTTTATGCTGTTGTGTACTCTTTCCGATAATAACGTCCATATTGAATAAAATATTTGTTTAAAAATCAACTGTTTATTAAAATTGCATTTAAATACAGAATACATTAAATTTATCATTGTTGAGATTACGTAGAGACTTGGTCCAAAACCTGCAGGACTACTTCTCCCACAATATTTTTCATTTCGTTTTGCTGCTTTAGGCTGTAATTCTAAAAATGAATGTTACATTAATGTACTATCCGTTGCAAAATAATTCGGATGGAATTCCCCAGTTTAAGAGACTGGGCCGATATCAAGCACAAAATGACTGTACTCTCTTAATGCTGTAACGAATAGTCACCCTTAGTCTTTCGTTACATTAAGTTCAATTTTAAATTATATCTAAAGTTTAAAGGTACTTTACTAAATGATACAAAGTAGGTGTAGACAGGTATGTATTTCAATTTTGAATTTTTAATGATTGGTAAATAAAATTTTAAGCATAATTTTGTGTACCTATTTAAATTTAATCAGTTAATTGAATTTGTACTTGAAATTCAGAATTACAAATTTCTAGGTATGTAAAGCCAGTGTTTATAAGAAATTAGAAAATTCCTTGGAATTTTATTCAGGTAAAAGGATAATGTTTACTTAATATCAAATTATCACTAAATGGGTTTCTGTGAGAAGAAAGTTTATTTGAAAAGAACTTCATTTTTCTTTTCTCGTTCATTTAGAAGAGAAGTCAGTGTAATAACTATAAATATGAGTGATATAGAAATGTTTAGTGACGATGTCCTGTACATTCCTGCCACTATTTCAGGAAGTGAAGACGAGTCTGAACCTGAAAATTCTTCTGGTTATATTCATCTCACACACGATGCAAAGCAAATCGTGCTTAACGTTTACAACGGTAAGTACCCCTTAAAAATACTTTTTAATTAACCTTACTAATACCAGGTGAATTTTAAAACGACCAGTACCAGGTGGGGCGACTTCTTGCCCCAGTTGTTTGGTTCATTTTTAAGCGCAAGGATTCTATGTTACTCATTAATCTTACCATTTTTTTAACTCTTGATTGTCTGTATACTTTGTTTGGTACTAATTCAACAAATTAGAAATCAAAGACACAAGACGTACTTAGGGCTAAGAATCTAGACAAAATTATGTTAATAGGGAAATTATAAAAGTGACCACTGTGTAATAGCAAGAATGGAATTTCAAAGATAAAGGAAATACATTACAATCAACTGCTAATATGTAACGAATGCGAATACACACCATGGCAAGTAATTAGTACAGTCGTTAGTAACCATTTTCCAAAACTTTCGTCTAAACTGATAAAATCTGTAGAACGTGAAAACACTCGATACCACGTGGAGCGAATTCTCGCCTCATACATTTCCGCGAAATCCGACATACCACGTGGAGCGAATTCTAGCCCCACATACATTTCCGCGAAATCCGACGAGAATATTCAATTTTCTGTTCGCGGTTTTTTTTTGGGTTTTACTACTTCTTTGTGCTCTTAATATATCAACTACCAATGTCCCAAACCGTCAAAGCGATTGATTAAACTTAATTAAAGATATTAATAAAAACGTTAGACCTGGGGCGAGAATTCGCCCCATCCTTTATTAGGAAAGTTAATCATATTTAACCTTATATTTAATAATTTATATATTATTTAATTATATTTTATTATAAAAGAAGAGAAAAGTACATTATGAAGGAATCTACTTTTACAAAAACAATATTTACCTCTTTTGCAACTAGTTTTAAATGGTCTGAAACACCAGGTCCTGTTTTTTTAACCATTTCTGAAAGCAATCCTTCTCTATTTTGTAATAAGATATGCGGATGGTCAAATTCAATAAGAATACCATTGTCCAGAACCATAAGCTACAAAAATAATGACAGAGGTCATTTAATATAGCTACTACATATGATACATTAAAAATAATATTTTTTTGTTGTGTCTCTGCTCAAGCGAGAAATAGTCGTGCTTTTTTTACACCTTTAAGTCCTTTTATAACCCTTCACATTTTGCTCCTTCTCGTAGATTGAATATCAGGTGTGATAAATAATCTTGTAGGTTAACTCATACTTTGAAAGTCAAGATAGTTAATATGTATTGTAAAATGTATCAGATTTGTTGCAGGCTATAATCTAACCCATATTTATTTTATCTCTGGGGCAATTGACTCTGCGACTTTGAAGTAAATTTTGTGAGGAAATCGAGTAAGCTGATGAAGTACGGCGAGAGATTAAGTGTTGTGCTCACTCATCGATCACTGTTAAGACGCTAGAAAATCGGAACATATAAATACGAAAATATTCGTTGCGAGTTAAGAACACTGAAATAGAGTATCTGCAGTTATTATTTACCCTTTCAATAGATTATTTAAAAATGACTTACTCTATCGGAATCCATGACAGTATTTAGCCTGTGAGCAATTGTCAACACTGTACAGTGGGCAAATTTTGTTCGAATTGTTGTTTGGATGAATTTATCTGTTTGAGCGTCCACATTAGCGGTAGCTTCATCTAGTACAAGGATGCGGTTGTTTCTTAGAATAGCTCTCGCTAAACAAACCATTTGCCTAGATCCTACACTTAAATTGGTACCTCCTTCTGCCATAACATCGTTTAAACAATCTGTAAATAAAAAAAGATAAAGGAAACAACAGATATTAATAGAAATACATTACATAGAGATTACATATAAAGTACATTACATCTTCACCAATATCTTTATATTTTTACTCATGCGGATCGAGAGAAAGAGCTGATTAGGAAGAAAAGGACTAGCGTGGCTAAGAAACATCCGACAATGGACAGGGATAAATTTTAAATAGCTACTAAGAACAGCTGATGACTTTGATGACAGCAGCAAAAAAAAGGGATTGCTTTCCCAATTACATTTCTCCATGTTTCTATAATGGGTTATACCAATAACAATCCCCTCTACCGACTTGTTCGGCTTAAGTGTCTCCCACAGGTCTTCTTTGGACTCATCTCGTACTCCTTTTAGTAACTTGAAAATCAATAACTCTTCATATTGGGTGATTAATTTCTCAAGATTATCATTTTAAATATGGCATTTTTGCATCAATTGGTGCCACCCTTAGACTTTCCGTTAAATAATCTATTTGGGAGTGTCTGTTGATAATTCCAACATATCGTCTCTAGGTTCATCTCTAGTTCCAATGCTTAGGCATCCATTGTTTCATTTCCGATCTTGGATTGACCTACACGTGCATTACAATCACCTCCTATTATGAATCTCTTCTTTGATGGAATATGACTTAGTATATCTCTTAATTCACATAAAAATGTGAACCACAACTGAAAAGAATTTAAACCTAGAATAAACCATAATAAAAAGTAAGGAAGCCGAAATTAGAAATGAGCCGGATCAAATAGTGGAGATATGGGCGGAGAATTTTGCTGAGAAATTAAATATAGGCAACCAAGAAGTGACTGACATAAATGCCCACAGTGGAGACGTAGACGATGAGAGAGATAAAAATAATATACCAACAGAAGAAGAAGTTGCCAAGGCAAAACAACAAATCCCCTGGAGAAGATGGTATACCCCCTGAGCTGTTCTAGTATAGAGCAAATGCGCTAAAAATATATATAAAAAACTTGTATCTATTTGGAGAGAAGGAAAACTCCCAGACAGTTGAAATATAGTATAATACATATTTACAAGAAAGGGGATCCACTAATATGTGATAACTATCGAGGCATTACCCTCTTAAATACGGCTTACAAAATACTGGCTTATATACTTTAGGATCGTTTACTAGTATATACTAAGGAAAGAATAGGCAAATAAAATTGTGGATTTCGAAAAGGTCAACAATTGATCAGATTTTCCTTCTCAGACAAACCTTAGAAAAGACATATGAATATGGAATTGATAACCACCACCTCTTCATAGATTTTAAACGCGCCTATGACAGTGTAGACAGGAGCGCACTTTATAACGCTATAGCAAAACTAGATATTCCGTCGCATCTAATAACATTGGTAAAGGCAACTCTTTCGAAAGTTGAGTGCAAAGTCAAGGTACAAAACAGAGTGTCAATGTCTTTTCAAACACATACTGGATTACGCCAGAGAGACAGTCTATCGTGCCTATTGTTTAACTTCGAGCTAGAAAGAACCATAGAGAAATCGGGTATAACAACAAGAGGTACGATCATCAATATAAGTGTACAGATATTAGCCTACGCAGATGACATTGAAATAGTAACACGGACAAAAAGAGACCTGATACAGGCTTTTGAAACATTAGAAAAAGCCGCGAAGACAATGGGACTGCAGGTCAACGTATCCAAAACAAAATACATGAAGGTCACCAACAGCACAACAAATAGCGGCACCACAAGATCTGGTGACAGAAGTATACACATTCAAAGGGGTCTCGGAGTTTATATATCTGGGAACACAACTAAATAACAGCAACCTAGTAAGCGTCGAAATTAAGAGAAGAATATACCTGGCGAAAAGAGCTTACTTTGGACTAAAGTAGTTCTTAAAATCACACATAATAAACAAAAAAAACAAGATACTAATATATGAAACTCTTATCAAACCTGTCCTGACATACGCGTCAGAGATATGGACTATGGTAAAAAGCCACATATACGGAGGAGTACAAGAATGGTATGAGTAGTCCAATGATATGATATGAAATCAGTTATGTTAGCGTCAACTGCGTTGCAAATAGAACCATCAGATGAATGTAAGCGATGGTCAAAAAAGGACTCCCGATATGTTGAGGTAATTAGACCACACATTGTTAAAAGTACAACGAATCCATGGGGAGAATATAATTAATTGACAGGATGATCAGTTATTATCGAATGGGAGGTAGAAGTGAGATATGGACAGTCAAAACCATTTTTTCACTTACTTGACTTTACGATTGCAAATTCTTGGATTTTATACAGTATGACCATAAGCAACTTGGCGATGCTAATAAAAGCTTTATGAAGTTCCTGGAGTTTAAAATAGCTGTTTCTGAGTTGCTCCTTAAAGACAACATTTCTGAAAATTCTGATTTTGGGAACACTTCAACACTGGTAACTAGAAACAGTTACAAACCTATAACATCACTTCAAACGTCTACTAAGAGAAAGATACAACATATTCCTGCAATGGCATCAGAGTTAAAATATTCTGTTATATGTAAGCTTCTAGGTTGTAAGGGTAAAACAAAAGTGAGAAGATTAAGAAGAGTCGCAAAAAGGATCTCAAGGCGACAGCAGACAAGATACGAGAATCGAGATCGGTGATCCAGCGAGTGCGAGGCGAAACATAATATTATATATATATTAGCGGAACGGACGCCATCCGTCAATATATTCATGTATCTATATTTTATTGTATATATAATATAAATATATATATATATATATATATATATTATATATATATATATATATATATATATATATAGTCCCAAGATTCCTAAGAGGAACATAGGGCTTCTACAAAGTGTCTCCAGCGAACTTTATTTCTGGCTAGTGCTTTGATTTCAAGCCAGGATTTTCCCATTTTTCTCCCTTCGTCTAGTACTGTCCTTCTCCAAGTTCCCTTAGGTCTGCCTACTTTCCGTCGGCGTTGGGGATTACAATCCAGCGCTGTCCTGGCAATGTCATTTGGCGGTCTACGGAGTGTGTAGCCCAGCCATCTCCATTTTCTTCGCCTTATTTGCTTTATGACAGTTTCTTGGTTGCTTTGGTTCCATAAATTGTCATTGGAGATTCGGTTAGGCCAAAATATACGAAGGATTTTTCGTAACGCTCTATTGATGAAAACTTGTAATTGGTGTACTATGGGTGCTGATATCTTCCACGTTTCGCAGCCATACAGTAATACAGCTTTTACATTTGTGTTGAAGATTTTTAGTTTCGTTTTAGTTGGGTAAATCCTGGATTTCCATATGTTGTTAAGCATGTTGTAGGCGTTGCGAGCCTTATTTATTCTTTCATGTACATCACGCTCTGTACCCCCATTACAGTCAATTATGCTGCCCAGATATACAAATTCCGCTACTCTCTCAATTTTTCCGGTCGTTGATCATAATAGGTTGGTTGTTTCTGGTACCAAATCGCATTTCTTTGGTTTTGTTGATGTTTATTTCTAGACCAACCTTCTTTGATTCTTCTTGTACTTTGTTTACTTGGAGTTGCATGTCCTGTTTTGTATGTGCTAGGAGGCATATATCATCAGCGTAATCTAGGTCTTCCAGTCTGTTTGTTAATCCCCAGTAAATTCCTCTATTAGAGTTTACCTTTGTTAGTACGGAGTCCAGTACAATGTTAAATAGTATGGGGGATAAAACACAGCCCTGCTTTACTCCGTTTAGCATAGCTATTGGGTCAGATGTTATGCCGTTGTGTAGGATTTTGCTCTCTGTGTCACTGTAGAGTTCTTTGATGAGATTTACTATTTTTTCTGGTATTCCTATTTCCTGCAGTGCTTTCCATATGGCCGTATGTGTGAGCGTGTCAAAAGCTCTCTTGAAGTCCACAAAGCACACAAAGAGAGGAGAGTTGAATTCCTGTGACTGTTCTACAATTATTCTTAGTGTGTTAATTTGGTCCACGCATGATCTGTTTGGTCTGAAACCGGCTTGTTCCTTCCTCAACATTGGTTCTACACTGTTTGTTAGTCGGTTGTTTATAATTATTGCTGTTAATTTATTTATAGTATTCAGAAGTGTGATTCCTCTCCAGTTTCCTCATATTTTATTGTGTTAATTCAAAATAAAGTCATTCACACCAAGTTTTTTGACTATTTACCAGCGGCACATTCGAAGTGCAAATCAAGTTACATTCAAAAAAGTTTATTTTGAATCATGTGACATATTTTTATGTTTAACACTAAATAACATTTGCTTTAAACAATTTCATCTACAATAATTTTGTATTGATGCCATTAGGATCGCATCGTCCCTTTGAATGACATATTTTTTTATATTTGGCAAAAAAATAAAAATAGTGAAAAATTTACATGTGTTTTTATACTAAAACTCACATGAATTCTATTATTTAATAAAAAAAAAAACGACAAAAAACATCAGTCAGGTCTCCGGAGGATATAAGAAAGATTTCCAAGATTCCAAGACTCTGTCCTGATTTTTCTAACCTGTAATAATGTTTCCCCGAAAGTTTAATCAACTTTATAACTTTTAAATATAAACTTATACTAACCTATGCCGCTCTGGATTGCATTCTTTATTTCCACATCTAATAAAGCAGCAAAAACCTGCTCGTCCGAATATTCATTAAAAGGATCCAGATTGTATCTAAGCGTTCCAGAAAAAATTACTGGTTCCTACAAAAATAAATATAATACTTGATGGTTTTATGGATGTTACACACACATATATAGGTCAGTTTTTTGTTTTAAAAATAATTTATTTTCAATCAACTTTTAGCTTCAAAACATGATTCCATTATTTGCAGCAGAAAATGATACTTTTGTTTTTTAAATGAGTCAACTTGTATACTTTTATATTTTATTATTCTTGATCATAATATAAAGACTTAGAACGCTTCATGAAAAAATGAGTAAGGAAATTAAATGAGCAAACATATAATTCTATTTTATTGTCTTAGTCATTGGTAAAGATGATGAAGTTCCGTATTTTACCTGTGGGATGATAGATATTTTCCTTCTCAAGTCGTGTAAACCGGGTACGCTAATATCCAAATTATCAATAAGTATAATTCCTTCATATGGTTGCAGCCTGAAGATAGTAGATATAAGAGACGACTTTCCTGCTCCAGTTCTTCCAACAATTCCGATCTGAAACAATTTTTAATAAACATTAAACACACCATTCATTATTAAGAACCGATTTTAAAACTGACAACTGTTGGAAAATTATACAATTTCAGCGGCAATTATACAATAATGAAATAATCACTATTTCGTTATTTTTTTATTCGATTTTAATTATTTTATTAGTAAAAACCCGATCTTGCCTTACAATAGTACATAGTGGGAATATAGGAACGTGGCTACGGTTAAATCTTTTACCGGAATCACTTTCTTAAATCCAGACATATTAAAAATGATTCATGTTGACTAAAACCTGTTATCGACAAGGAACTATGTGCTGTGACGGCGAAAATCATATTATCATCAAATTCATACTTGTCATTATTTTGTTGATTATTGAAAATTAAATGGTCTGGATAATATCTTAGTAAATGATCAATCGGTAAAAATAATATTTAAAATATGCGAACAGTTTTTGCAATCAGTGACAGTGTGACAAACACACTGAAAACTTTGTTTTCAAACTTCCACAAAATTTATTTTAACTTATCACTACAGCTGTTTCGGCTGATTGCCTTTCTCAAGTGATCTATTTTTGGCATGCGTTTACATTTTATAGTCTCTAAAGGAATAGGTTGAGGAGGGGAAAACTGTCTCAAGTAGGTCATTCAGAATTATATCCGTGTTTTTTAATTTGTTGATTTCCATATATCCTAACAAGGATAGTTTAAGGCCTTTATTTTGAATGTGAAGAATTTTAAATTCGTCGTTAAAAGAATGATTGTGATCTAGAAGGTGAAGTGCGTATGTAGAATCTGTTTTTCTATTATTGAAAGCCCTTTTATGTTCTGCTATTCGTTTATTAAAGTTTCTACCAGTTTGACCGATGTAAGTTTTTGGGCAGTCGCCACATTTAAGTTCGTACACACCACTGTGTAAGTGTTTTTTTTATTTTGGCTGTTATTGTTTTTGATATATTTGCCTAGGGTGTTATTTGTTCGGAAAGTTAGTGTTATTCCTTTCTTTTTTATGTGTTTGGATATTTTAGTTGATATTTTGCCTGTATATGTAATCGACCACAAGGTACTGGGTTTTTTCTCTGGTGGTGGAAATACTAATTTTAGGGCTTTCTTGTGTAATTTTTGATTTAACATTTTATTAATTGTTTGTTCGTTGTATCTTGACATCGTTGTATTTTGACATCGGAATTTCTGTTAATCTATGTAACATACTAGGATAGGCTGCAAGTTTATGTTGTGTTGGATGGGATGATTAATACTGTATAGTCGTGTCAGTATGGGTAGGTTTATGAAATATGAAGTCATGTTTGTTTTAAAGTCTGATAATTTTTATATCTAAAAAGTTTATGGATTGATTTTGGATTTGTACTATTTTGGTCTAAAAGGTTTTTTACTAGAATAAAAGTTTCTGTAGGAGGGATACTAGGAAAAAGATTTTTTACGTCAAATGAAATAAATCTGGAGTTGTTAGGTAATTGAATATATTGTAATTTATTAACTAGTTCTATTGTATTTTTATGGTAAATTTAGTTGAAAATTTAGTGTGTTCTAAAATAATGTCTAACAGTTTTTTTGAAAGCTTATATGACGGAGATGTAAAAAAGAAACTACAGGTCTTATTGGGTGATCCGGTTTGTGTAGTTTAATAAAAGAGTATAATTTAAGAGGCTGTGATTTCATGATATTGAGGTATTTCTGTTCTATTGGATTTACTATTGATTTTGAATTTTCTAATGTTTTTATTTTAATTAATTTGTTTTTGATATTTTTTTGTCGGATCTTTGTGCAACGTTTCAATATTTTGATTATTTAAGAATTCTATTGTTTTGTTATTATATTCTATTTTATCTATAGCAATAGTAGTGTTATCTTTGTCAGCTTTTGTAAACACTATGTTTCTTTTCTATTGATTTATTTTTAATTAAAATGAATGTTTTATTCTCTTTGTAACAGGAATTTTTAGTTTCACTACACGCATCTGTAATAGATTTGGCAATTATACTTTTTTCAATATTGTTAGCAGTTTTGTTTAACGCTACTTCACATTCTACGCCTAAATACAACAATCAACTAAAATAGCCAAACATATAAAAAAGAAAGGAATAACACCAGCTTTCCGAACAAATAACACCCTAGGCAAATATATCAAAAACAACAAGAGCCAAAATAAAAAACAATTACATAGTAGTGTGTACAAACTTAAATGTGGCAACTGCCCAAAAACTTACATCGATCAAACTGGTAGAAACTTTAATAAACGAATAGCAGAACATAAAAGGGCTTTCAATAATAGAAAAACAGATTCTACATACGCACTTCACCTTCTAGATCATAATCATTCTTTTAAGGACGAATTTAAAATTCGTCACATTCAAAATAAAGGCCTTAAGCTATCCTTGTTAGAATCTATGGAAATCAACAAATTAAAACAAATGACCAACTTGAGACAAACAGTTCTCCCCTCCTCAACCTATTTCATTAGAGACAATAAAATGTAAACGCATGCCAAAAATAGATCACTTGAGAAAGGCAAGCAGCCGAAACAGGTGTAGTCATAAGGTAAAATAAATTTTGTTATTGTGTTATTTAAAGTGTGTTATTGTTACATAAAATGAATTTTCATCAAGTAACGGTCGAATCCATCAATTAAACTTGTGCTCGATTGTTTCTGTGAGTCTCTTAACATAAATGCGGTTTTTCAGGAAAATCCAGACATTTTTTGTTTTATTTATTTTATTAAAGTAAATAAAATAAAAAAGAAATAATTTACTTTTTCTTTCATTTTTAGTAAATATTTTGGCTTTGGAGGTATAAAGCGATACTTAACTTTTTCTTTAGGTTTGATAATGAAATTCAAATGTTTCAAAACCGTTGCTCCTGTCTTGCTATACCGCATAGTTGTATCAATGAATTCAATTTTCCCATGCTTTGGCCACGTCGGCGGTGGTTTTTTATCAGGAGTCTAAAATATTAAAAAAAACAAAGTTATAATAAATCATTATATATTATAGAGAATAATTAAATAATAGAATGGCAAAACCTGAAACAAAACGAAACCCCTTTTATTTAAAGATTAAATATGATACCTAATTGATAGAAAGCTTTTAAAACTTTTATCAGATCATTTACAGAAAAGAATATAATTCTATAGAGAACATAATGATTCATTGTTTGCGTGAAAACGCAAAGTAAAGGTGCCATTTATCAAATCCAAACTGGTGCCTAAGACATTGTTACTGTAGTATCAGTGCACTAAAACGTTTCTAAAACAAATCAGAAATTATTCTTCGAAAATAATGGTATCAAATGAGCTAGAATTTACTGTCAATGTACTGTAATTAAAACCCTATGATTGCGACATTTAAGTTTCTAAGTTGTTAACGAAGAAGTACTACATAGAATGGGTAAAGAGCGCGAACTAGTAACCATAAAACGTCGCAAACTAGAATACCTGGGCCATATAAAGCGCAATGAACAACGATATGACCTACTTCGGACCATACTTCAAGGTAAAGTTCATGGGAAAAGAGGTCCAGGACGAAGAAGAATATCCTGGCTGCATAACCTGCGAAAATGGTTTAACTTAACCACTCCGGACTTTTCAGGGCACCAGTCAACAAAGTCAGAATAGCCATGTTAGTGTCCAACATCCGTAACGGATAGGCACCATAAGAAGAAGAAGTCGTGAAGTTTCATCTTTAAATATTGTACATAAATATGCATGTTTTTTGTTTAGCAAAAATATGTTACCGATTCAAGGTCAGGTTCATGTTCAATCCTAGTGAATTCCAAAACTCTTTCCACCGACGTCATCTGGTTCTCTAATTCAGCTGACTGACGCATGCCCCATTGTACCAATCCACTCAGACCTATACACTGAGTAATGGCCAATCCAACTCCACTACCATAATGTTCTGAAACAATAGATATAAATTCTAAGACATTCATTCAAGTACTTAGCAAAAACAATAACATAATAAATTATCAATTTGAGTATATCATTAAACATTAGCATACAAGTAGGGGAAACCGGGGGAATACCGCGAACGGGGGAATATCGCGCAGCAGTATCTTGGCAACACGGCGTAAGTACTGCAACATTCAACACAGTGCGTTGTCTCGTACTTGCTAGTCGACCACTTGTGTGTAATATAACTGCGTTCGTAGTATTGGTTTAGACAAGGTCACAGATTGTTTGTTTTTCAAGACTTTGATGTAATTTTCGACTAATCTTTAACAAGCGGTAAGTGCTTTTGTTATTAATTTTCATTAAAACTATTCAGTGATTATTTTGCTTTATATGTATAGATAATTTCACGTACAAAAATAATGCATTTTATTTAGTAATTAACGAACAGTGATAAGTTAAGTTAGGTTACTCACTTAGGGGGAATACCGCGCAGCTGTGTCGGGGTAATTTCGTGCTGCGCGGTATTACTCCGTGTAAGAATTTTTGCTGATATAGTGTTTTTATTGCATTTTAGATTCCAAAATGCCCCGTGCTTACGTTCGAAAAACTGAAAGATCAAAATGGACAGAAGATGAACTAAAAGCTGCGATCACTGCTATACGATCTGGGCGAAAAATACGAGAAGTACGTCGATCATTCAATATTCCAGAATCTACTCTACGTGACAAACTAAAGTCCAATAGCCATAAAAAAATAAAACTTGACAGGAAACCAATTTTTAATGATGAACAGGAATCCACCATAGCCAACCATGTTAAAAAGTTGGCGAATATGTTTTTTGGAGTCACGCCATCAGAACTAAAGCGTTTGGCATACAAGTTTGCTGAAGAGAATAAAATAAAATTCCACTAGGAAACTAAGTTCCTGTAGCTGCCTGTATACCATATATCACAAAAAATTTATTTAAAATCCTTTATAAAAGGTATATAATAAAATGCCCAAACGGGCTATCACAAAGATATTGCAAAACGTTTTCGGATTATTAAATCCATCATCAGTGCAAACCTGAAAGTAAATAACCACTTTAATTAAAAGAACGTTGAATTTAAAATGTTGACTAAGGTTAAAGAACATTGTGGTTAATACTTACGAGGTATACATGCTATGAACCACCAAATATATGGGTCCAAACCCTTTAAATGATACAAATTTACATTTGATTTACATTATATGTTGTTACAAATTATGATGTTTGAGTTACCGTTGAAATTGGTAACATGGCGACGTATGACCCTACATAGGTAAAATGGTCCTGAGACGAAGTGTCTTCGAAGACCTGTTGATAACAACTGATCAAAATGACATTGTTGACATGTTAAAACGGATGTTGTGTCAGAGCAGTCAGTGTAACTTACGGTAGTTGTCTAAAAATGACAGATGTCAGCATAATTTAAAATTAAATAAGAATAAAATAAAACCCCGTTTCGACTCGATAAAGAAGATCGCTGGTGAAGATTGGTTAGAACTTTTTTTAAAGCGTCATCCAGACATAAGTGTTAGAAAACCCAAAGGTACCAATCAAAACCGCATTTCTGCATTCAATAAAGATGAGGTTGAACGATTTTTTAACAATCTGCTCACAGTTAGGGAAAAGTTCAAATTTCCTGAGAGTCGAATTTTTAATGTAGATGAAACGGGCATTTCTATGGTCCAGAAACCATCAAAAATTTTGGCACCAAAAGGTCAAAAGCAAGTAGGATCCGCAATATCTTGGGAAAGAGGGAAAAATGTTACCATAGTATGCGCTGTAAATGTTTTAGGACAGTTTGTCCCTCCTATGTTCATATTCTCTCGAGTACGTATGAATCCACAATTAATGAGAGGAGGCCCAATTGGAGCCATCTACAGATGTTCAAAAAACGGTTGGGATAAATGAAGAGTTATTTTTCGACTGGATAAAACTTTTTTGTCAGCATATAAAGGCCTCGAAAGAAGATCCAGTGCTTCTCATATTGGATAACCATGGGAGTCACATTTCTTTGGAGATTTATACTTACTGCAGATCACACGGAATTGCTATGGTTTCACTTCCCCCTCATACGTCACACAGGCTTCAACCTCTTGACTTTTTTTTTGGGCTCCTAAAGAATGCTTTCAATCGTGAGTGCGACTTGTATCTAAGAACTCATACTCATGAAAAGATCACACATTTTGAACTTGCTTTCATTTTTAACAGAGCATAACTGAAGATGATTTCAGCTTAATAGATCACACTGAAGTTTCAGATATGCACGTTGTAATGGACTTAGAAACCGACGTTACCAATGATGACAGGGCCCTTGATCAGTCGAGATGTGACGAAACTCTGCAGAGAACTCCACCGAGAAATACCGAACCCCAACCGGGACCGTCGAGATGTGATGAAACTATACAGAGAACTCCACCTAGAAATACCGAACCCCAAACGGGACCATCGAGATGTGATGAAACTATGCACAAGACTCTATCTTATAATGCCAAATTGAAATCAAACTAGCAAACTACACCCCAGCCTGGAACGTCAGAAAATATTAAAACTCAGTCTAGTATACCCATTGAAAAGCATCTCCTCTTCCTTCCAAATTTATAAAGAAAAGTTCCAAATCACGTGCAAAACAACACTCAGAAATTTTCACTTCCACGCCACTAAAAACGCAATTAGAAATAAAACAAGAAAAGAGAAATATTAAGAAAAAAGCTGAAGAGGCCAAAAAAAATGAAACCAAGAAAAAAACGACAGGAACCGTAGGAAAACTGGCTAATAAAGCAAAGAAACGACCTGTACGCAAGAAAGCTGGAGTTAGAAAGTTACATTTTGATGATTGTGAGTCTGAAAGTTATGATGAGAGTAAGCTTTGTGAGGCTGATGAATTAGATGATGTAGATCTAACATTAGAAAATGAGGAGTGTTTGGTGTGCGGTGAATTGGTGTCGTGGTGAGACAAAGAAATTTGGTACCGTTGTGTAATGTGTTCGAATTGGGCTCATTCAGAATGTAGTGGTTGGGACTCAGCAGTTAATTATACATGCGATATGTGTGCCAAGGTCGAACGAAAGACAGTCAGAAAGTAAAATTATCTCTTTAATGTTGTTTTTTTTTTCAATTTTGTCTTTAAGAAATCTGTTTTGTTTACAATATTTGCTTTATTACAATAATTTTTTTTTCAAGTAAATTTTCAAGTAAAAACAGTTTTAGTAAATTTTTTTCTTCAAAATCCATTAAACAAAAAAGTAAATTTTTTTCTTCAAAATCCATTAAACTTTAATCCTATTTTTTATAGGAATAACGTTCCCAATAGATACAAGTTTCAGTAGTTAAATTATGGAAGTTTGTTTGCACATAGGAAACTTTTTGTAAGTATTTTACCTTAGGTGCGCAGAATTCCCCCGGTTTCCCCTATATAAATACTACATGAAATAGTAAAAGTCTTCTAAATTTATATTTGAAGACTACTTATATTGATTAATCTGTAAAATAGTGTCTGATGCAAACAAAATGGATGTTAAAAAAGTAATTTTAACTTACTGTGATCAAAAATTGCAAAGTTAAATGTAACATATAAAATAAACAGAGTGCAAATCAAATCCAGCCAGAGTCCAAAAGCTCTTGACGTAAACAAAAACATAAACCAAGCACTGCTGTGAATATCTTGCAAATAGTCGAATTCTTCGACCAAAATCTTCTCAGCTCCGTTCGAACGAATAGTTGTTAAACCTTGCAGAGTGGCGTTCAAGTGAGCAAAAACTGGACTTCGGGCTAAAATCAGAGATGTGTCTGAACATAATTTTTCTCCTAAAGGTCATTATTTTGAAATTGTTAAAAGATTTATACACGGTGATCAACTTTTGTGACGAAGTCTGTTAAATTTGTTATTATAGGAGATACAAAAAACTATAAGCTATAAGCTTTACATTTTAAAATTAGTTAAAACTATACAGGGTCATTCATAACAATGCATCAAATAAATTTTTAATGAAACACCCTATATTTTATTTTAAATTTAAAATTCACTTTCTCGTTACACACCATTCTTATGAAGTTTTTAGAAGAATTCAAAGCCATGTTTAATCAAATCTTGCAACAAAACAGCATGGTAATAAACATGCTAAGTAAACTCATATGCAAATAAAATTCTTTCTACGAATAGCAGAATGGAACGCCAATGGCCTGCTGAATCATAAGGACGAGGTGATAATATTTCTACAACAAAATTTTATAGATGTATTATTAATAAGTGAGACACATTTTACAGACAAATCGTATTTTAAAATACCTCAATATATAACGTACCATACTAACCATCCAGACAAGACAGCCCATGGAGGTACAGCAATTTTGATCAAACAATCAATTAAACATTTCATGATGGAAAGTTATATAACAGACTGTATCCAAGCTACAGTAATTAAAGTGTGCTCATTACCTTACGAAATAACAATAGCAGCAGTGTATTGCCCTCCAAAGCACAATATTAAAAAAACCGATTTCGCATCCTTCTTCAATACTCTAGGTCCAAAATTTATCGCAGCTGGTGACTTCAATAGTAAACACACGTACTGGGGATCAAGATTAATAACAACAAAGGGGAGAGAGCTTTATAGCTTAATGCAAGAAAATAAATACTCATATTTATCAACAGGAACACCAACGTACTGGCCAACGGACCCAAAAAAAGACCAGACCTCTTAGATTTTTGCATCATAAAAGGAATATCTAACACCTTTATGGACATAGTTCCAAGTTATGATCTATCTTCAGATCATTCACCAATTATTGCAACAATTAGCACCTGCGTTATTAACAAACAACCTACTCCAAAACTGCATGGACCTAGAACAGATTGGAACGTTTACCGAAAAATACTGGATGAAAACATTAAACTAAATGTAAGACTAAGAAGCCCTTCAGAAATAGAAGCAGCTACAAACAACTTTATGACATTATTACAAAACGCTGCAAAAGAAGCGACACCGAACGATGCAGATAAAAATAAAATCGAGAATAGAATAAATATTCCACTAGAAATTAAAAAGCTCATTGCTGAAAAAAGAAGAGCAAGAGCCAAATGGCAACAAAGTCGGAACCCAGCGGATAAAACGTTTTACAATCGCTTAGCCAATAAATTAAAAACACAACTAAAAATTGCAAGAGAAGAGTCAGTCAAAAAATATGTAACACAACTTAATAGATACGACCATTCAATATGGAAACCAATCAAATCATCCTTAAAACCTCAAGCAATATCGCCACCAGTAAGAAAAACCACAAACACACAGAACCAATGGGCAAGAAGCGATAAAGAAAAATCCGAATTATTTGCTGAACATTTAGCAACAGTATTCCAACCACACAACAATGAAGAAGATCAAGAAATTATTAATTATTTAAACTCAGAACAACCGTCAGTAAATCCAATAAAATTAACAACACCCAAAGAACTTAAAGAAGAAATCTTAAAACTAAATATCAAAAAGTCACCAGGAATTGACCTAATAACTCCAAAAATGCTAAAGGAATTACCAAAAAAGGGTATAGTGATCCTTACATATATATTTAACGCAATATTAAGATGTAATTATTGGCCTAACAATCTAAAAATTGCAGAAATACTTTTATTTCCAAAACCAGGAAAGGATCCAAGTGAAGTCTCATCCTATCGACCTATCAGTCTGTTATCAACAATCTCCAAATTACTAGAAAAACTTTTAATAAAAAGAATAGATCCAAGCCTTACAGGCGCAGACTGGATACCAAATTTTCAGTTTGGATTTCGACGAGAACACTCAACTATCCAGCAATGCCACCGAATAACCCATAAAATCAATTCCGCATTAGAAGAAAAGGAATATTGCCCAATGGTATCACTAGATGTACGTCAAGCTTTTGATAAGGTTTGGCATAAAGGACTTCTTTATAAAATTAAACAAATATTACCACCCTTCTTTCGAATACTTACATCATACTTGGAAAACCGACAGTTTAGAACAAAAGTAAATGGAGAAATATCTAAAATGCATCCCATTAAGGCGGGAATTCCACAGGGCAGTGTCCTGGGACCTTTATTATATATATTATATACTTCTGATCTACCAACTTCGCATAACGTAACAATTGGCACATTTGCAGATGACACAGTAGCACTTACCAGTCACAAACACATTAACATAGCTACACAACAACTCCAAGATTATTTGTATGAGCTTGAAAACTGGCTAAAACAATGGAAAATAAAAATTAATGAAAACAAGTCAACCCACGTAACTTTCACTTTACGACGAGAAACACCACCACCAATATATATCAACAATGAGGAAATACCCAGGACTAAAACAACCAAATACCTAGGGCTACACCTGGACCAAACCCTGTGTTGGAAAGAACACATCACCAAAAAAAGAAAACAAATACAACTAAGACAAAAAGAAATCAATTGGTTAATTGGAAAAAACTCCAAACTGTCAATAAATAATAAAATTCTAATTTATAAAACAGTTATTAAACCAATATGGACATATGGCATAGAGCTGTGGGGCTGTAGTAGTAAATCTAATATTGCTATTATGGAAAGATGTCAATCAAAAATCTTAAGAGCAATTGTTGATGCACCCTGGTACGTAACCAACCAACGAATCTATGAGGATCTCAATATCTCAACAGTGAAAGAAGTATACCAGCAAAAGAAATTACAATACATTCAAAAAGTGAACACACACTCCAACCCATTAATTTCCGCAATACCTCAACATCAAGTTATCCGAAGACTAAAGCGACGTTGGCCAACAGACCAGTAACATGGACCCGTGATTCTCTCACTGGAGGGACCACATCACGCCAGAACCAAGGGACAGGACTTAAACTCATCACATTAACTTATAGAATATATTGTTTTATTCTGATTGTTAATTTATTAGTTATAATAAAAAAAAAAAAAAAAAACTTTCTCGTTACAAGACTATAAAGTTATTTTCTGTTATACAGAGCATTTAAATAAAAAGTCATAATCTTTCAATGGAAATCATAACAGGATTTTTGTATTATAATTTCCAGCTTCCAAGTATCAGACCTTTCATACACACATAGAAGCTTTCCAAAAAAGACCTTTCGCCTCGAGGGATGCCTTCGGTTTTTCCCTTGCATGTGAAGGCACCTTTAAATACCTAATAGTATTGTGAAAACCATCAAAAGTTTATGACGAAAATAATCTAAACAACTATACTCTACAATAAAAAACAGAATATAAAATGTTTGCATTTGATTATACGTGGTTTCTCTCGCTATGGCCTTAACCATGGACGTATAAACATAGATGGACACAGCAATAAGATACCTTTAACACACAATGTTTTGAAGCTTCCATAGAATGTGATGCTTCCGCAATAAGAATAAGCGTGCTTGAATTTTTACTCGCGGGTAATTATTCAGATTTTAAAAATTGGAAGTAGTAATAATGTATAAAAACACGTTTTAAAAAGGTACTACACAGATCTTTTTTATCAGATGATGTCTACTTACAATTTAAAAATGTCTACTAATTTCATGAACTTATATATTTTCAATACATTAATGAACATAAATAAACCCAATGGTACGCCTATTAAAATGTAAACAAACACGCTTCCTAAACGCAAAATATCAAAAAACACCTTTTCCTCTTCTACTGTAAAAAGTAAACAAACATGGAACAGCATTTTCAGTTTGACAAGTTTGACGTAGATCCATAAGACAGAGAAATGTAAACAACCGTTGCCATTTATAAATAGTTTTCAGTGCTTCTACATATAAAATAATTGATTGATATCTATTATACGTTATTATTAAATGATAATGCACACTATGTGCACATTTGATATTTTGATTACAATTAAATATATTAATCTAACCAATAAATTATTATTTTGGTTTGATAGCACCTGTAGAGTATAAAACACGGAGTAATATTTTCAGCGACTCGCGAATAAGAAATTTTAAAACAAAACGTGACAACGGTTGAAGGTGCTGAGAATGTGACCTATTCAAATAATTTTGACTTCACAATTTTATGTAAATAACTGAGTCCATTTGTGTTTATACGTCCATGGCCTTAACAATTAACCGATTGTAAATCTTTAAGAGAAACTTTCCTGGAAAGGGAACAGTGGGGTCCCTAAAACTATTTACTTTTTGAGAATATGTTTTAAAGACTTGTCTTGTTACATGTTGGATCTGATAAAGATTTTCTACCAAATTCAGAATGTGTATTTTTAGCAAAAAAAGATTCAGGCGACTACCATGACGAAATGAACGGCAAGTCTTTCGAAGACTGGTTTGAAAACAAACTAATCGCAAACCTCCCAAAAGGAGAAAATAAAATGTGGTAGCAATGAATAATGCTTCATATCATTCATGCAAACAAAATTGCCCAAGAAACTCCTGGAACAAACAACAAATTCAAGAATAGTTACGAGAGAAGGATATATTTTATGAAGAAGATTATTTAAAGTCAGAACTATTGGATGTAGCAAACAGCAAAAATGTGTATACACATTTTTCTTTGTAATAATTGTTGAGACTGTTAATAGTACTGTCGGTATATAAATTAACAATTCAAATTTGAAGCCACTACGGAGCTACGATTTTTTTTGTAGCAGTTTACATAGTAGACTCCGTTCTGTTGTTATACCCTGTATAATTTAGTAAAAAAGATTTCAAAGAAAATAGTTTTATTAAATTTTGTATAATTTGCAAAATCTTGAAGTTGTAAATAATGTTACATTTACTTCTAATAGGATTGCATGATTTAATGTTATCGTACAAAAGGGCCAACGCGGTCCTGTATCAGACCTGCAGACTATGAACGTGCCTAGCAGCCTAAGCGGCAACGTCGCTTCTCATAAGCACTGTACTGAAATCCTCTCGTGAATTTGTCTTTAGATTAAAATAATAGGGATATCAATATAGACGGGTAAAAATTAAACAATATACACTTTAAGAGTGACACAGTATTAATAATACATGATTGGAAAGAGGCAGATTCAATGATAAACTAGATGGAGCAAGCAACAAAAAATTGGCCTATATTATTTACTCTTTGAATTAAACAAAAAATGAGGGAAAATAAGATATTATTAATTTATCATTTTAATATACATTATATGAATACCATAAAAACTTACACTTAGAATTTCTAAAACTATTTAAATAACTTACTTATTCCCTCCAGTCGCTTAACGTTTCTACTTGTGTGCAGGTATACTCTTCTTAGCAAATAAAAGGAAACAAAGATTACCGCAGTGGGAATTAGAAGCAAATAATCTATTAGAGTCACTACAATTATGGCACCGATTAGATTTAGTAGAAGCTAGAAAAATATATTATGTTTAAAGAATTGCATTAAATTTTGAATTAACTCGCTTATTCAATAATCATTATAATAACTGTGACCAAATTGCCCATTTGAAATGTCCTCTGTATGCGTCTATATTCTTTGATGGTATTCTTGACTTTTTTCCTTTTTAAACAGGCTCTATTAGAACAATACAATACGATATTAGTTACAAGAAGAATATTACCTGTGTTGTGTCACAAAAAGCATTAGGCAACATTTCGTCAACGGCTCCTAAATCTTTCGAAAATCTATTTAAAATTCTTCCAGATGAGTTTACATTAAAAAATAGCATATTGGCGTGGATTATGCTTTCAAACATTCGGTTATGAAGTCTAAAAAATAAATAGTAAGTTAACTATAAGTATTTTTTGGGTAAATTTTGAAGTGAATACTTCTTGGCGCTCGGTATGATGTTTTTCACGGGCTCTAAATCCTATTTAGCGTGACTCGAAAAATCATTGTAAGACTTTTTTGTATTTTGTTATTATTATTTGTATTTGTAACTGTTTATGGTGAAATAATAATAAATATAATGTTTCTCCCTAAGCCAAGAGTAGTTTTATTTCCTTAAAAAAAATTCTAACGCTTTTAATATATTTTTTAGGAAAGAAAAACCTATTTTTCCATTTAGCAGGAAGATTGTAGTAAACGGCGTCCAAATTTAAATAGTTTAGGAGCCTTCTTGTGTTGTGTTGTCCAGGAAATCCATGTAAGTACTTTATTGATATTCTTCCTTTGTAGTTACCCCTTTCCAGTCCCTTAACCTACTTACGACCCAGCTCTCCAATCAAACCAAGAGTAAAAGTTCGCAGACGTTTCGGTTTGCTTGCTTACCCTATCTCCAGTCCAGTAGTTTCTGTCCCCAATTTTCAACCCTCTATATCTGTCAACTCTCAATGTAGTAGGCAATATAACCACTACAATTGTTCATAATAAAACTAACTATACTTAATATCATACCTTTGTGACGCCCTCATGCAAATTGTGTAGTATACCAAAGATCTTGTGATGGATACGACAATAGTACCCACTATTAACACATTGTATATGATCACAAAATCTAATCTGGAAAAACGATTAAAAAATCTCATCGATTCGGCCGAACCTTTAAACTCTCTGAGTTCCTCAACATTAACCCTGAAAATATAGGTTATCTTACACAAAGCGCTTCTTTATAGGGTACTTACTCTACACATTATATATGAAATGCAGCTTACCACTGGGACAAGAAGTAATCACCACTACTGGCTACCACCTGTGCAAATAAAAACAAAAATATCATGCAAAATACGCCCAACCAATTGGCGCCTGCACCGAAATATTCGGTGTAGTTGGAGAAATCTACTGATCCAAAAGTTCTTATTTCGGGTATTACAAATGGACGTTTCTAAAACAACAAAAAAATATTTTTATTTTGGTTTTATATAAAACCAAGACAGTTACCTTTTTTCCTTCTATATCTATCATACTTTGAAATGCAGCACTGGTCACAGAGATGTTTCTCAGCAACTTTTCAATTTCTTTTTCTTCTATGGGAGCCGCAGAGGATGCATCTTTTAAAACAGTTGCAAACACCGGCATATCTTCTCTACCCATTAGCTCTGAATAGCTTCCTTGACACTGTATTACACCTTCGTTCATTATAACGATGTGATCGGCTCGTTTTAGATATTGTAACTGATGAGTTATTAGTACTACTATTTTATCTTTCAGGTATCTATAAGAAAATAAGAAAATTAAAAATAAAATTAAAAACAAAACTTTTCTAAAGCGAAGCTTCTTTACTTGTGTTGTATTAGTTTTTTTCTCCACAGTAAACTGCCGAGGCGAGCGTCACGGAAGTAGCGCCACAAGATGGCGTCGTCACGGGTACCGTCATAAAATAACGATTCTTGACATCGATTAACTACTCGCGATCAATTCGTTTCTAGTCATCATATATTTGTTCTAAGTAGTTTTAAATTAAAAATTGCATGTAAAACAACTAATAAAATATAGACATTAAATAGGAAATAGAAAATTAAAAGAATATCTGTCACTAAAATATTCGATTCATAACAATTGTCAAAATTTAATAAAAGTCATAAATGTCATCCGATTAATAACAACATTACATCATCTGTTTAAATTTTTAACATTCTCGTTTAAAAATAATTTCATATATACTTCATCTAATTTAGATAACGACTTACGTCATGATCTACGTCAGAGATCAAAGTTGACATAGTTGCCAAAGTATAAAAAAATCCTGACTCCATTTTAAATCAAATAGATCACATAATTATTGCAAAAGTATTACCACCGCTTTACAATGACTATTTAAATTCTTACGTGACATTTTTGAAATAAAACACACTAATTTTGTTCTAAAAGAACAAATTTTATTAAATAGGAAAAAATATAAAACAAGAGATATTCATTTTAAAATTCAAAATAATAAAGTACAAAAAGTGTCAACACCGCAACTGTCAAATAAGTGTTACCAATTTATGCCAAAATTTTACCTTCGTTCGATTACAGTTACAGTGTGTTCCGAACAAATGTTCTTGGTAAAAACGCTTTATAATGCATTTATACAAATTAAATGAAACATATTATCGTGTATTTCTTTAAGTTAACACTAATAGAAATTTTTAAATATTATTTCTACGCGTATATAATAAAATATGTCTAGTGGCTGTAATGCCAGTGTACTCGGTAAAGTGATTCTAAAAAAAGAACACACCTACCGCATAAATATTTCGTGTTGGTATCATGTGACGTCACAAGCTATGACGCCTATGACGTGCATCGTTATATAAATTAGATGAAGTGTACCTAAATACAATAATTAATATAAACCATGGACGTATAAACATAGATAGACACAGCAATAAGATACCTTTTTCTACTCTCTTACTAGTAAATTGTATATTACCTACTATTTGGATGCTAAGTAAATGCATCATAACAGATACTGACACGTAATGACTAGCACGTAATAAAAAAAATTACGCTTCAGTTCTATAAAAATGTGTAATATCACACAAGCCTTGTAAGTCAGTTGGTCGAGTTACCATGGAAACGAACTAATAGGCGTTGTTTTGACAGGTTAAAAATTATTAATCTGTCAGTGTAAATATAGTGGTAATTTAATTTTTATTTTTATAAACAAAAATAATGGTAGAAAAAGTATAGTACACAACTTGAGTTGTAAGCTTATTACATGCTTGTAAAATTACTGCGCTCGCCGCTACGCGGCTCGCGCGCAACTTTTTTTACTCGCATGTAATAAGCTTCTTACAACTCTCGTTATGTAATATACTATTAACACACAATGTTTTGAAGCTTCGATAGAATGTGATGCTTCCGCAATAAGCATAAGCGTGCTTGAATTTTTACTCGCGGGTAATTATTCAGATTTTAAAAATTGGAAGTAGTAATAATGTATAAAAATACGTTCAAAGAATTAAAAAAAAAACGAGAGTTTAACTATTAACAAATAACGTCTTTATAGAAAAATTAAAATACAATTTTATTTGCCTTAAAATTAATACAATTAAATATAGTTGAATTCAAGTTAATTTTTTAATAGGTATCAAAATAATGCTACAATAAAAAATCTTTATGTTTTCTCCTAAATTTGCTACCCAAATAGTTCGATCGTCAATATTATTTGGAAACCTACATAGAAAAATAAATGAGTTTTATTCATTTCACTAATTTATTTGTATCCATGAGAAATATTAAATTAAAAAGGTACTAAACAGATCTTTTTTAATCAGATGATGTCTACTTACAATTTAAAAATGTCTACTAATTTCATGAACTCATATCTTATTCAATACATTAATGAACATGGATAAACCCAATGGTACGCCTATTAAAATGTAAACAAACACGCTTCCTCATTTTCTCATCTTAAATACTGTAAATTGTATGTACTTACAAATGAAATGAGAGATCGGGATGTAAATATTTCGTTTATTTTATTTCACTTTTCACAAATATCACTAAAAATACAGCCAAAATATTAAAAAACACCTTTTTCTCTTCTACTGTAAAAAGTAAACAAACATGGAACAGCATTTGAAGTTTGACGTAGATCCATAAGACAGAGAAATGTAAACAACCGTTGCCATTTATAAATAGTTTTCAGTGCTTCTACATATAAAATAATTGATTGATATCTATTGCGAAGCAGAATTCGCCAAGCATTCGATTGCTCACCCATAGTAATCCTGCTCAGTACCAGCGGAACCGCAGGTTCGGACATTTGGTTGACGCACTTACTCGAGCGGGTAACGGTGCGAAGCTACCATCCGTAGGATTATGCTTAAACGCCTCTAAGGCCGTATCCTTTTTTGTCAAGGACGGTAATGAAATCTCTTGGAATTCTGAGAGTCGAAAGGCTCAAATCAATGTGACTTTACTAGACAATCGTAGTTCGCTCTTTCCTTTGAGATTATCGGTTTATGGTGGGATCGATCCTTGCCAGTAGATCAGATCTTTAGACGGACGAATATGGGTATTATAATCTTTTCGATGTTGGAACTCGGAATTGTCTGTAGACGACTTACGTACCTCGCAGGGTGTTGTACCTGGTAGAGAAGTTTCCACGCTGCGATCTATTGAGACAGCCATCAGCTTGGGGATTCATCTTGTCGGTTAGACAAGACCAGTAATATTAAAAAGCCTAAGCCAGAGCGCTCGAGTTCGATTATTAGCACTAATAACGTCATTTTACGATAACGATATGATAACGAGTCACCACCACGAGTCAATAATTTTTTGTTGATTATTTTAACAAGGAGTGTTGGTATGCTACACCAAAATGAGAGCGCACTATTTACTTCTACAGTTATGTCAATTTCTTATAAAATAAGACTAAATCAGAGACCAAATTGAGATTTTCGTTTTAGCATACTGTTAACCTATTTTGTCTAATAAATTACAAAGTTGTAGAAGAATAATCGGATGTTATTTAAATAATCAGTCTTTAACAAAAAAACTTACCTTCTTATACACCCTTCGAACAACTGTTGTCCGACTTGAATATCAACAGCAGACAGAGGATCATCCAAGAGGTAAATGTCGGCTTCTTTATAAACACATCGCGCAAGATTCACTCTAGCTCTTTGACCTCCACTCAAAGAAACGCCTCTTTCGCCCACAATGGTCCTGTCTCCAAACTGAAGAATGCCGAAATCTCTGTTAAGAGCGCAAACTTTAACTACTTGTTTATATTTTTGATAGTTGAATTCTCTGCCAAAGAGAATATTCTGTCGAACGGAACCTAAATATTAGTCAAGATATTAAAACGTCTTATTTACTCATTCACTAACCAATAAATTTATATATAAAAATAATAAAACGCCGAAATCTACATTTTATTAGTATCTTTGAAAATAGAATTTTAGTTTTGGAAACATTTAGATTTAAGCTGAATATTTCGCTATGAAGAACTACCGAATTTCTTGTATTTTTAAAGAATTTATCGTTTGATTTAACAATAAATTAACATTTTTACCTGCAAATAACCACGGTTCCTGCGAAGCATATGATACAACGCCTTCAACACCTATCGTTCCGCTAAACAAAGGTAACTCTCCCATAATCAAGTGCAAAAGGCAACTTTTACCAGCTCCAACAGGCCCCACTACTGCCACGAGCTGTCCGGAGGGTATGTCTATGTTGATATCATCTAAGCACACGTTCTCGCCATATTTTGCGATTCCGTGAATAATATGAATCGCATTTTGAGCTTCTTTTGTGGGGTCTGTGTCAAAGAATATTTTGCGAACTTGGTGTTTAGTGGTGTGGAGGTTTAATTTCGATTGCCAATGTTTGTCGATAGGACTTGGATCGCCTACGGTTGTTTCTTCAGTGGCCATAAATTCTTCTATTCGTTTTACTGATACCAGTGCTTCTGCGACCTTTAAACAAAATATTGTTGTATCAATTCGGAATTAGCAACAGCTCGTATCCTTGATAATCGTGACAGACCACTCAACATGAATGAACATATCCCAAATACTTGTTAAAAAAGTCATAATAAAGCAGATATACAGAGAAGCGGAATGAAGCAAAAAGGTATCTCTTTCAATTTATTGTTTTTATAATTATACCTACCATAATTTGCACTTGCCAACTTATTTGTAAAAAAACTTACCATAGCCACTCCTTGTGGGAAATACACAGTCATGGTTTGTCTTAAAATTTGGTAGTACGAAATTATAACGAAGGTCTTATCGGCTGTGATATTATTCCCCAGGAATATAAACGCCATTATAGTTAAAAATATAGCTGACCTGCTTGTGAACATAATAAATGACATTATTAGACCTCTGATATACGAAGTTTGTATTAATACTTGTAATTCGTTTCTAAAAGCAGAAAAATTAAATGTACGTTAGTTATTAATTTAAAATTAATTACAAATATACAAGGTCTTCAATAACACTGTACCGCATCAAGGATATACGTTTTTTAACGAAACACACTGTATTTTATTTTACATTTAATATACGCTTCACCTCCTCGAACTTGTAATTCGTGAAATATTTTTTGCAGTTTTGATTTTAAAAAATAAGAGGTAAAATAATTTTTTATTAAAACGAATAACGTAAGTGCCATAAAATATTAGATTTTGAGTACAGAAGATTGTAAAATAACTGCTCTGTTTTAAAATTTACGCAACAGCAATGGCTTCGAGAAAAAAATGTTCCATATACCTACTGTTTCTATGTTGAAATAACTGTATAACATAATATAAACTGTATAACATAATAAAATTGCATAAACCTCGTTATGTAAAATATTCAATCGATAAAAGTATACGAGCACAAGGACATGATGTATTTAGACTCCCACCATACCATCCCGATTTGAACCCTATTGAAATGGTTTAGGTAGCTTTGAAATCCTGTGTGGGAGCCAGAAATGTAGACTTTACATTTACGTCAATACAGTACCTATCAGGCGAATTTTTTCTAACATGCGCATACACTCGATTTTTCAGCCGCCGCGGTGCGGTGCGCTATCGTGCGCCTCTATCGTACTTATGCATAGTTTACATATACTTACGCAAAAAAAATCCGAACAAATACTTGAAGTTTATTAACATAGTTTTTTCCATAATTTATTTATGTATACTCAATAAATTTATGTACTCAATAAATAATAATTATTTGTAAGTATGTGTAAGTACTTAGAAGTAAATTAATCAGCAGAGAATATTTCGATTATGTCCTATTTGGAGAAAAGGCGCATTCCGTCGCAATGGTTCTATTATTATGTATAATTTTCACTACTATTCAACAAGTAATCTATTCCACATATACTTCATCTAATGGCCGCAGGAATATGACGTCACGACTGTCACATTGTCATTACTACTTTCCACACAAAAGGTGAAATGTAAAATCTCAAGACTTTTTAATATCGATAAAGTTAAAATTTTGCTTCCTCTGCTGCTTTTTCTTGTAAGCATACTATTTTTTACAATAATTCTGAGTTCTATTTCTATGAAATATAGTTTAAAAGTTTAAATTAAAGAAATACTAACCTTACTTTATTGATACATGCATTTTATAGCTATTAGCATAAAACAATGTGCTTTATTATTTTCACAACCCTGTAAAATTGTTGTAGTAACTATTAGAATACTTAAATATTGCAAAAAGCGGAAAGATTCTATAAAATAAATGAAAAAATAACTAAAATTACAAACTATCCACACTAAACAAGGTTTGTTTGGAAAGTGAAACTGACAGATGTCAATAAAATCTACGTCATCACTCCTGTGGTCCATTTACATACCGACGCACGTCATTATCTACGTCAGAGATCGAAGTTGACATAGTTGCCAAAGTATGAAAAAATCCTCACTCCATTTTAAATCAAATAGATCACATAATTATTGCAAAAGTATTACCATCTCTTTACAACGACGATTTAAATTCTTACGTGACATTTTTGAAATAAAACACATTAATTTTGTTCTAAAAAGAACAGATTTTATTAAATAGGTAAAAAAATAAAACAAGAGGTATTCACTCTAAAATTCAAAATAATAAAGTACAAAAAGTGTCAACACCGCAACTGTCAAATGTGTTACCAATTTATGTCAAAATTTCACCTTCGTTCGATTACAGTTACAGTGTGTTGCGAACAAATGTTCTTCATAAAAACGATTTATAATGCATTTATACAAATTAAATGAAACATATTATTGTGTATTTCTTTAAGTTAACATTAACAGAAATTTTTAAATATTATTTCTACGCGTATATAATAAAATATGTCTAGTGGCTGTAATGCCAGTGCACTCGGCAAAGTGATTCTAAAAAAGAACACACCTACCGCCTAAATATTTCGTGTTAGTATCATGTGACGTCACGGGCTATGACGCCGATGACGTGCATCGGTATGTAAATTAGATGAAGTGTAGATAAACACGATGGTCGCTAAATTTGTGGGGAGGTACCATCGTTAACTATGTAGTAGGACCATATTTTTTTGAATATAACATAATTGATGGGATGTACATAGATTTTATTGCGAATCAAGCCCCATAACGAATTATTACCATAAAACGAATTAGTATGTGGTGAACTTAATGATCAGTTTGGTGAAAGTTGGAACGGAAGGGATGAACCGGTAAGGTGAAAAACTTCTGACTATGACTTCAGCAAAATTTCTTTATCTGTACCCATTCTAGCGTAATCGTAATATGACAAGAAGAAAATGTCAACTCACAATCGCTACGTAGGTCGATTTTTACAAGATTTAATCATATTCAAGAAAATATAAAGATTCTCTTACTTACTTTCGTAACTTGCTTATCAAATCTGCAAAAGCATTTTCCCAAGAGTACATTTTTATTACTTGTATTGACTGTATGATTTCATTCATCTGTCTAACCCTTTCGTCCGTTCTAGCTCCTGCTTTTTTTCTGAGATATGAAGTTCTCGCTCCAAAAAGCACTAAAAGATTTAGATCAATATTCCGTCCTATAAAGAATATATAATCTTACTTTGCAAAGGCATTACTATCAATACGGCTACAATTCCAACTAACGCAGACCATTCAACTTCTTTGTACATAAAATAAACTATACAAATCGTTTGTAGAGGCGCAATCCAAAGATAATGGACAAACATGGCAGCAAGGTCAAATCTGGTTACATCGTTGGACATTAGGTTTACGACATTTCCCACCGTACGGCCACCTATAGAGGTAAATTTAAGCCTCAATACCTAAAAAGTGTAATAAATTTACATAAATGTCAGTGAATGTATTGTACAAAACTTGTACAAATTATTGGGAAAATCCCAGTAGTTGGCTGTATACCATCGTTTAAAAAACACAGGAGTCAAAACACTTTACACTTGTATTTTGGTATAAAAACACATAGTTAAAACTTTTTAAAAAAGTGTCGTCAAAATTTATGTACTAGTATAACGTTGTCGATCTAAACAGATCATCCTCAGTGCCTTATGTAGTTGAAGCTAACAATAAAGTTATGGCTGTGACCTCCATATTTGGGTTTACGTCATTCCAAATTTAAAAATTTTAATTAAGTTGTGACTGTAGGTCGATGGCAATGGATAAAATTTTATTACTTTAAGGACTACGTGTCTCCCTGCTCGATTTTTAACACGTGGTACTTATCAGTTAAAGGGTCAGTAAAGCACAAGGTCTATATCGTTATCGAAATCGAAGTATATCGATTCCTGCACCATTTGTTCGCCAAAGGTCTTTTAGATTACGATGACCATTTCTATATACACCCGCTAGGTAGAGGAGGAGAAATAATGCCTTTATTTCAACAATATTGGTCCTGCTACAATACGCTTTATCTTTGTAAGCTAACGCTTTTTTATCTATCAATAAATTGGTGCAGACCGTGATACCTTCAAGCATTTCTTCATAAAAAAAGAAGCCAGCAATCTAAAAGAGTCTTAGCGTTTTTAGTATTTGGTTTGGATCCTGGTAAGTTCGAAATTATGTTCTCTGTCCTCGTTCTAACTTTTTTATTACAATGGTGTTTTCTCCATTTTGTTTTGGGATTCTACCTAAATAATAAGGATATTTTTATCTTCTTTTCGTTTATTTTCAGATTCCAATACTTCTAGTTTCTTAATTTCTTTATTTTGTTCACCATCAAACTGATTACTTATGTGATCAATTTCGTTTTCATCGTCAGAGTCCATAATTTCGTACTCATCATCTTTGAGTTCCTGCCAAAGTGCCAATAGTTTGGCTTGTTCTTTTTCGTAATTCATTCTAGAGAAAAAAAGTTTAAATGTACAACAAATAATGACGAGAATGACGAGAATGAGAAACCATACAATTAACAAGGATCTACAGACCGAGAGTTTGGTACAAATTCCACGGCTTTGCGCAATCGTACTTGTTCGCAAGTTCGTGAACTAGTCGACTGGAGTTACAATTTGCCAAATTTAAATGTAATCGTTTCTACTCATTCATATTAATATTATAATGTATAATATATTAAAGTTTTTAATATTGGTAATATTATTAAAGCTTTTAATATTATTTTTTAATGTTAAATATTACATAATTATATTATATTAAATAAATTAAATAAATTTGTAATATTTTATGCGAAAAGAAGAAAAGACTCAGATCCGAGTCGTGAGCGTATTCCTTATATTTTCTTTAATTGTTTTAAGCTACTCGGATGTGAGTCGTTGTTATAATTATTCAAAAAAATTAATTTACAATATTTTTTATTAAATCAAATGAGAAATATTATAGCAAATTAAGAACTAAGGAAAAAAACAAATTTTCATTTCCTAGCAAATTGTTTCTGAACTTACGATTAAAACTTCCAAATAAAGTTTGGATAATATTCTAAAGGCTTTTATACACTGAAATTAAATTAAAAAAGAACATGAAAAAAGTGGAAAAATAATAAAAAATTCCCAAATTTAAATTTATCTCGAAAACAAAATATGATCTGGAAAAAGAATACCGGAAATATTTAATTTTTTTGAGCTCTTCGATTGTGTAGTACCTTCAATTTCAATTTTTTTCAACAATACTCGAGTATTCCGATTTAGTACTCTCAGCCTTATAAAAATTTCCAAGAAATTAATATCGGATGGAGTTTCAACACGCGAAATGAAAATCCTAATATTAAACAGCATTGTGACCAGGTACAATATCTACCTGTTATGTAAATTAGTAGGTAATTAAAAAGTCAGTATAGGCAAAACCAGTTTATTCAAATTATAGGTAACTACCTATAGTCTTGTATTGAAGGATTTTAATTTATTACCCTTAGCATACGTAAAGATTTTCAAGAAATTAATATCAGGTTCAGTTTTCAATGAAACAAAAATCTTTAAGAGAATTGTCGCTATGTAAAATACCTGCCTAATATGCTAATTCGTAATAAGAAAGTCAAATCGCTAAAACCAGCTTATTCAAATTATAGCTATAGCCTTTTGTTAAAGGATTTCAATTTATTATCCCTAACATTTGTGGAAGTTTTAAGATATTTATATTTTCAAATTAGAAATTGTTAGTGGGACATCAGCTAACAATTAAAAGGTCTTTAGAAAATAAAATTTTTATTTAAACTAACATACTGAATGCAATCTATCTGTTGGTTGAATGGTATTTGCGAAAACAATATCCTATGCATAGTCCAGCCTTTCTTGTCACAATCAGCACACTCGTAAATTGTGTTTTTTCAAATTTAATCCATACAACATATTCTACATCGTTTCCTGTCACGTACTGGTTATATTTCAATATTGTTAATGGTCTGGCAACATTCCATCCTCTCTTGGTTGTATGTTCAGTCAAAGTATTGACAAATCCAGAAAATCCTTTTTCCTCCTCGTAGATTCGCCACTGACTACCCAACGCTTAGCTACTCTTCATACAATTTGTATTATCAAAAAAACCAAGCATTTGCAAGAGAATTGCACTTTCATAAAAAACGGGTTATTTATCTCGTACTTTTTTAAGCAATGCGCAATATTTAATTACTTAATATTATAATTAATATTAAAAAATAATATTAAAAGCTTTAATAATATTACCAATATTAAAAACTTTAATATATTATACATTATAATATTAATATGAATGAGTAGAAACGATTACATTTAAATTTGGCAAATTGTAACTCCAGTCGACTAGTTCACGAACTTACAAGTACGATTGCGTGAAGCCGTGGAATTTGTACCATACTCTCGGTCTGTAGATCCTTGTATAGAATTATGCTAGTTCTAAGTTTGTTGGGGGTACCATTAGACCCCACCCACCCGGGTGACGCCGGGTTATAGACGACATTCAATGGAATCAAAAAATTGAAGAAGCAGTTAGAACAGCGTTTCTCAACATTTTACCATTTGCGACCCAATTTTCTATAATTATTTTCACCGCGCTCCTTTCGTACAATAACAATATATCTATGGAATAATAATGTACCTTAAGTATTTTGACAAAAAACTTACAGTAACATCTTACTGTAATTACCATATAACCTAGAATAAAAATACCATTCTTGATTGTCTGTCTGCCTGCATCTTTTCTCCTCACTCCTCAGTTCTGACCGTGACCAGTCAAGTCAGTTTAATTTTAATTACTCCTTCTCTACCTGTTTATTATGAGAATTATTATGCAGGGAAGGATCCAAGGAAGAAGAAGCATAGGAAAAAGACGCATCTCCTGGCTGAGGAACCTTAGAGAATGGTTTAACTGTAGTTCACTACAACTTTTTAGAGCAGCAACCAACAAAGTGACCATAGCCGTTATGATATCTAACCTCCGATAGGAGATGGAACTTTAAGAAGAAGACCTGTTTATTGTGAACGTGTATGTTCTAGTTTGCGTGTTAATTGCAGTTGACAGTACTACAATAAGATATCCCAAGCAGTAGGTAAATATAAATTTATACAAAATTATGGATAAATTTTTAACTGGGCGTAAACCAGCATTAGATAAAAGTGAAACATTAACAAATACAAAGGCGAGAGTGATTACAAAAATAAAATCAGGAAAATATTCTCAAGAATACTTAAATTTTGGGTTTACTTTTACTGTAGTAAATAAAGAAGTATTACAATACTTACCAGCTGCCTACATCCCTGTAATACCTAGCTAAATTTCAGAAATAATTACCTTTCTATAAATAAGGGAGCAGCATGCAACTCTCACTTTCATTCCTATATGTAGGACCGCCAACATGTAAGGATGGGTCGTCATTACTACGATAGCATTGATAATACCAACTCCTGCTGCAAAAAAGAACGATTCTTCTCTAGTGATTCTTCCTTGATTTGGATCCCAAAACGAAAATACTCTATTGAAGTACATAGGGTATCTTGGGCTAAAAATGCAATATCTTATATTGTCATAGAAAAAATAAATCAACTATCATCCTAACAGCCAGGTATCTGTAATAATAAGAAATAAAGTATAATCATGAAGCTGAGAAAGATCTTAACGATACATACTGGACAAATACCCGACTCGTGTCGAAATGCATAATGTGTTCGAAAAAGTTCGTAAAATTTGGTACTAATATATTATTATATAAATAATTTCTTAATTGTAATACTTTACTTACGGTTCCGTGGCATTCCTGTTAGCTGCATTAAAATATCGTATGAATAGTCCAACAAAAAGTGGCTGGAAAAGTCTGCAACAAATCAATAAATATATACATTAGTTATACATCAGTTTTCAAAGAAAAAAAAAACCTAATCGGAACCAAAAACGGAAGTAATAAAAACGCTAGAAATAGGATTTTTGAAGAACTATCATTCTGATCAAGATTTAGACTTCACAGAAGAAGTAGAAAGAAGATATAGGAATCTAAAAGAAAAAAGGTATCACTCACACCTTCCCTGAAGAAGTCAGACAACTAATTAAGTGTACCTACGTCAAGAAAGCTCCACTCCAGGACCCGACAATATTACTAACATAGCTCTGAAAAATCTGCCAGCAAAGGCAATAGTATACATAGTAAATATAATCAACAACATCCTAAGACTAAGATACTTTCCTAACAGTTGGAAGGAAGCTCACGTAATAATGATCAAAAAGAATCAGGAACAATCGGAACAATACCGGAAGCACAGTTTGAATTTAGATCCGAACACTCATGTGATCTTCAGGTCCTGAAACTAACAGAATATGTCAGGAGGTTTTAATGAAAAGAAATATACCAAAAAAGCCAATGCAAAGGAGTGCAATGAACATCGCACCATAGCCTTAATGAGTCATGTCTTGACATTGTTTTTAAAAGTAATTCACAATAGAATACATAAGAAATTAGATGAAGGCATAAGTAATACACAAATGGGATTTAGGAAAGGACTGGGAACACGAGATGCACTGTTTGCATTAAGTGTTCTTTTGCAGAGATGCTTAGATATTAATCAGGAAGTATATGCCTGTTTCATTGATTTTGAGAAGGCATTTGACAGAGTGCAGCATAATCGACTTAAAGAAACTTTATTAAATAAAAACATAGACAGTAGAGACATTAGAATAATCTGTAACCTCTATTGGAATCAAACAGCAAAAGTGAAAGTTGAAAACGAACTGACCAAAGATATCCAGATTCGCCGTGGGGTCCGCCAAGGGTGTATTTTATCACCCTTGTTATTCAATTTATACAGTGAAGCCATTTCAGAATTAGCGCTTGCCGAGATCAGTGAGGGCCTTATAATAAACGGTGAGCCACTTAATAACATAAGATATGCTGACGACACCGTCCTTCTGGCAGGAACACTAGAAGAACTGCAATACCTTGCTGAACAACTAAATATATATTGCAACGATTATGGACTAAAAATCAATTTGAAGAAAACCAAGTTCATGGTATTTACAAAAGCACAAAACATCAAAGTTAAGCTAGTACTAGATAATACAGAAATTGAACAAATATCTTCATACAAATACCTTGGAGCATGGATCACAGAAGATACTGATCAGACAAAAGAAATAAGATGCCGCATTGAAATTGCGCGGTCACCTTTTCATAGAATGAGAAAACTTTTTTGTAATCGCGATATTAATATATCGCTCCGGATAAAAATGCTTATATTTGTTATATTTTCTCTACCCTTTTGTATGGAGTTAAAGCTTGGACAGTTAAAAAATCCAACATTAAAAACCTAGAAGCATTCGAAATGTGGTGTTACCGACGTATTTTGAAAATATCATGGATGGATCGCAAAACAAACGAACAAGTACTCGAACAACTAGGAAAACAATGCGAAGTTTTAAATTCCATAAAAATCAGGAAATTGGAATACTTGGGGCACATAATGACTAATGAGAGGTGAAAAGTACGAACTACTAAGGAATATAATGCAGGGTAAAATCAAAGTAGAAGAAGCGTAGGAAGACGTAAAATCTCGTGGCTACGCAATCTCCGTGAATGGTTTGGATGTAGTTCACTCGAACTATTCAGGCGAGTAACCAATAAAATTATAATTGCCAGAATGATTTCCCATCTCCGATAGAAATGGAACTTGAAGAAGAAGAAGAAGCCTTTGTAAATATCAATAATGCTTTCGATATAGTATGGGCATGAACGCCTGCTGTATAATATGAGTCAGTATGGTTATAGCGAGGCTATGACCTATCTCCTCTCGTCATATCTAGCCGACAGAAGGTTCAGACTTCGGATAGGGCCAATCCTGTCCGAAGTCAGGACTATAAAAGCTGGTGTGGCACAGGGGGCTGTACTGTCACCTTACCTATACACCATATATACGGCAGACACATCATCTAAAACCAGTTAGATGCTAAGTCTGTACGCAGAGGATACAGCGATAGCTGCTAGCAGTATTAACCTAGATCTAGCTACGAGACACCTACAAAGAGCACTTAATGAACTTGAGGCATGGTGTGTGCAGTAGAAAATAGCCATCAATCCTGACAAAATAGAAACGGTCATGTATTAAAAAGAAAAGGCAGACCAAATTTAATCGAATGGTCAAACCAAGCCAAATATCTGGGCATAACGTTGGATAAAAAGCTGACCTTCACAGAGCACGTAAACAAATGGCCAACAAAGCGAAAGTAGTCAGGACTCAACTCTCATCACTAATAGGTTGAAAGAGTAAACAGATTTAAAACAAAGATTTCCATGGCAAACAGCATAATTTTGCCAACCCTAACATACGCTTCAGCAGCATGGGGATATGTAAAACCAACAAAAAAGAATACAGATCGTCCAGAATTTCATGATCAGAGGCTCTGAATATTTCTAAGTACCTCCCATTAAGGTAGGTATTTAGGGATTCGCAACAAAAGAGAATCCTGAGAACAATGGATGAAAGAGCTTACGAGATATTCAAAAATCTCAGAAATCACCCGAGCAGATTATTAAGAGAGTTGACAGACTATGACGAAAACGTAAGGACGATACATAGACGGCCCAGGCTGCAGTTAGCAGGATATAGAGATAACCAGGAATATTAATAAAGAATGAAATAGCCATGTGATAGTCTAACGTACGCAGTAACAGAAAAAAAATCCCTATATTATATTATTTCTTTGGGTGTGTCATGGCTGTATACTCCTTGGAGTGCACACCCCACCCATTGCTACTTTCTTTCTATTATTATTTCATCTTAACCTTTACTAACAACCCTCTCTTAAAGCAGTTATGCCAAAGATACAACCACATCAAGTGAATCCTGAGACACAAACATAAAGACTATCAGCCTCAGGCTATCGCCCTTCAACCAGAACAGCCCCTCAAGCAGGTCAAAAGACCTACAGTCCTGAAACCTGAGCATCGAGGTCAGGTGCAACAAGCGCGAGCTCGGTGGCCAGACCTTTCGGGCACTCAGCCGGCAAGAACAACAAAATTTATTTTGCCGATTCGGCAGCTGAGTGAGCGATCACACAAAAATCCGGAGTTCTGTCTGGAACAAACCTTTGGGACAGAAGTCCAAACACAAATCAAATAATAACTTCAATTAGATATATGGAGAAAAGCTCGTCTAGTTCCCCTTAAAATTAGGTGGCCTATCCACACAAAGTAAAACAGGATGGTGATTGGTTATAACTTGGGGGTCAGATAGGGACCGCTTTATTAAGGATTGTGACCGTTTTGATCTTCGGACATATGGTTCCATTGGAACACACGAGTCACTGCATGTCACTCGGAGCTGAGGTTTGGACAAATTGTGTGTGTGTATGTGTGTGATAAAACTTACAAGCAAAAATCGGTTCGTTTGGGTTTATATGACTGTCGACAGTAAATCCATTCAGAAAAAATAACCAAAAATCTATAAAACTATAACTCGACAATCGAAATAAAAACTTAAATTACTAACCAGGCGTTTACACAGGACAGTATTACTGTCATTGGCGCAGACCAGACAGTCGATTGTCATGACAGAATTAAAAGAATTGTGTTCTGTTAACTGTCTCTTCAAATATTTTTAAAATGGCTTTTAATTAAAAGCAAGTAGAAGCTTGTTGTCCACAAAAAGACTCATTCGCATTTTTCATGTCTTAACGATCACGTAGGTTTTGATCTTGCGCGTTGTGCGCAAAGCACCAACCCATTTGAAATTTCTTCTTCATCTAGAGCTACTTCTGCAAGTCTCGCTAAAATTTCTTTTTGTAGCAAGTTCAAAAACTTTCTGAATTTAAATTTTCCTTCTAGAAAAATGGTCCAATAATATTGTATTTAAATATTCCTACCCAGACGTTTATTTTTCGACGACTGGGTATTGTTTTCAATATGATTCTAAGGGTTTCTTGTCGACCAAATCCTATAATAATGCTAAATAAGATGTTCCTGTCCACGATAATTGTTTAGTTTTAGTCATATTAAGTCGATCTTCTTCTTCGTCTTCGTCTAGCCATTCACGTCCACATCTGAACATAAGCCTCTTCAAGTCTTCCTTTCCATTGTTTTTTATTGTACGCTACTTGTAGCCAATTTTTCCCGGCAGTCCTTTTCAGATCATCTGTCCATCTCATAGGAGGTCTGCCTCTGGGTCTTTTGTGTTGGTATGGTCTCCAGGTTAAAATTGATCTGTGCCATTTGTTTAGATCGCTCCTAGCTACATGTCCAGCGTATTTCCATTTCAACTTTAATGATTTTTGCACCACATCGGTGACTTTGGTTTTCTGTCTTATCCATGTGTTTGTTTTCTTGTCCTTAAGTGATATATCTAGCATTGCTCTTTCCATCGCGTGTTGAGTGACTCTTAAGTATATTCATATTCTTTTTTGTGATTGTCCATGTTTGTGCCGCATAAGTTAATATCGAAATAATGTATGCATCAAAAACTTTAGATCTAAGATGTAATTAAATTTGTTGATTTCTGAGTATATAGTTCAGTTTACCGAATGCTGCCCAAGCTAACTTTCTTCTCCTTTTTATTTCTTCAGTCTGAATTTCCCTATTTAGGATTAGTTTTTGTCCCAAGTATATATATTCTTCAACTTTCTATAACTTTATCGTTTATTATTGTCACGGTGTCTTCGGAGTGCATGACTTTTATTTTGTTTAAATTCATTTTCAGTCATATTGTAGAAGATTAGGTATGTAGTTCTAAAAGCATGGTTTGCATTTCTTGTAGGTCAGTAGCTATCAGGATTATGTCATCTGCAAATCGTAGATTACTGAGGTAGCGGCCATTGATGTTTATTCCCTTATATTTCCAATTTAGGTTTTTAAAAACGTCCTCCAAAACTAAGGTGAACAGTTTGGGTGATAAAGTATCTCCCTGTTTGACTCCCCTGTTTAATGGTACAGGGTTCGTGTGTTCATTTTCATTTAGGTAGTATGTAGCTGTAGCTTGGTGCATAGTTTATTTTATTAAGTTAATATATCTGCTGTCTATTCTATAATTTTGCATTGCTTTTATTACGGCCGTGTGTTCTATGGCATCGAAAGCTTTTTCGTAGTCTACAAATGCTAGGAAAACTGTAAACTTGTATTCGTTACATTTTTCTATTAATATTTTTGTGGTTAACAGGTGACCGGAAGTTGAATAGCCTTTTCTAAAACCTGCCTGTTCATATGGTTAGTATTCGTCTAATCTAGATCGTCTTAAGTCGATCTAAACTGTCTCAAATGCTGTTATGATAATTGTCACGACTGTCGTGCCAGCGATTGTTGAACGAAAGTGGAGGTTTACACATGACAATCGACTGTATCGTCTGCGCCAGTGACAATAATACTGTCCTGTGTAAATGCAGGGTAATAGTTTTTGACGAATGTTTTGAAAAAGATAAGAATTTTTAAAGAATATTGGAAAAAAAAATATTATCAGTGGGCAAAAGTTACAATATATAAGGAACGTACGGAAATAAGGATACACGCACCTGATAGGTATTTCCATGCAAAATATCACACACCCATACACCAAAAATTCCCTAATAAATGTCTTCAAAATCACTCGTCCCATTCTTGGTCTCCTTTTTTGTTCAATGGCTTTGTCGTATTCTTCTCTCCACACTTCCGAAATTCTATCGCCCAGATAGGAAGATTTGTGTTCAGGCAAAGGTTGAGTCAGATCATCTTCGGTAAATTCCTTCTTTCTGCCTCTGTGGAAAACTTTTAAAGAGTAGAAGAAGGTTATCACTGATAAGAAATTCGCTTTTTCTCTAGGACACGGCGGTCTTTCCCTCTTAGTTTCGTCATCTCCATGCATCTTTGATTTAGAGTTTCTTGTTAAATTAAGTCTCTTTTTAAGTAATGTTACTGTATTAGAAATCGAAAACCAAACCATAATTCCACACTAAACTTTTCATCTTTTAACATTATACAATTATAAACATACTTTTGAATGACAGAAGAATACTAAAATGACATACCTTGTCTTATCAAGTACTTATCAACAAGTGATCAATCCGAAATTGATTGTTCATTGTTCTATCTTTCATTGCGGACAATTATTGGTTTATACTTGTACTTATAAGATAATGACGCCAACTGAGGCCAGTGTCTTAATAAGTCCAATTGTAAATATTTCCTTAAATATAGATATTATACACTAGATGTCACTGTAAATCGCTTTCCAAGTCAAAATCGTATGCGCCATTCAGTCGGTACCATAGATTCGGTACGGTAGTATCAAACAGCAGCGCGAAGTACCTATATGTACTAGACACGTGTTTACTACGGTGCCAAAGTTCGGTTATAAATTTTAGGTAAGTTATAAAATCACTATAAAGTTACTTAAATAATATATACCAAATAGTATTTCTTTTTTTTTATTTATTTATTTATTTACGCTGTAACCACAAGAGTTATTAGCGACCTAAAAAATATAATACAGGTAAAGCTAGAAAAAATTACAATAATTAATACAGCCCTGAGTCTTTAAGATAACTTATTGTGTTTATAATGGTATTGTTTTTCTTAAGGCTTCCTTTATATTACAGTAGTCTCTCTTTATAAAGATTCCCTATATAACGATAATTCCTCTATAACGATGAAAATAATAAACGTTGGTTGGTTCGTCATAAGGACAATGTATTAATTCTTTCTCTGTACCGATATCGTTCTCTCTTTATAGCTAAGACTTTTCAGCGTTCAATAGTCGATAACAAATGTGTTATTGTGTTAATTTAAAGTTCAGACTACCTGAGTCACGAGTGGAAGGTCATTGTCCAGCTGTTGTTTTGTTTTTGGAAGAAGAAGAAGTTGCGGAAACCCCAGCACGAAGATTTAGATCGCGCTATGCTACAGTGGTTGTAGCAGCAGCGTATGAACTATATTCCACTTTCTGGGACTGTGGTCAGGACAAAAGCTAAGTTTTTTGCAACTGAGCTTGGAATTGAGAATTTCAAGGCATCTGACGGTTGGCTGAGCAAGTGGAAGCTGCGGAACAAGATCAACTATGAGCAAATCAGCCGAGAGGCTCGCACGATGAACAAAAACATAACGGATGATTGGCTAGAAAACGTGTGGCCTGAACTGAAGGCACGATATGCGTCAGACGACATTTTCAATGCACATGAGACTGGATTGTTTTTTAAAATGACACCAAACAGAACTTTAAAATTTAAATCGGAAAAGTGCGTTGGTGGAAAGCTCTCTAAGGAACGCATTACAGTTTTAGTGGCTGCTAACATTAAAGGTTCGGTGAAGCGAAAATTGTTAGTGATAGGGAAGTCGAAAACCTACGTTGCTTTAAAAACAAAAATCTACCGGTGACCTATAAAGCAAACAAGAGTGCGTGGATGACTTCGGACATTTTTAAATAAGCTTTAAGAAAGTGAGATATCGAGCTTAATGGGAAAAAATTATTCTGCTTTGTTGGAAATTGTCCTGCTCATCCTGTACTGTGCGACCTTCAAAACTCTAAACTTTGTTTTCTGCTAGCAAACACAACGAGTGTTCCATGGACCAAAGTGGCATCAAGAGTTTGAAAGTACAGGAAAAGACTTTTGATGGAATTTGTTGATAACAATAGTGATCTTAAACTAAACATTCTTGACGTAACCCTAATGATTAGTAAATACTGGGACGAGATGACGAGCAATACAATAAAACATTCTTTCAAACACGCAGGTAGGCCGGAAGATCAAGGATTGACTGATGATGAAAATGACCGGCCATTAGATGTTTGGGCCAGACAGTTTGAACTTACTATCACCTACAGATCGGAAGACCTAACAGCTTTTAAAGAAGTTGATGAAAATGTAGCTACAATATCTGGACTTTCTGACGAGGACATCCTACAAGCAGTTCGTGTAGAAGAAGAAGAAAACAGTGATCCGGAAGTGAAAGCAGAACCATAACCAGCTTCGACCCCTCAGGAGGCATTGGATGCGGCAAAAGTATCGCATCGATTTTCCATTCACCAAGAAGACGATATGAGTACTGTGGAAGATTCTATGCGACTTCAGGACTTGGTCAGGTCAGTATTGCTTATATTATTCTTTAATAAATCGGTGGTGTACAATACAGTGTTAATTCATTTATATTCATTTTGACAATTTTTTTAAATTAAAATATGTAGGTTATTTAGTACAGTAATATTATTATTTCAGTACTGAATTTTGTCTCTCTCTGTATAACGATCTCTCCTTATAATGATGAAAATTCCTGGTCCCCTGCATATCGTTACAAAGAGAGAAGACTGTATTTGGAATAGTGTGCTTCTTTCTTGCTGCTTCATAATGTTTTGCACTGAGTTAGTATATGCTTTACTTGACAATTTTCACACATTGACCGGACAGTTAAGTTACTGTGTCCTAGTCGCAAACGTGTTATTCTCACTTGGTCGTGTCTATTCGCTGTGGGTTGGAGCCACGGTTTCACTAATTGTTTGATTTCCTTGAGTTTATTTTGTGATGCACTCCACTTATTTTGCCACGCACTTAACACTTTATATTTTATTTCTGACTTGAAGTCATCTGAAGAAACTTCATCATTAAGAATGGAGTCCTGGCTGAAGGATGCTAAGCGGGCTAGTTAATCTGCTTCTTCATTTCCTTGTATACCTGAATGTGATGGAACAAACATGAAGTCAACAGTGATCTTATTATTATTTAGAATCTCTTTTTCCGATTGGATATGTGAGGCAATTGGATTATTGGTATATAAACGTTTGATGAAGTGAGCTTAATGAATCGGTTATTATGAAAAACGGGGACTGTGTCGACTCTTTTATGTGGATAAGTGCTTGTAATATTACAAACAACTCCGCAGTATACGACGAAGTAATGGGATTGAATTTAAATTTTAAGGATGTATTGGGTGTAAGGATGGCTGCACCAACACCGTCTGGAGATTTTAATGCGTCAGTGTATATCTTGTAGTGATTTTTATAAGTTTCCATTTCTATTAAAAATGATTGTTTGATGAGTTCTATTATAGTCTCACTTTTTTATATATACTAAGGTTAGTATTAATCTTGGGAATTGGTATTAACCAAGGTGGAGAAGTTAGGAAATTTGTTGGGAGAATTTCAGGAAATTCAAGATGTAGGTCATGAAGGTTTCTTCTAAATCTTTCGTAAAAGATCTAGTCTTGTTCTAGAGAAAGTGTCTTGAAATCAATCTGTGAACGTATTAGTATAAGTAGAATGTTCTTTATTACTAGCTATTTTAGAAGCATATGAGAGAGAAAGGTATTTGCATCGTAAAATTAGGGGTGGTTCTCCTGTTAAGCATTGTAAACTTTCAACTGGTGTCGTTCGAAACGCACCTGTAGCTATTCGTACAGCTGTGTGTTTGAACAGTTTCTAAGGTTTTCAATACTAATACCTTGCTTGATGAATAAACTATCGCACCATAGTCGAGTTTGGATCTAACTAAAAATTTATATACATGTAATAGTATATTTTGATCTGCTTCCCAGTTTTTGCTGGAAATAGTTTTCATAAAATTTAATCCTGCTTGGCATTATTTTTTAAATTCTTCTGTATGTTTTTTTTCCAGGAGAGCTTTTGGTCGAAAACTATACCTAAAAATCTGATATTATTTGTGAAACTGAGGGTTTGATTATATAGCTTCAGATATGGAATTAGAGTGTTATATTTTCTTGTGAATAAAATATATTTAGTTTTTGTTGGTGAAAATTGAAATCCGATAATCCTAGACCATGATTCTAACTGATTAATTGTTTGTTGTAAATGTTTTTGAATATATGTAGAGTTTTCTCTTTGGCAAATAAAACTTAGTCATCAGCGTATAATCTTCCTTTAACAATCGGTGAGCATTGTTGAAGTATTGTCGTTTATGGCTATTAGAAAAATGGTCGAGCTTATAACTGATCCTTGTGATACTCCGCTCTCTTGAACTTATTATTATTTCTTTGTAAAACAATAATAATTTAATACTCTTTTAGGAACTGGTACTGTTTTTTCGCTATATTGCTTTTGATTATTGTTCTTTTATGTTAAATAGAAAAGTAGATAGTGACCTAATAAGGCCAATTGATTGGCCTTATTAAAAATCGATTGGCCTTATTAAGAGCTGGTTGACATTATAAACAACTTGTTTACATAATCGTTTAAAATATTTTTTCTTTGCAGCTATGTACACCAGGAAAAGGGCACAGTGAACCGAAGAGGCCATTGAAGCTGCAATGAATGCCGTACAAAATGACATGACTCTTCATAAGGCAGCACTTTCATTTAATATTTCTCAGCGTACGTCACGTAACCATCTAGCTAGTGGTAATTCACAAAATCGACTTGGGCCGCCTCCAGTGCTTACAAAACCTCAGGAAGATATAGGAAGATATCTAATTTACTTACCGTTGCACGTCATTCATGATACTATAACTAACAAGATAGGATCTTCCCGTAGCACAAAATCGGTCGGGTTCGTGCATGCCGTCATTGGATATTAGAATTTGAATTCTTATTAAAGTTAAATGGGATTTAGTGGCATTCTGTGATGAAATTACTAGACGAAAATAAGTTAAGAGGTTTAATAATTACAATAATCGTACACATAAGGATATCTCTAAACTATTTATTAAATATTATTTATTGATACATATAAAAACTGACATTTCGAACGTCCAACTCTCCAATGACGTCACGATTTATGCGCAATATCTTATCTTCTTAGTTATAGTATCATGACGTCATTATCATTGACAGAGACCGAAGTTGACATAGTTGCCAAAGTATAAAAAAATCCTGACTCCATTTTAAATCAAATAGGTCACATAATTATTGCAAAAGAATTACCATCTCTTTACAACGACTATTTAAATTCTTACGTGACATTTTTGAAATAAAACACACTAATTTTGTTCTAAAAAGAACAGATTTTATTAAATAGATAAAAATATAAAACAAGAGGTATTCACTTTAAAATTCAAAAAGATAAAGTTCAAAAAGTGTAAACACTGCAACTGTCAAATAAGTGTTACCAATTTATGCCAAAATATCACCTTCGTTCGATTACAGTTACAGTGTGTTCCGAACAAATGTTCTTCATAAAAACGCTTTAGAATGCATTTCTACTAATTAAATGAAACATATTATTGTATATTTTTTAAGTTAACATTAATAGAAATCTTTATAAATATTATTTCTACGCGTATATAATAAAATATGTCTAGTGGCTGTAATACCAGTATACATGGCAAAATGATTCTAAAAAAGAACACACCCACCGCCTAAATATTTCGTGTTGGTATCATAAGACCTCACGGACTATGACGCAGATGACGTGCAATGGTAAGTAAATTAGATGAAGTATACAAGACTTTTCCCCCCATATTTTTGCTGAATAAAATATTACAAATATTTAAACCTTAACGTGGCCTTAATGGACGTCCTTACCCTATAATAATTTAATCATATTTTTTCACCGTTATTCTTCTTTGAAAGAAGTATTTGAAGATTTATTTGTTTATTTTTATGAGATTTCATCATTATAACAGTTAACATCCTTAACAGTTTACTAAATATTTCCATATCGGAAGTTGTTCTCAAAAGACCGAACAAACGTCAAAATAAACTTCTTTAAAGTAAAATTATGGCTTATTCTCAGAAAAATAGTAAATTGTATCCCACAAGAAAATAGCTTGGACAATGGAACAATGTTAATTCTTCCGTATGTATGCGCAAAACAACTGAACTGTATACCGTGAATTTAAACGAGAAAATCATGTATATACTAAAATAAAATAACCAATTATAATATTTCTAAAGATGTAAGGATTTGAAATCATCCAGTGGATTTGTAACTGATTAGCCAGATAATCATCAGAGGGTATTGTTTCGGTGGTATTGTGTTTAGAGCCAGAATCGTAGTTTTCTTTAACAATGCGGTATGAATGGACTTCAGTACACAATCATTGCACATAGATGTCACTCCTATGGTGCTGTCAATCAATTCCCCAAAATAAATATTTTTTCAACAAAAAATGTCAATAAACGGGAAATAATCACAATCACAAATATCAAATATGCTAACAAAATACAGAAATACTTAAAAAATCTATCATGGATACCCCAAATGAACTCCTTATGCAAGCAGTATATAAAAATGACTTAGGTTTAATAAATCGTTGTTTATCAAAAGGTAAATTTTGCTTATAAATAATTACTTTTTTTAAACAATGTGATCTTTTAGGCGTTAGCATTAACAAAATATGTTCCAATGGAATGACACCTCTGGGAGTAGCTGCACAAACTGGAAACTTATCAATTTTAAAAGCTTTATTAGAACACCACAAGTCTTCATACAATTTAGATTTTAGGAATGAAAACTTTTGTAAGCCTCAATATCTGCAGCTAGACACTAGTGAACAGAAACGATTCAAAAATATCGGATACTTTGTGGTATGTAAAGATATGGAAGAGAATGAATTTGGAGATGGGCCTACTCCAGATGGAATGGAAGCTCTAGAATGGGACATGGAAGTCAATGAAACAGATTTTTCTACTGGTAAGTAGTATTTTTTCATTGGCTTTTGTAGTTATGTTAAATAAGGTGCGATTTTAGATGACAACGGCCTAGAAGACAGTGACTTGAACATGTACAAATGGTATGCAAATATACTTACTCGAACCTCTATTCTTCTGGAGTCTCCAGAGCGTGATATTTCCCGTTTAGATCGGCATGGACAAAGTGTTCTACACTATGCTATCAATACAGGAAGTGTGGAAATGGTAGAATATTTGATGACAGCAGTTGGCAAAGATTTGAGGTATAAATAGTTGTATAAAGCTGTATAATTTATATAAAAGTTACTTTACTTATGAAATAGTAGCTCACCTTTCATCTTTTTTACACTTATACACTTTCATTAGTTAGCTTGGACTGTAAAAGACAGACATACTAACACGCCTGTACAATATTTAAATATTTTCCTTTATATACCTACAATATTTTCCTTTCTATACCTTTCTATACCTTTCATTCATTACTGTTTTTATCTAAATGCACAATGAAATGGAAACATTAAAATAGTTAAGTCAAATAACCAAGATTTGCTATCAAATGTAGCAATTTTTTGCCTTTATACCAGTAACTAATTGCAAACTACTGATTATGTGATTACTGATTAAAATTTATTAAAGGGGCAGAAATCAAGGTTTTCTGAACCATGACATCTGCCAAAGCCAATTGAATCAGTCATTTCAGAAACAAAGCCAGTTCTTACTGAAATGTAGATTTTGTCAGACATGCTATTTCTGTACCTTAAATTATCATTCTACACAGCCAGCACACAAGTTGTGGAACAACTGTACATTGTGTTACAATGTGCATTATAGAGCCACACAAATGAGTGACATTTGTCAGTAACTGCACTCCTATGGCAATGTCTTTGGAAACAACTTACCACAATATGATAATAACTTTCATACCTACTATCAAGAAACAGACAAAAAATGTCTGAATGAAGTTATTTAATTTCTTGTGGACTAAATTAACACTGAGATACCTAGCCAAATAAATCCACAACATCTTCATATCAGCTGTCCTAAAACTACCAGTAGCCTAGAACCATTACAGAGACCAAGAGGCATATTTTACTGACTTCAGATAGCTCAGTTTCCATGTAAGAGGTCAGGTAGGGAATCAACAATCAAAATCTTGCCATATCAGCTCTCCTAAACCTGCCAATAGCCTCAGACCTTAAAGAGACCAAGAGGCATATTTGGCTTACTTCAGATGGGTTCATTCCCACTTTTTAGGAGGTCAGGTAGGGAATCAACAAGACCTGGTGATAGTATCCAATGTATCACCTATTCTGAGCAAGGAATATCAACCTTTTTTAGTTACTGCATTGATCTGGTAGTAGTTGACCCCATGTAGAACATCTCTCTGTATATTAGAACTACAGGTGATGTTCATAGACTATTTTTAAACAATTTTCTTTTGTTAAGGGAAAGCCTTATATCAGCGTCTGTTTTTTGCTATAACGTAAGCTAATTTCACAGGCTGGAAGCTTATTAGTCTTATGTTACAATACACTTAATGTTTATATACCTAGGAAAACCAAAATGCTTTATTGTGTCTCAATAGCAATTACTCTAATAACTTTTAAAATCTGCTTTTTTTTAGTGTTAATCAGAGTGATGCCTGCTACTTTAGCCCTCTTCACATGGCAGCTGCAAATGGGGACATAGAAATGGCAAAATGGTTGTTAAAAAGAGGGGCCAATGTTAATGCAGCTGGAGGAAGACATAGGCAGAATGCCTTGTATGTTGCTGCTAGGGGATCATTCTTAGGTGTTATGAAAATTTTAGTGGAAGCAGGTAAAGTAACTATATGGGGCTGCAAGTTCAAGAAATGAATCACCAGATACATCTTGCAACATCGCAAATGTTGAGAAAATATTTGTAAATAGAGAATCTGAAGTATGATTGACTTTCATAAGACAATTGGTAACTGATTCACAATAAAATCTCACCATTTATGTTATCATCAAAAAAATATGGTCTACTGCCGACAATTCCTCCCTATATATTTAGTGACTATTAGGTGTGACTATGTGTTACTATGTGGTATCAATTATACTCTGAATAGTAATGAAAGTTATGCCTATTAAATTAATAGAACTGTTTCGACAGAATGTAGCTTCATCTCGATATAAAATAATCAAGAAATTCTCTCTGCTGATTAATTTTTTCTAACGCTAAATACTTTTCATTATTTAATTATTGATACATTTGAATATGATAAGGGTGCATTTTGTGATTTTTGTTAAATTGTTTGTTCGGGCTGTTAGGCCGTTGTCTTCTGATATTAGTTCTCGACGTTTCACCAACACTAGAGGTTGGCATCTTTTGGAGATGTTACTGCTTCGCTTGTAAGCTGAAACTGACGCCGCGTTTTACTACGGAGGTCATATTTATGTGCATGGTATTCGGTATACTCCGGTACATTTGTCCTTCACCAATCTTAAACAGTCCTTGATTTTCTTTGTTGGCTTGAAAATGGTCTTTACATTGGCTTTTTTAAGTATTCACCAAATTCTGTCTGTTACTCCCGATATATAGGGCAAAAACGCTTTGCTTATACATACTGTTTTTTTCCTTTCTTCTAGAAACATTGTTAATCGCTTTATGTATTTATGAAAATGCGCTCACATATAATGGTTATACCAGAAGAGAAATAAATTGGGATTGGTTATATCAATCTTTCAAATAAAAATTGCCTTAATTATAACTATTGCAATATTTTACCAAAAAGTATTAAACAGCTAAGCTGTAATAGTTTCGAAAAAGTTATAAAAAAATATCTTCTGAAACAATTTTATATTCCTTTTTGATATAGTATGTACTCGTATATTCTTTTGACTTGCTACCAACTGTATTTGTATTTGTTTTGTAGTTAAATAAACTCTAAACTCTACAATTTTTGTCAATAGCTTTTTCTGTATGTTTTACTATAACAGATCTACTGAACTCCCTCCACTAATCAGTCACCCTGTATATATGAGATTCATTAACCTTCCAACCAAAAGAATCTATTCTATTTACGGTTTTATTCGATTGTTTAATAAAGAGTGGGATTTTTAGGTGCTGATGTGAATGCTGTAGACGTAGAGGAGCATTCTGTTTTGACCTGTGCGGTTCGTCAAGGTTACGAAGAAAATGTAAGGTTTCTTGTCAAAAAGGGTGCAAGGGTTAACCATGAAGAACCAGGAGGAGTAACGGCACTGCGTTTGGCTGTGTGGGCAAATAATTGTCCAGTGGTAAGAGTTTTGTTCAAATATAAATAATTTGCTATATATTTAGATTAGACAAAGTGTGCAAAGTTATTATCATTCAGCGAAAACGACCAATACACAAATTATACTATAATTATATTGCAATATGCATGGTATTGCTATAAAAATCCAAAAAACTGTTATTTTCTTTTCTTTATTCTATTTAATTTAGATCGCAATACTTTTTATGCGACTCTGTATATATTATTTTGTTTTAAAAGTATGTCTGGTAATTAAGATTGTTCTGGTTGTCGATTCTTGGGAATGACACAAGCATCTTAGATATAACCTCTTTTTTTATTTCCCAACCTAAATCGAAGATTTAAGTGTGGCGTAATTCCGACATGGACAAGCTTGCTCCATGTGAAATAGCACGCCATTACATCTAACCGCCGAGAGATAATCAATTGTCTTGTGTTTTCCCGAAAATGTTCATCAGGTGAGTCGTAATATTTCTTTTAAATCTTTTTAAATTTTTTTAAAATTATTACGACTTATGATTATTTAATTTTTTTACTGGACCCTTCAATGACACTATAACTAAGTTCCAATGTACAAAAGACGAAAATATTCCTGGCAATATTTCACCATTTTTACTCTTATAAAGAAGACGATGCGGATCTGATAAGCCACGAAGAAAACTCACTCAGTCAGTCAATGTTCGTTCTCGAGAATAGGGAAAGGGATTCTTTATAAGGATAGAACGTTTTTGTGCCCGTTTAGGATCGGTTGATCCTCTTCAGGCTTGAGTTGAATGTGTTGAGTATGATACGTTATAAAAGTAAACAGTCCTAGAATCCACTGGGGTGTTAGCGTTCTTCTTCTGTGAAATATTTGGAGGATGTCGAGATGGAGTCACTATTGAATCAGGGGCGAGAGGCTTGACTGGAATTAGATGTTCTTTTCAGAGTGAATGTGTGTGTTTTGGAGCTAATCTTTGTTTCAAGTTAAGAAAATAACATTACGCTTATGGAGATCAGTGTTGCCAAAACTCTCAGAAACTCTCTTTTGTACGGATGTCCAAGATATTCCCTTTGCTTAATTTTTGAATTTTCATTTTCAATTAACATTTAACTGTAAAGTCAGAATAACTACTAAATAAAAGCCTTATTATCATTATGTACTCAGAGAACGACATACAATCGCTGACATACGCACATCATATTATTTCAAGTTGCAATTAGTAATTAGATATACGTATTCCAAGCGGTCCGTTTATTTGCTTTCAAAATTTTAATAGGCGGTAAAATGCATGATTTAACGAAGCAATATTTTCTACTGATTTCTATGATTTATGGCATATGATATTCTCACCGAAAAACAAATAAACTGTCGTTACTATAATTAAAATAAGATAAAATAAAATTATCTTTTGTAAATACTGCCGTCCTAACATGAAAGGTCCTATCTGCAAAATTTAGGTTTTGAGAAAATCAAGTTTTTGTTACTTTTCATTGTATAACGCTTGGTAATTTAAGAAAGTCTTTATGTTTTATTTTATATATTATATCAGAGAATAGAATTTAATTGCTAGTCAGAATTTTGTTTTAGTCTTTCCAGTTAATTCGATTTTTGATTATATTGCCACTTAGGACAATTTAGCTTAATGTATCTGAAGTACGTTTTTTTTGTATTACTTACTGAAATTGTCCTAAATAAAACTAAAATTCAAATTAACTGAACACTTTTAATTTTATTATACTAAATTTTTATAAAATAATAGAACAAAAAACAGAATTCCTTAAGAATGGAAATCAAGGGAATGTGAATTAAGTTATGGAACAAAACACTAAAATTAACAACCAAAGTAATAAGAAATAAACTGAATGAAAAGGTTATAGGTCGTGAAGATTATGCATCGACGCTATATTTATAATGAGGCAAATCCAAGAGAAATCATTAGAATACAACAAACCAGCATATCTATATTTCGTGAACCTTAAGAAGGCATTTGACTGAGTTAAACTAAAAGACGTTATTCACTTACTGTACGCAAGAGAGATACCTCCAGGAATAATCAAAACGATCGAAAATATCTATCAAAAAAACACATTAAAAGTAAAAGCAGAAGAAGAACTAACCGACCCTATTGTAGCTGGCAATGGGATAAGGCAGGGAGATTCTATGAGTCCTCTATTATTTAACCTAATTATGGATGAAATAATAAAAAAACAAGGATACCAAATGGTAGAGAAACAACTTAAAATAATCTACTATGCAGACGACGCAATACTGCTCTCTCAAAGTGAAGATGATTACAACTTATGCTGCACCAATTTAATATAATCGCCAGACAAATGTTAATTTCCCCAAAAAAGACAAAATGCATGCTTACAACAGCAAATTTACTAAGATGTAAATTTAAGCTGGAAGGTCAGATAATAGAGGAAGTGATGGAGTTTAAATATCTAGGCATCACATTATCTAGCTACAGAACGCTCAAAACTGAAGTGGAAGATCAAGTGAATAGAGCAAACAGTGCCGCATGCTGCCTAAATGAAACAATATGAAGAAATAAAAATATTGGAAAAGAAATGAATGACAAAATTTACAAAACAGTTATCAGACCAATAATGACATACGCGGTAGAAACAAGACCTGACACAGAGAGGACAAAAAGGATGTTAGAAACAGTAGAGATGAAAATACTTGGAAACATTGATGGCAAAACACTATGGGATAGAGCTACGATGAAATACAGAGTACAGAGGTACGATGTATATGCAAGGTGAGGTACATCAGGCAAAGTAAGAATATCAAGAATTGTGTAAGAAATAGAAGAGTAGAATGGAACGATCATATAAGCTGAATGTCAACAAATAGAGTAGTAAGGACGGCAAGAGACGGTTTCCCAACATTAAGACGATTAGTTGGAAGACCACGAAAACGATGAGATCAGTAGGAAGACCACGAAAACGATGAAACGGCAACTTACTGGAGGTACATTAAAAAACAGACAGCGTCATGTCTCTATAAAAAGAAGAAGTTTTAAAACTTAGTACACAATTTACATCCTAATATGTATATGTAACATAAATGATAATAGTTAGATCTATCGCTGTTTTAGATTTTCCCAGGCCGACCACAGACTCCGTGTAAAGTAACGGGGGCTGCAATCGGTCGGGGGTCCCGGTGATGAGGATGCTTCGGGAGCAGAAAGAGGACCCCTTTTACTGTTGGATTTGTGTGAGAGTGGGATGTGTGAATTTGTATTTAGTGTGAATGTGTGCGAGTCTGACTCGGCACCGTTCCTGCAGCCGTTTATGCGTTTGCGATCAACTCTAAAACTAGTGTATTGCACTAAAATTTTATTATTGATCGCTCCCGCTAATAGCCAGGTCTCGTCGGGGTTCGATAGACGGCTTCAGCAACTGCCGATTCAGGTGAGAAAATAGTTGCGGCTATTTTCTCAGGGACGGACAGCTATCGTTAAGTAATGAGATTGCGAAACCGCAAGAAACCAATCTCCCCCTGTCCGGGGTAAGGAAATGGATTGGAGGTTCACATGTCTGGAGTGGCCCGTTTACAGGCTATTGGAGTGGCCTCAAGGATGTCAGCGTATTCTTCCGGAAGTTCGTCGATGCAAGCCTACATCATAATATACAGGATGTGGAGATGTTTGTTTTGAGGCTTCCGTGAGGATACGTGGCCGCGGAAAGAGCAGGAACTTTTTAGTGTGTCTTGTGTATTAGAAGGGGGGCCGTTGATAGTTCTGAGGGTAAAGTTCCTATTCCTGAGTTTTTATTCTCTCGATAATTGGTGTGGTGTTTCCCGTTTGATGGATTTCACGGAATGGGAAGTACCAGCGTCTTCTGCACACCCTACGCAGAATTCTGCGCTCCCCATCGATCAGCCTTCTCTTTTGATAACCCTTAAGAACTGCAACTGCAACTTACGTGCATAACAGTATACAAAATGCTAAGATGACGGACTGCATCTGCGAAAATAATGTGCCCATAGTCTCTACAGAAGTGAATGGCGTAATCATAAAAAACATCTACAAACCACCATTAACTAAATGGCCAGTAGATGTAATAAAAGCCGTTGACAACCAACCTGCAGTTTACATTGGGGACTTTAACAGTCACCACAACAAATGGGGATATGAAAACAATGATGAAAATGGGGAGAAACTACTGGAGTGGGCTGAAGAAAATAATATTCACCTTCTCCATAGTCTAAAAGATAAAACTACCTTCTTTTCTAGAAGATGGCGCAAAGGCTACAACCCTGATCTATGCTGGGTTTCCACTAACTCACAGATGCAACCACTCCCAAGCTCTCGAACTGTACTTCCGAGTTTCCCTCACAGCCAACATCGACCTGTCATAATCGAACTAAGCATACAAATTTCTATCGTTGAATCCACGCCGAGACCCCGTTGGAATTTTAACAAAGGAAATTGGCCCGAATTCACCAAAGAGCTGGACACCTGCATTCGCTTGCATCCCCAGGCTGGACGGAAGAAAGCCAAAAACTATATGACGAATTTTTGAAATCAGAAGATCCCGAAATTGGTGACAACTTACTGAAGTCACTGGACTCAACAAGACTTAATAAATGGAAGTCTACCGTAGAACATATTGATTTCTCACGTTCCAGTCGAAAAGCATGGGGACTGATCCGCAAACTGGGCGAAGCAAGCAGAGCGCAACACTTAAACAGATCAACAATTGAGCCAAATAAAATAGCCAATAGAATAATTGAGAACTCCCGAGCTCCATCTGAGAAAGCTCATACATCTACCGTAAAAAGAGCTCTTAAACAACTTAAAGCAAATACTCCCGCAACATCAGAATACTCACGTGCCTTCTCATTGGATGAAATAAACGAAGCGCTTAACCAAACTAAAACAGGAAAAGCAGCAGGCTTCGGTGGAATGTATCCTGAGTTTATAATCCACACTGGTACAAAAACACGACAGTGGCTCAAAAAATTCTTTAGCGACATTGTGAATAAAACTGTGCTACCCCCAGAATTCAAAAGAACAAAAATTATCGCAATCCAGAAGCCTGGCAAAGACAACAAGCTGCCTGAAAGTTACCGGCCTATTGCCTTACTCAGTTGCTGTTATAAATTACTAGAACGACTTTTATATAACCGAATATGTAACACCATTGAGGATGCTGTACCAATTGAACAAGCTGGATTTAGAAGAGGACGAAGTTGCTGTGACCAAGTGCTGTCCTTAACTACATTTATTGAAGCTGGCTTTGAAAGACGCAAAAATCTGCCATAACATTTATAGATCTCACGGCTGCCTATGACACGGTGTGGAGAGAGGGCCTTATTTATAAGCTGATGAAAATCATACCTTGCCTCAAAACTTGTCAGCTGATAAACAATCTACTGACTAACAGACTGTTTCAGGTATATATGAATGATGCACAGAGTAACGTTAGAAAACTTAACAACGGCTTACCTCAAGGCTCAGTGCTAGCTCCTTTATTATTTAACCTTTATACAGCAGATATACCTGAAACAAAATCGAGAAAATTTGCTTATGCTGACGACCTGGCCATTGGCTCCCAAGATAATAGTAAAGAAGCAGGAGAACGAGCTCTAAACGAGGACTTATCTACACTAAGTAACTATTTTAAGAACTGGCGCTTACGTCCTAACACAAGCAAAACTGAAACCTGTTTCTTTCACCTGTCGAATCAACTTGCGGGCGATACTCTCAATGTAACTCTAAATGACACAGCTATCAAACATAACAACAACCCCAAATATCTAGGCGTCACACTTGATAGAACACTCACCTTCAAAGTTATCTTACAAACGCAGCCAGTAAACTAAGAACACGAAATAACTTAATATCAAAACTTGCTGGAACAACTTGGGGTGCTTCTGCAGATACTCTTCGGACCTCTGCTCTAGCTTTGGTTTTTTCAGTGGCAGAATATTGTGCACCAGTATGGCTAAATAGTGCACATACAAGCAAAATCGATGTCCAACTTAACCAAACCATGAGAATAATCACTGGAACAATAAAATCAACGCCAGTGAGATGGCTGCCTACTCTGAGCAATATTGCTCCACCAGATAGATCTACGCCGTACAGCAGCATTAGTGAGAGAGTACCAGAAAATTGTAGCCAACGTACAATTACCAATACATCAAGATATCCCAGACATCTCAAAAGAGCACCAACGATTGAGATCTAGAAATCCTCCAATACGATCTGCCCGAAAAATTGGTAATTCCTATGATATACATAGGCAATGGACAACAAGATGGATGCCAACAGTAGAATCGGACTATATTAAGATATCCACCCCAACTCAGGGTTTCATCGGATCAAATCTGCCCCGGTCCATTTGGGCAAGGCTTAATCGTATACGTACCGGACATGGTAAATGTGCTGATTCGCTGTTCAGGTGGGGTCGTGCAGAAGGTCCACAGTGCGATTGCGGAGAATCTAGACAGACCATAAGCCATTGTGTTTCAGACTGCTTGAATCGTGCCTACCGTGGAAACCTTCAGGACTTTGCGGAATGTTCCCCAGAAGCAATTGAATGGCTATGTAAATTGGACATTAATATTTAGTGTCATTCATTCTATTCATTCTATTTTTACTATTTTTAGTGTTTGAATAATATATATAATATATATGTGTATATTATTGTAATTGTATTTGTATATTTATCGTACTGTGAAAGTCCATACGCTAAATAAATAAACCCTTAAGAAGGCAGTATAAGTTAGCCTTATACTCAATAACGGGTCGAATGAATGTTTTATAAGTGTGGATGAGAGTTTTTGTTTGTGTGTTTCCCAATGTCTCTGTAAGTGGTACTAAGAGTCGGACTCGGTTTTTGACCCTATCTAAAGTTGCCTTTAGATCAGGTTCCCAGTTAAGTGTTCTAGTAAATAGTACACCTAAATAGGAAGCTGTCGGGCTGAAGAAAACTGTAATATTTCTTCTCTTATAGGTAAAAATTTTGTTGGAAAACGGCGCCAGAGTTATACATTCCCATCACTTGGTACATGTGGGCGTTTCAAATAGTAATTTAGAAATAATAAAGCTATTGGTAGAAGCTGGTGCGATGGTGAACTCCAGAGATGATCAAGGATTGACGCCTCTCATGTTGGCTTGTTCGAGAAAAAATGTTGCGATTGCTAAGTAAGTGGTAAATTTATAATTACTATAAATAATACATTTTTATTTAACCCTTCAAGGACGGGTAACATCAATAAGCGTTTTCAACATCGATCAAAACTTCGACAGCTTCATTATCCGAGTGTGAAGATTCTATCTCCAGATTATCTTCTTCCCAGTCGCTGTCACTGTCTGCGAAGGGATCTGAGTCAAAATCTTTACCATTCATAATACGCGCAGCCTCTTCTTCCAGAACATATGAATGTTCGATAATTTAGGTTTAATAAGCCACTGGGGTGAAAAGAAAAGAGAAAATGTAGTGTGACTTTTAAAGGGACAGTCTCATGCGATTAAAAAAAGACACATTTTAAAATTAAAACAGAAAAAAAAAACTATAATATTTATTAATATAATTCCTTTTGGAGATGATTAAGTAAGTCTTGAAGTATATAAAAAAATTTTAATAGCGATTTTAACTTCATTGGTGTCCTGTAGATGGCGTGTAGTAAAAAGTGCGTTTTTGGTGGTAAGACACTTTGTGGGTCACCTGTAACAGATATTCAAAAAATTTAAAATGGGTTGTATTCGTGAGACTCAAAACTAGATGATAAACCTTTAAAATATGCAAATTGTATTATTTTGAAGAGTTTATACGAAATTTTTTTCGGTGGATTTACCCATATATAATAAAAGGAGGGGTGGTTTTTTTGGTTTTTTAAAATCGGTTAAGAAGGTTCGGAGAAAAGTGTCTGACCAGTTTGAAAATGTTACTTTTGAGAAAAAAGCATTTAAAGTTTTTTTTACATAATTTTCGTGAATAAAAGGCTGATAACTTTATACTCACGTTTAATCGGCCATTCCTGGTGAATATTGAGGACCCTCTTCATCCAACAGTTGTTGTAAATGGCTTTGTAAAGCTGTAAATTTCAATACAACGTCGCGATGTTTTATAATTAATTCATTTGTTCGTATTCGACTGGAGTCTCAATTCAGGCCGCGATGCTGCCAGTGTAAGTGTAAAAACGGAACACACCTAGATCGCATGTCAATTCAACGAAAACGTACTTATTTATAAATGTAGATATGAAAATATTTTATAACTAAAAAAAATGGTTATGTTTTATTGCCAAAACGGCTTGAAAAAAAGTTGATTTCTAAAATAAAAAATAAAAAGGAATTTTAAAAATAAAATAATTATATTACACTCTTTTTAATTTGAAATTATAAACAATATTTGGAATAATAAATGTATTTAAGTATACATTTTATAACTCAAATAATACCTAATGAACACAAACAAAATTGATGTTAATAAAACATTATTTATTATCTGCACAAAACCGGACTTTCAGAAAAAATCGGTAGACGGAGCAACACTGTCGGCGTGCCATATACGCTACTATAAACCGCTAAGGGAAGTAATCCAGTGGAACAAATAAATTTACACTGGTTAATTGCAACGCAGAGAATCTTAGTATTTGTAAAAAAATCCTGTGTTCCGGATTTAAAATTCCAAATCCAAATGTGTATAGTAAACGCCAAACGTTATACAGATATACATACTATATAAAAATTAATCACTAATACATACCCAACGTATATACAACATATATACAAAAGCAAGAACAGCTGGAGCCTCGCGCTCGCCGCGCGGAGAGAAACCGGTTTTTATACGTGCATAGATGACGTTAATAAAATAACTATAACTTATATTCTAGTGGGAATTTCTTTTTAAAATTTTAGGAGGGAGTTTTTGAATGTATATGGAAGCGATTTATAAAAAAAATAAAATTGATTTTTTGAAAGTTTCGCATGAGACTGTCCTCTTAATTTCAAGTATCTCATTCAAAAGAAACTTTTTGGTTATTCTAAGGGACTTTCGGCCCTCGGTAATAATGCAATCTTTCATTCTGCGTTTAAATTTTTCAAAAATACTTAATTAGTTTTCTTAGGATTCGAAAAAAATTAATACATTTAAAACTCATTTAACATTTTGACAGGCGACATTTTGCGCCAATGCCCTTAAGCGTACTAGACTATTCTTGAGTTAGTTTGTTCTCTTATACCGATCACAGATCCCTGTAGATTAATTATACGTATTTTTAGGTATCTACTATCTCGTGGAGCAGACGTAAACGCATCTAGCCACATAGACGGTCGAACAGCACTACACGTATGCGTTCAGGATGTACGAGAAGCCAAAAGTGTCTATCAACTAGTGGATCTGCTGGTAAGCCACGGTGCCGATATGAACGCACCCAGTTATCAAGGCAACGTGCTCTTTTATTCAATAATTTTGGAAAATCGAATCGCCGCCGCTGCTTTGGTGCAACAGGGAGCAGATGTAAACCTCAGGGACGAACGAGCTTATGTCGATAATTTGAGTTTGGCGAAAAGACATGGAGATTTGGAACTAGTCAAATTATTGGTAAGTATCTCTAAGATTTGAAAGCAAAAAATGTAAATTCTGGTTTAGCATTAATGTTTATATACTAAGATTCCATTATTTGCAAGAGTGATTTTATCGTTATAAGCATAAACTTTACGTATGTAGATATTACATCGTAATATGTTTGTTGTTCAGAGCTGCAGCCAACAAAGTAAAGATTGCTGTGATGGTAGCCAACCTCCGATAGGAGAAGGTATTGCAAGAAGAAAAATCTATTTTTTTGTATCTATATACTGATTCACATAGTTTATTTCGATCCATAAACTTTTGTAAAAATGAATATTGACCATCCTTAGGGGCAATATTAACAATTTCGTTTATTTTTCAGGTGTACGGTGGATTTAAACTGTCCGATATGGCCTGGGATCCTCGTGCGTTACGGACGAAATCCCCCGACTCTGCCTGTGATTTTCTTATTAGCGTTAAGACGAACCCTTTGAATTTAAGAGAAATGTGTCGAATAGCGATTAGAAAACAAATCGGGGCCAAAGGATTGAGATCTAAAATTTTAGCACTGCCGTTACCTACGATGTTACAGAGGTATCTAACGTTAGAAATATTATAAGATTATATCGATCTCATAAGTGTAATTTCGATGTAACTCTAGTCATTAATGTATTTATTGTTTGTTTACTTTTTACTTTCAGTATTTATTCTAATATAGACTGTATGAAACCAAAGATTGTTTTATTTTACTTTTTTCCAAACTAGTTTTTACCTGTGCCACACTCCCAACCGGTTCTACCATTATGCCACATTATATCGCATAAATAAGTATCTTACTTCAGTTTCTTGTAACTGTTATACCCATCGAGCAAAAAGACAAAAGAGGGAATATAATCGTTATGAAAAGGAGACCAAAAAAGTGGCCTCTGATGTCGGACATATCCGGAAATGCGAATGCACCAAATTAAATTTTCCGACACTTATGAACAGTAGCTATATAATATTTTTCAGAATGTGTCTTAGACGAGAAAGTTTTAATTCATTATTAACGGTAATAGTCTAAAATGCGACACAATTGTTAAAAAACTTCAATATAAATAAAATTTCATGTGACATTTGGGACAAACAATAACATAACCCAACTAAATTTGATGTCAAACAAGGAGAGAGACTCTCTTTCCTTGTTTAATGTGGCCTCTAAAGATCGCACTTTCTGTCTAACAATATTTTTGCCCCCACTACCTTTACATTCCCTCTTTTGTCTTTTTGCTCGATGGTTATACCACACCATTCAGATACATTTTTATGTCTAACAATTTTTACTAGTAGATTGGAACTGATAATAACTGTGGATTCATGTAGGAAACCTTTTCCACTAAACTACTTTTCTTCATTTGTGACATTTGTGTGCACTAACTGTATATAGGGGTAATTGTGAACATAATTGTAAAGTACATTACATGTGTTTAAAATGTTCACTTGCATTGTCGTTCACAATTTCCCTGTAAAAATTCAATATAAAATTAAAATAGGACAACAAATTGCGTGTTTCCATTTACCCCTATATTTTTGTAGTTTGAATTTTTAGTTCTGGTAGAAACGAAGTTTCGAGAAAATGGGTAAAACAACTGAAGTAGGTATTACCAAAAATATACCTAGAATGTTCTCTGTTAAACACAAAATATGTAATTTTTTAGTTGGAAAGTGCAAAAATCGTTTACATTACCCCACCTGAACCTATCTGTGAGATTAGATACACCATCGTTTTTGTTAAATGTTCCTGAATTGTATGTTAATATATAATCTTCAATTTGAAACAAATTCAAATCATTTGGTTTAAAAGTTTCTGTTAAAATTACAAAATCGAAATCTCTGTTACATTCAGATAAAAAAATTACAATTTTTTTGGCAGCTTCTCATATTCATATGCATAATATTAAGGGGTTGTACTAAATTATTAATTAAGGCATTAAAGATTGTGATTGATTCTATTATGCATGATTTTTTATCACCTCTTTCATATTCTTGAATAAATTGCATCCATATTTAGTGAATTGATTTCAATAAAAATGTAAATACAAATATTTTTCAAACAAATATTGAAGTATAGTTTTTTTGAGACAAAAAAATCCAAGATAAATAATAAAGGTCCATACGTTAATCACAATAATTTAATTCGCTATTTTTTTTACTCTACTCTACTCACAGCCTGACGTCACATAGCCCGACCCACCTGCACAGTGTCATATCCTCTCGACTATGACATAAGGAAACAAGCCGGTACAACATAACATGGCAGATGGCATAGAAGAAAAGCGAATATAAGACAGTCATATGCTTAGACAAGGAAAGAGAGAGGACGGGTAACGCTCGTTCAACCAACCTTCAAAAAGTGAAGCCACTTTTCGATGTGTCCGCCATGTTTTTGGTGGCAAACAATAGAAGCGACACCAGGTTTGTTTTTGTGGTTTTTTTAAAAAACTGAATTGAACACCGATTTTTTTTTACTTAACAAAATGGTGAATTGTGCTATATTCTTTGTAAAAATCGCAGCGAGCAGAAAACACCAGGAATATCATTTCATAGGTAAATATTTATAATAGTGCAATTAGGTATTAATTGATTTTACTTTTTATTTCAATTTTAATCCTCAAAACCAATTTAAATTACTATTTTAAGGAAAGGTGAGATCTATATCTATAAGTTAGTAAATAAGATATGTTATGCTAAATATGCATAGTTATTTCAGTTATTGTATTATAATTAATATTTCATTCATACACCATGATGATTTACCTGTAGCGGTGTTCGTTGAGGGTTAAAATTCCATAAATAAGTAAATAAATAAATAAATTTTATTTTTTTATTTTATATACAGATATATACGTTGTCATTTTTCTCTCACGATGTTATGGGAGTGTGAAAATAAATCCACGATCATCGTTAAGATTTGATGATATTTTTAAAATTAAAGTATTCAAGTCGTTTAAATATACATTTAGCTTTGTGGATTTGTGAGCGTACCTTATTCCATATAACTTGCATCGGAGTTGATGAATTAATCGATGAAACATATCGCATCCAGGTTTCTTTTTTACTTTTTTTAATCAGATATTTAGTTTTTACCTCTCAAACTTTTAAAATTAAGAAGATTCTCAGAAGTTTTATGTTTTTTTTTAAATATTAAATGCATTCTTGCTAGCTTTCATAGCAGCAGCTATCTCTTGGTTCCACCATGGAACCGGTTTCCTTTTACATAATTTGGTTTTTCCTATGGATATATTAGCAGCTTTTATAATGATATCATTAAAATATTGTATGTTGTAACGAACTATATTTTGCTTATCCCTTAGTAAGAACATGGGGTAGAAGATTGGGCAAGCAAAATAAATCGAAACTAGTGCGTACGGCACTCAGTTGGTTGTTGGAGAGCTGGGTCGTGGATAAGTTGAAATAAAATTGGGTCGGATTGGGGTATCTACAAAATGAATACAAAGGGATACTTACATAAATCTCCTGGACAACTGTCCATAAAGACAACAAAAAAGGGCTTCTAGCAATTTAAGATACATGCGCCGCTTCGAAGGATCCTAGTTTGCTAAAGGAAAGAAAAAAGGCTCATCTTTCCTAAAAAAAAAATAAGCACACAAAAAAAGTTAGATTTTCAAAACAAAATCAGAGAAACAAATCAAACGTTTATTCTTGTCTCAAACAAACAGTTATCAAAAATACAGATTTTACAAGAACATACTATATAACATAATACAAATTAACAAAACTTGCGTGTTATTTGTTTACGAAAGAGATTGCTACGAAAATTTTGAAATGGTTCCTAGGTTATGATATGGCCAATTTAGATTATCAAAAAAACTAATGGATATCCTTTTATGAAAATACTATAGAATTTAGCCTTATATATGAAATATCTTTTATATATAATAATCAAATTGAAATTGTTTCACAACAATAGACTTACAGCAAATGTCATATGTCAACATAACATTTTAAATCAGGATAAAATATCACATTTTTTAGCTACGACAACATAATATATAACTTTAATTATTACAAAATTCTTTTATTTTAATGAAAGCAATTATTAAAAATGTCTATATTGAATTTAAAATTTAAACATAAAAGTTACCTTTAAATTTCACTAAATTTCACTCGGCATGTCTGGGGTCGGGAACTGGATCTATTGGACTTGAAAATTTCTGGGAGAACTGGACTGGGAATCTCTGCACACGAACAAAAGGACTGCTTCTGTTGTAAGATTTTGAGGTTTAGACGGGAGTGATATTGTAGATTGAGATTCAATGGGTGTTTCAGTTGATGTCAATTGTGATAGAACAGGGCAATCTGTTTCGCGATGACCTTTTGACATACACTTAGGGCAATTTAAGTCAGTGGATAGATAAATTAGATAGTTGGTATTGTCGAAAGATATTGTAATGAAATCTGGGATAGTAATATTTTCAATAGGAGTGATAAAATTTGCCTTCGAAAGCTTAAAACGTGGTTATAGGCAGTGTCCGGCATTCCAACTCGCAGAAAAGTCATCTGGGATACAGTATTAAGTCCTAATTTTTTGAGCTCAACTTCAAGTACTGAGTTTGGTATGGTGGGACAAACATTTGAGATGACCAGTCTTGTAGCAGGAGTAATTAGACGTCTTACTTCAACTACTGAATCATTAATGGATATTGATGTATGTGTATTCAGCAATGTGTTGACGACTTCGATATTGGAGAGGTAAATACAAATTCTGTTATTCGAGATGCGGGATCCAAATAATATATTTTACTATATTTCCTATTGCTATCACATATTCGTTTATTTTTATTCCATTGAGAGCAGATAGGACAATGGCTTGGTTTTTGGTTGAATATTTAAATGAAGTAACAGCGTTGGAATATGAACATGGTTCATTGTTGTTAGGAGAAGAAACAGAGCTAACAGAATCGTCATCCAGTTTTAAAAATATTATTCATATACACCTCTATTCTTCAGACGGTCCTGTTTCCGTAAAAACAGAATCGGTAATGAGGTACCAAAAGTTGTGTAGTTGATAAATCCGGTACCAGAAACTTGTTTTGATATAAGTATCTCTAATAATTATATTACAATAAATACTACTTACAGTTTTTCTCCAAGTAGTTCAAATTTATTTTTATAGTCACACCACACTTTATTGCAATTTTATCAACTGGATACAAATAATATCGCAAAAACCAGGTGTAATTAGACTATCTATTAAACACGTCGTGGTTCGACGTGGAATCCAATTTTAACATTTGTTTTTAATACATATTTTCGTTCTCTACAAATAGTTTCTTATGACTTTTGATGTAAAATAATTAGAAAAACAAGAATTCAACAATTCAGAATGTTCCATTGAATTTCCTATGGCCCATTTGATGATTCACCACCCTATATAACATTTACTTAGACAAGTGACAAATTTACAGAGATACTTAAAATTACAAAATAAAATTTTGTAATAAGAAAATAATATTATTTAATGTAACGTGCTTTATTTACTTGTCATTTCTGTTTACAAAAATGTTATCTATAGATATAGTAATATATAAAATTCAATATGCTATAAAAAATTAAACGTAACGACATAGTTTGAAAATTACAGTTCCTTTTGCATTGTCCATATAAAACCAGGTCCTTCTTGAACAGTAGACATAAGTCTATAACCCCGTCGACCCAAAGCAGTCAATATTT